TTGTGGCCTTTTTTGCTCATTAACCTAAAATACTGCTTCGTGTGTCTTTATTCCACTTCCGGGGGGGGGGGGGGGTTGGGACCTTGCCACGCAACTCAATTCCAAGCAAACATGCATACAGTTTGGCTGTACGTGTGATAGGCTGGAGGCAGCCAATAATTCTTAAGAGAGCCGAAACCGATTTGAAAGACGGACCGGCCCCCGTTCTGTGTGGACGCGTTGATTTCACCCCACTGCCGTCTGCAGGCAAACAGGTTTTGCAATGGGTTCATTGCAATGGGAAAATCTGCAAAACCTGTTTGCCAAATGCAAACATTGGCTGAGTGTGCCCATTAATCCCTCTTTCAAACCACTCTGAAAAAACTGTCTCTCCAGACTGTTAGTTTACAAAGGATAGATGCAGGCAGCAGTTTGAAAGAGGGGCTGCCACTCCTGGTGGGTATATTCATGCCACTTCTGATTATCCACTCTGATCAAATATGCTTTGCAGGTTTTGGATTGTTTAGGGTTGCCATACATCTGGGATTTCCTGGACACATATGTGGAATACTGCAGTCGGAAATCGTTAAAATGTCCATGAATATGGCAGCCCAGATCAGCAATGCTGTTTTTGCCAATTTTCCTTAAAATAGCTCAAACACGTCTCTCTCTCTCTCTCTCCCTCTCTCTCTCTCTCTCTTTGCAATTTTGCTTAAAAACTCTCAACAACTTTTCTGTCCGGATTTTCACTGTTTGAAATATGGCAACCCTAGGATTGTTAAAACCTGCAAAACCTGTTTGACCGGAGTGATAGGGTTGGGTTTTTTACAAAATTATGCATGTACCTCATAGAAAAGGAAGTCTCCTTCAAAGTGCTTTAAACACTCGTAAAATATAGTTGTCTCCCTTAAATTGCTTTGCGCTGTTAGAATCTATGCTGGAAAGACAATTGCATGCAACACAAATTTACAGCAGGATGTACAAAAATGGCAAGACATTTTCCTGTAAGATTGTGCACGCCTTTGCCCCTCTACCTCACTGTATCTCACTTTCACTTTCTTCCAAACTACCACCAGCTTTCACTCATCTGTTGGTCCTTTCAGTTTGATCACGCAGGCCCAAAATGCTAGGAATCCAGTCTAGGTCAACATCCCCATTTCCTCCCTTCAGGTTTGTAAATTACAAAGCAAATAATTTATTAACTCTTTCACCTTTTTTATTATATAGTTAAGCCCCTGTCCTTACATGCCTCTGCCCTCTAGTGGAACGCACACGGCCAAATGCTTTCTGCAGTTCCATCCTCTTATTTCCTTACCTGTTGAAGGGATCACATTTTGAAGAGAGGAGTCTGAGACAGGAAATAAAATGGAGTTTTATGCAATGGTCTCTGAACTACAGTTCCCAGAATGCTCTTTGTTATTATCCTTTGTGAAGCTGAGCAAGCTCAGCCAAGTTGCCCACTGTCCTGCCTTGGTCCAAGGATGAAAGTCCATAGTGGCTCTCGTTCCAGGACTCTGTGGAACCATTTGATTCCTGGAACTCAGGACCTGGAGCATATGAAAGAATAGCAATTTTTAAAAAAAAAATAATCTTGCAAATTTCACACTATGGGCCCTGTTACAGTAGGAATTAAACTGATGGCTGCTTACCCTATGCTAGCACTGTATACGTCCAACATCCCTCTTCCACAACAAGCCGGGATAACATCTCCCTTCTTTGCACATTGCTGAAGAATATTCTCCAGTGGCTTTATGTACCCATTCAGCAACATTTACATTTGCCTTCTGGATATAGGGTGCTTCCAGACAGGGGCTTAATTTGCAAATGGATCGCTAAGATGCCACAAGTGGGATAATTGCCACAGGTTTATTTTACTTCGTGGGATTTCTTCGGGAAAGGCTAAATCTTGAATAAGATTGGAGGTGCTGGTGGCAGGATATGGGTTGCATACCCTCCAACATTTCTCCAATGAATATAGGGATGTCCCGTATAACAACAACAACAACAACAAGACCCTGCCCATCTGACTGGGCTGCCCCAGCCACTGAGGCTTCCAACATATATGAAAACATAATAAAGCATTAAAAAAACTTCCCCATACAGGGCTGCCTTCAGATGTCTTCTAAAGGTTGTATATTGAAATAAAAAAAATTAAGGTTTTATAGATATATATAATAAATGTTCATAAATGTACCAACCAAGCACATACATAGATATGTGGACCACATGTCTGGAGCAGCACAGGAAGACCGTCCTGAAACCATTTTGACTCCCAGACTGACCAAATGTTTTCTCTGCAAGGAGGGAGGGGGTGAGGGAACCTTCCCATTGTCTTGGGAATTGGGTAATCACCATCTCAAAGGAATGGCCAGACTACCAGGAAAGGCCATCAGATAAGGCATTATCAGATAACCTGGCAGACAGAAAAAACAACAACATTCAAATTTCTGTTGTAGACCACCTTTTCTGTGATGTATGTATGATGTATGGAGGGGTGGTCTTGAGCTCCAGGGCGGGCAATTTAAAATGTCTATATAAGAGCAGGCACACCTTTGTTCTGGGTCTTCCTCCTTCTCCTGCGTGTGAGGGGAGCACCCTGTTGCAACAGATCAATAAAGATCAGGCTTACTAGCTGCTTTGCTTCTCAATATTCTCTGGTTGGCCTCTGTTATTTTCTCCTACCAATGGAGAACCTACAAAGGACTCTGTAAGGGCTCTTGTGTCCCCCATAAGGGAATAAGGGCAGATTCTGTTTACAACAATAGTTACTAGTCTCCTTGGCTTGTGGGTTGCAGAACTCCATACCCTCCAATATTTCTCCAGTGAAAATGGCGATATCCTAAGGAAAAGAGGGATATTCCAGGATCAAATCAGAAACCTGTGAATCCGAGACTGTCCCTGGGAAATAGGGACACCTGGAGGGTCTGCTCTCTCATGGTCAAAAGTCATTTATTTCTGTATTGGGAATAAACCGCTCTTCTCTCCGATAAAACAGAGCTTAATTTGACACAGGTTTAACTAGGAACATAGCCGCAGAATCCACTTTCAGTGCCAGGGCTTGGCCAAGAACCTCGTGTTTTGAGTCCAAGACCTCGCCGTGTAAGCAACCCATGCCTCTGTGTTCTCTTTTCGGACACAAGGCGGAAATGTTGGCCCCTTTATGATTGGCAAAAAAGTATAAGGCAGCTGAACTGGTTGGACCAGGCATAAATACAGAAAGTGTGACTTTATTCCTTCACCTGGTCAGTATGGCAGAATGTCTGCTGCAGCTCAACTGCAGGGCTCTACCTGCCCAAAGATCAGTGTTCGGAGGCCAGAGGTGGCCAGATGTAATTCCTCTCACACAGGCAACTGGTGATGTAAAAGCTGAGCACTTGCCACTTGCTCAATGCTGTGCATGTGGCTCCAAATTAAACTAGGATGACCAATGGATACAGCCCTAGCGTACTGGAGACACCATTTTATGCACCCAGCACCTTGTATGCACACAATTCCTGCTGTCGCAGGGGATCCGCACATACATTTTTGTTGCTAGTTTGGGATGAATACATTCTATATATCGAGATGGGGAAGGAGGAGGTGTCTAAACTGCAAGATTTGTAATAATCAGGGGAAGTATATTTGTGTGAGAGGTTTGAAATATATTATAATATCACAGATGCTTTTTTATATAAAAAATCTATTTTGTGGCATTTATCACCAATAAATAAAACATAACACAGTATGTTCCCTGCAACAGATCCATGATAAGTTAGTGGATAATGCGTTGGCTGTGGTTGGAATCGGCTGAAAATAAATCTATCCCCTCCAGTTAATGAATGACTTATTAAATTCAGTACTTTGTCACCTTGTCTCAGTTGCTGTCCCTATTTCCCAAAAATCCATCACTGTTAATGTTGGGATGGGAGGAACAGAATTAGTTGTTGTTTTTTTGAAAGAAAAAAAAAGCAAATTCAAAGAATGAGAAGGATTTTCTTAGAAACTCCTCAAACACCATGCAATTGATTGCAGCTGTATAAAATAGGCAGGGTTGTGGGTGGTAGAATTATGGGATGGGAAGGTCAGGGGCCTCACAGCCCAGCAGAAATGGACCCTTCCTTCTTGGTATCTACTGTATCTTCTTTCTCCTTACCAGGGACTTGGCTACATTAGTCAAGAAACAGCGTTTTGAATGCGTTATAAACATGCAACACCAGATGGTGCCAGAGAGCAAAATAAATTTCTAAACGTTTTTCATAGTGGTTCCTCCCCCCCTTTTGTTATGATGATTTAATTTCTGACTTATTTATAGTGGTTTTTTCCTGTGTGTAGATCCACCTCAGGTCTCAGGGTCTGAGCTGCAACTTCTGGCACTAGCCTCCTTTTCAGGCTCTCCAGGGGAAGGAATAACATCTGAGAGTAAAAGGCCAGAGTCAAGGGGGCAGAATATTTTCTCCTTGGCACGGTGAGAACTTCTGCCTGTTCTGCCTGCTCCCCCTCCCCTCAAATAATAAAATCAGGCTCCATCCCTGACGCATCCATCTACCCTTGGCTAGTGAGGTGTGCTATGGTCTGTACTGTGCCCAACTCAGGCCTGAAGTGGTTCACCAGGTGTGGTGATGCTGGTACCTTAGCCTCCTGGCAGGTGGGTTGCTGCTACTTGCCAGGAGAGAGAGGAGGGAGACGCCAGGGAAGTCAGCGCAGTGCAAATACCCTGTGAGGAATGGCAGATAGAGTTCGCTGGTGCCTTTGCACCACGCCAACTTCCTTATCACCTTGCTTTACCTTCTTCCAGTAAGCAAAAGCAATTGCCCTAACTGGAAGTCAGCATAGCAGCTGCCCCACCCAGGGAAGCCTCCTCTCCTATCCAACAATCCAGCCTCTGAATGGTCAGGCGCTATCTTTCAGATTCCCGATTCTGCTACTTAAGTCTGAGCCTCAGCACACCTGCAAATCCGAGCCCCCTCCCCTTGCACAGAGCTCGTCCACTTTTCATCTTCCAGAAGTGAAACCAAAAAGACATTGAGGCAGAGGCACGATGCTCAGGTGTGAAAGAGAATTTAATTTTTGAGGGTTGGTCTGTTGGTTGATTTTCTCGTGTGTGGGGGGTGGGGGGTTCTCCGCTTGCTCAGTTGAGAGTGAAACTTCTGGAGGTCGAAGCAGAAGTGATAGGAGAGCAAGGTGGGGAACAGGTGATGGGGAAAGGAGCGCCGTGTGACCGAACGACCAGAAAGAGAGAGAGAGAGAGAGCGGTCTGAGCAGGATGCTGATCACAACAACACGCCCACAATGCACTGACCCACAACACCCCACAAAGCATGGCATAAGGACCCAGTGTATTGCAGCAGCACAGGTTGCCTTGGTGTCACCCGAAAACACAAACCAAAAGTACTTTCAGATCAGTCGCAGGTGTAGGTATGGCACCACACAGACAAACACACACACACCCCGCCCGAAACAAAAAGAGAAAACAAAACTTGAAGGCTGGCAGGGACAGGCTAGAACATACAGAAACTTGCTGTTGACAGTAAGCGCTACGAAGGTTTTAAACACCGTCATAATCCAGGAGTAAAACACAGACTCCCAGCGGCAACGAAGGAGGGGGAACACAGGGCTAACTTCAGCCACGCACGCCCTCGCCACACATCCTGGCAAACATGCTCACAGCACTGGGGTGCAACGATGATTCAAGCAGGCCCAGAGAGAAGACACTGCGCAACACACGCAAAGCTGGCTTGGAGCAGCGCCCTGGGACGGGCAGAGGGAAGCTTCATTCTCCACACGTCTTGGGGGGGCGGCGGCTCCAGTGAGAGGCCAGAGGAGGTAGCTGGAATGGGGAGAGGAGACAGAGGAGCTGGGGAAATGGAGGGTGTGGTCTAAAGGGGCACTCAGAGTCTGTGCACTGGGAGGTCAGCAGGCAAGCCAGAGTGTGCCCACGGCAGGGCTTATAGGACGCTCGGGTTACGGAAGTTGTGCCCGGCAAAGTGGGCTTCGTCGCCAAGCTCTTCCTCAATCCTGTGGAAGGCAGAGAGAAAGGCAGGCTGTTATATTCACTCCACAGGCCCTGCTTCACAGAGTGGACGTAAACCAGAGACAGTTAGGTTCTGCTGGAATTAAAGCACAGAAGTCAATTTCCGTATTTTTTGCTCTATAAGACTCACTTTTCCCCTCCTAAAAAGTAAGGGGAAATGTGTGTGCATCTTATGGAGTGAATGCAGGCTGCGCAGCTATCCCAGAAGCCAGAACAGCAAGAGGGATTGCTGCTTTCACTGCGCAGCGATCCCTCTTGCTGTTCTGGCTTCTAAGATTCAGAATATTTTTTTTCTTGTTTTCCTCCTCCAAAAACTAGGTGCGTCTTGTGGTCTGGTGCGTCTTATAGAGCGAAAAATACGGTATGTTAAAGGCCCCCCACTGTACAAGCTACAGGTTGGGAAGGCCCTAGCAGGCGCGTCTTATCCATAGACGTTAGTGGCGCAGGGCGCCAGATTTTGGAGGGCGCCACAAGCTGAGTGTCCAGGAAGGAGAGTCAGGCCATGCTCCCTTCCCCATTCTGGTGCAGCCCCCTCCTCTCCTCTCAGCCACCCATCAGAGCGCGCTGCGTCCGGCTCAGGGAAGCCCCTTTGCGTCCCCTCCTGCTGGGGCTGCCTGGGCGCCTGGCAGGTGCAATTGGGGGCGGGCGAAGGGCGGGGCAGGCGTGTCTCTCCTACTCCTCTCTGGCCACATCGCTGCCTGCGCGCCTCCCTGCGGAGTCTGCGAGCGGAGCAGGGAAGCGCCCTGTGCAATCCTGGCACCGAGCGAGGATGGGACAGCCGGCGAGCCACCTGATCTGCTTGCTGGCCCTCCTGTCATGTCGACTTCCCTGCACGGGGGCAGGTAAGGGGCACCGGGTGCTTAGAGGGAGGGAGTCTTTGCGGGAGGCCGTCTGGGCTGCGATCCAGGCGCCTCTTACTTACGTGCTGCGCCGAGCACGCGTCGGACCATGCAATGTAAATGAGCCTGACCGAAGTCGTCGTCCCCCCCCGCCTTAAAAAAAGTTGACAACTCTGGGAAACGGGGCGGGGGGTGGACGCCGGAGAGATATTTGCACCGCGGTGCTGGATATGTTTAAGACGGCCCTGGGACCCAGTTAGAATCTGGCTTTTTCCATGAAGTCACTTTTTGGCCTTTGGCAAACTCCTATTCTCTCAACTTCATCCGAAATGTGGGATAACACTTGGTTGTCATAGGGATTACTCAGTGCTTTTCTTCAAGAAAATACCTCACCATGAAGTTGTGGGGCGCCAGATGGGGGCTGGGGCGAGGGACCTTGGGCCCTCAAAAGAAATTTCAAGTAGGGGGCCAGGGCCCCTTCATATCCCCCATGCTGTGTGCGCACATGCCGTGCAACATGGTCACATCACTCGCGCACGACAAGCCAGCATGTTGCCCAGTATGCATGTGTGACGTGAGCACATGGCACATTGCTGGCTCCCTGAAAGGCAGGGGCAAGCTGGCCCCGGTGCTTTTCTTCTAGAAAATGCGGTGCCGGGACTGCGTACCCTTCAGCACCCCCAGAAGAAGAAAAAAGCACTGGTATTGCTAGAACAATGTACTGTATGGGAGTGTTTTGATAATATTTCGTGATTTGATGGAAGGGAACAACATTTGCGTTTGGCAATGTTAATCTAATTTAGATAAACCCTCATGCCATTTTGATGCCAAAGGCATGTGCTGCTTTTTCAATGCTGTGTGTGGACAGCTTTGCTTGGGCTCATTGGAGAATAATGGAAGACTAAGATGCTCAAGATTCTTGTTCAGGGCCGTGGAAAAGAAAACCCTTTTATGGACAGCTTTCGGGAGCCCATGCCTTACAGCAGGTATCTTCAGCCTTTTCAGACCCAGCATCCACTTTTAACCCCAGTATGCATTTGGGGACCCCATTCTTAATCTTCTACCATATATTTGCAAGGTAGAAAGCCAGTGTCTTAGAAACCAATGCTAGGAGTAGTTTAGTGATTTTTGCTGATTTAGATAGAGAATGGCAAGGCATCCTTATACAGTCGTACCTCAGAAGTCGAATGGAACCCGTTCTGGAACTCCATTTGACTTCCAAAACGTTCGGAAACCAAGGCGCGGCTTCCAATTGGCTGCAGGAAGCTCCTGCAACCAATTAGAAGCAGTGGAAGCCATGCTGGACATTTGGGTTCCAAAGAACGTTTGCAGACTTCCGGTCAGTGCCAGCAGCAATGGCGGACCTCCTTTGATCTTCGGAGGGGGTAGCCCAGTGAGAGATCGGGTCCTGTGCGCTCCGGCGAAGCGGGGACCCTTAGAAATCGCAGGCGCGGACGCCTGCGAATGTGGAGGTTCGGCGGGCACCTTGAAGCGCCCCCCCCCAACCTGAAAGGAAGCCTTTTTGAGGCTTCGGAAGGGAGCGGGGGAGAAGCGCGGTGCTGCGAGCGGATCGCTGCTCTCACTGAGCGAAGCCGCGTTGCCGTTGTTGGAGAGCGCTGACTTATTCCTGGGACATTCGGACTTAAAAAACTAACCGTGAGTAGAAGAATTGGATAAAAGAGCAAGATTTGAATTAATTTGGAACTTTTATGAAAGGACAGAAAAATTTAAAGCTGCTTAAAAACGTCTGAATTGGCTACCGCGGTGGAAGCGTAAACAGGAAGTCCGCTTCACTGCACTGTATAAAGAACAAAGCAAAGAGATTTGGAGCTAAACGTGGGAAAGCTGAATTGAAATAAGTGTTTCTTTCTGACCTAAGAACTTTGGAGGGATCTACCCTTAGGAGTTAAGGGAAAGACTTTTGATTTTACTGGATTGTTTAAATTGAAGGATTAAATGAGTGATCGGTCACCAGCTGTCAAAGCTGTCAAAGCTAAAGCTGTTTGCTGGCTGCAAAGGAGATACATAGTGGCCAATTTTACTGGGAAAAGATTGGAAAGGACTGAAAGCTATATTGTGTCTTTTACTTTGGACTTTTTTTTCTACTTAGTATCTTTCCTGTTGTTTTTAAAAGACAGTAACTTGCTAGGTGGTAACAGTGTCCATCTAGTGGGACTCTGCAATTGCAGGAAAGGAAAGGAATTTTCCACTTATAAACAGGAAGATCAGACGTGGGAAAGGAATTTGACCTTCATTCTGTTATGGCTGATGGTCATAAGGACCAGTCAACCTTGAGATCAGGAAAACCTTGGACACATAGAAGGCAATCATCTTATGGAACTGGCTGAGATGACCGGCAGAATTCGAGATCAAGAAGAAGGGTCGATGGAAGAAGACTGGAAAAAATTTAAAATATATCTTCAGAAATATTGTAATATAAAAGAATGTTAGAAAAGGTTGGAGAAGAATATTAGACCGTATTGGCAGACAGAGTATAATGGAATAAGTAAATATGAAGTGTAAAATAAAGATAGAGGAGAATTAAATACTTTCGAATGTTAAAATAAGTAAATGAAAAGAAGGTTAGAAGGATTTGCTGGAGATACGATTCAAATTAGAATACAAAGCAGAGAAGTGAGAGGAAGTTACGGAAATAAGTAAATGGGAAAACGGTTTTAATGGTTTAATTTGATTTTTTTGTTATTCTTTTTTTTATTGTGATTTTTTGTCTTTTGTATTTTTCTTTGTACTGAGTGTTTTTTTTTGTAGGAGGTATGTGATTTGTTTCTCTTTTCTACTTTTTTCTTTTTCTGTAATCTTAAAATTGGAATAAACATGCTTTAAAAAAAAAAACAAAGAACGTTTGCAAACCAGAACACTCACTTCCAGCTTTGCGGCATTCAGGAGCCAAAATGTTTGACTTGCAAGGCATTCAGCATCCAAGGTACGACTGTATAAACCAGGCGTAGACAAACTCTGCCCTCCTCATGTTTTGGGACTACAATTCCCATCATCCCTGACCACTGGTCCTGTTAGCTAGGGATGATGGGAGTTGCAGTCCCAAAATATCTGGAGGGCCAGGTTTGCCTATGCCTGGTATAAATTGACAGTGCGTCCCTCAATTTCCTGTGGCATTGCATGATAGAAGCTGAAAGAGATCTTAGACTTACATGCTGTTCCATCATTGTGCGTGTGATGGTTCACCTACACTCAAGTCTCCCCTAAGCTCTGCAATGGTGATTAGCTCCCAAAAGCTGCCTGCCTGCCTGCATTTGCCCATTGCACAGAGGCCGACTCCTGCTGGAAGGCAAACTGATAATATGCCAGCATTTCCCCTCTTGTTTCTTACCTCATTAACTGATTGTATTTCGCCAGTCGCTCGGACCTGCATGGCGCTCCCGTCTTTATCTGCAAAAGTCAATGTCAAGGCAACAATGTTTTATGGAGGGTCCACACCAGCATTACAAATGGGAACAGGCACATTATGAGCAAAGGCATGAGTGAATAGCAGATATTTTAAATTGGATTTTGCTTGTGCAGTTTGGCAACTCTTTACTTCTGGTAAATGAGCTCCCACAGCCGCTAGAGGACTGTCAAAATTTGTGTCCCAGTCTTTTTAGACTCGTCTACCCATGTACTACCTGAAACCAAAGGGGTACATTGGTTGCCAGATATGAAATACCTTGGGATTACAGTGGAACCTTGGTTCTCGAACTTAATCCATTCTGGGAGTCCGTTTGACTTCCGAAATGTTTGAAAACCAAGGCACAGCTTCCGATTGGCTGCAGGAACTTCCTACAGTCAAGCAGAAACCATGTCAGATGTTTGGCTTCTGAAAAAAGTTCACAAACCAGAACACTTACTTCCTGGTTTGCAGCGTTTGGGAGCCGATTTGTTTGACAACTAAGCTGTTCGAGAACCAAGGTGCCACTGTATTTTCAACTCTCCTACCCCACTATTCTACAATGGGACATTTGAGTTATCTCTGGCTGTAGAAAGAGATTATGTCTCTACACTGACATGGTTGTTCCAGCCTTCACCTGTTTCTTCTCCAGAGAACACCCAAGCCACGTTTTCTCCCCACCCAGAACTTACCTGGCCGGTACAGAGTCCCACCACCAGGTCCGCAATGAAGGTGTCTTCAGTCTCCCCTGATCGGTGACTCACCATCACCCCCCAGCCGTTTTCCTGGGCCAGTTTACAGCTGTGGAGGGAGACAAGGAACTCAGTGGATTTGCCTCAGTCCCAACAGGTCTAACGTTCTTGGAAGGGAACGCGACTGGGCACTTGTGGAACAGAGCGGTTTGGCTGGACTCACGCTTGGATGGCCTCGGTGACTGATCCAATCTGGTTGACTTTCAGCAGGAGGCAATTGCAGGCCTTGTCTTCCACGGCTCGCTCGATGCGTTTGGGGTTGGTCACAGTCAGGTCGTCCCCCACAATCTGAATCCCAACGTTTGCTGTGAACTTGGACCAGGCCTCCCAGTCATCCTGATCAAAAGGATCCTCAATCGACACCACTGCAGAGAGAAGGGGGAAACGAGAGTACATCGGTACCTTGGTTCTCAAACTTTATCAGTTCTGGATGTCCGTTCCAAAACCAAAGCGTTCCAAAACCAAGGCGTGCTTCCCCATAGAAAGGAATGCAAAATGGATTAATCCGTTCCAGACTTTTAAAAACAACCCCTAAAACAGCAATTTAACATGCATTTTACTATCTAACAAGAGCATTGATCCATAAAATGAAAGCAATAAACGATGTACTTGCAGTCACCCAATCAATCAGTACATGAACTGGTTTCCACACAGTCATACACACAAAAAAAGAGCCGCAAAAACAAAAACGCAAGATAAATACAGTGGTACCTCGGGTTACATACGCTTCAGGTTACATACACTTCAGGTTACAGATTCCGCTAACCCAGAAATAGTGCTTCAGGTTAAGAACTTTGCTTCAGGATGAGAACAGAAATTGTGCTCCGGCGGCAGCACAAGGCCCCATTAGCTAAAGTGGTGCTTCAGGTTAAGAACAGTTTCAGGTTAAGAACGGACCTCTGGAACGAATTAAGTACTTAACTTGAGGTACCACTGTAGCAAAAACAGACAGACCTCAACGTAACACTCAAAACAGAAGTGTGGCACTCAAAACAGAAGTGTGGCACTCAAAACAGAAGTGTGGCACTCAAATCGGGAGCATAACACTAAAAACGGAGCGCATTCAGCTTCTGAAAAATGTTCACAAACCGAAACACTTACTTCCGGGTTTGCAGTGTTTGGGTCCCAAGTTGTTTGAGTACCAAGGCGTTTGAGAACCAAGGTACCACTGTATTGCAGCAACCGATTGCTCCTGTTCCCATTCAGCAAAGAGCAAAAACGTCCACAATCTGGTGCCCCGGTACTGAGGCTTTAGGCACGGTGGACTCACCTGGGTAATCCCTTACAAAGCTTTGGTACAGGTCACCCAGCTCATCAGCAGAGATGTAGCGGCTGGGGTCATCGGGGGATTTGAAGTCCAAGTCATATTTCCCGTCTCTGTAGAATTCCGATGCGGCCACATCCATGCCAATCACAATCTTGTCAGTGTAGCCAGCTTTCTCAATGGCTTCCTTGAGGAGTTCCAGAGCTGAGAGGTCAGAAAGGAGAGAAACTCGGATTTTGCAAGCATCTGCCATGTTTGAAAACTATCTTCTAAGGCTCTTCAGCTTCCAGACCAATTTGTGAAGTGGCCTGTTTATCAAGCATGTAAAGTAAAGGTAAAGGTAAAGGGACCCCTGACCATTTGGTTCAGTCGTGACCGACTCTGGGTTTGCGGCACTCATCTCGCTTTATTGGCCGAGGGAGCCGGCATACAGTTTCCGGGTCATGTGGTCAGCATGACTAAGCCGCTTCTGGCGAACCAGAGCAGCGCACAGAAACACCGTTTACCTTCCCGCCGGAGCGGTACCTATTTATCTACTTGCACTTTGACGTGCTTTCAAACTGCTAGGTTGGCAGGAGCTGGGACCGAGCAACGGGAGCTCACCCCGTCGCGGGGATTCGAACCGCCAACCTTCTGATCGGCTAGTCCTAGGCTTTGTGGTTTAACCCACAGCGCCACCTGCGTCCCCTATTATTATATATTATGTACCCTACAAGCATGAACCCTAATATATTTGCACAGAGCTTAGACAATAATGCCAGCTAGTAGTTGTTATCCCTCACTTTCTTGTGCAGTTTTCCATCACACTTTCCTTATTGGACTTCTGGCAATGTGGAAAGCGATAGGATATTTGCCCTAGAAGCTGCGGGGTAATCACAAAAGTGTGTGTGAATAAACAGCTAATCTGGAAGTATTTAACAGGATTGAAGTGGTTTGTGTTAAGTGGTTTACCTAATGTACGCATAAAAATACCAATAAAATCAGATGTTAGAAGCAGGTTGAAGCAAATATGCACAGTGAAGCCTTACGACCAAACACCACATTACATTAAACATAAATTTAACTGTTATGCTGCACACTGAATGATTTCTGCTGTTGTGCTTCTGACAATACATTCATAGCAGCTCAGCTCACCCTGAGTAGTTCAGGAACCACATTCTGTACCAGCTGAACTGTCTTCAGGAGCCGTCCTCCGTATACTGTATTGCTATCATTTAATCTGAATTATGGTGCTGGAGGAGACTCTTGAGAGTCCCATGGACTGCAAGAAGATCAAACCTATCAGTTCTTCAGGAAATCAGCCCTGAGTGCTCACTGGAAGGACAGATCCTGAAGCTGAGGCTCCAATACTTTGGCCACCTCATGAGAAGAGAAGACTCCCTGGAAAAGACCCTGATGATAGGAAAGATGGAGGGCACAGGGAGAAGGGGACGACAGAGGACGAGATGGTTGGACAGTGATCTTGAAGCTACCAGCATGAGTTTGACTAAACTGCAGGAGGCAGTGGAAGACAGGAGTGCCTGGCATGCTCTGGTCCAGGGGGTCACGAAGAGTCGGACACGACTAAACGACTAAGCAACAACAATCTGGACGTCACTATGGCATGGCAAACCTAGCAGCCAAGTGCCATGTGGATAGGACTGGCAAAGACTCTGCAGACTTTCAGCGTTGACAACACACAATCAAGAGACTACTAAACCAAATAGTACTGAATGCACAGACAAGGAACAAGGAAAGTGGTAATGTGGCCCTGTCGATGGGGAACAGAAGTAGCCAATTATGGAGCCATTAACAAGAGTGAGGTATTACTTCTTTTGCTATGCCTGTTGTGAAAAACTCCTTTTCTGATAAGGCAGCTTAGAAGCTTTTTAGCATCTCAGCAATCCCTCACAGAGAGGTGAACATCCCCCAGCCTAGGCCTTGGCTTTGGGAGAGACAGTGCTCTCCCCCCCCCCAAGAAAAATAGGTGCTTGCCATGAAGTTGTTACAGTTAAATCACTGGGGCAACCCAGTGCCAGTTTGACAACAGCCACATTCACCACCTGCGGAGGCGCTAAAAACTACAGCAAATGGTCTCACCTGCTGGTTTGGGGTCACTCCTGGTTCTGGAGCAAGTCAAATAAATGCGCCCCCCACCTCCCTTGTTCTCTTAGATTCAGGCCGATGTGGAGGGCAGCTGGGAAGGGCCCAGTGTCGTTGCGGCAATGCTGCCAGATGGGTGGGGGTATAAACATTATTATTATTATTTAGGGCATTCCTATTTCCATTGGGGGTGGGATGTGGATGGCGCTGTGGGTTAAACCACAGAGCCTAGGACTTGCCAATCAGAAGGTCGGCGGTTCGAATCCCTGTGATGGGGTGAGCTCCCGTTGCTCGGTCCCTGCTCCTGCCAACCTAGCAGTTCGAAAGCACGTCAAAGTGCAAGTAGATAAATAGGTAGGTACTGCTCTGGCGGGAAGGTAAACGGCGTTTCCGTGCGCTGCTCTGGTTCGCCAGAAGCGGCTTAGTCATGCTGGCCACATGACCCGGAAGCTGTACGCCGGTTCCCTCGGCCAGTAAAGAGAGATGAGCGCTGCAACCCCAGAGTCAGTCATGACTGGACCTAATGGTCAGGGGTCCCTTTACCTTTACTTTATTTTCATTGGAGAAATGTTGGAGGCCATGCAGTGTCTATGCCAAACCTCTGTTGTCAATAAAATTGTGGCCTGATTTGATCCTCAAGGACAGCCTCTTTCCACAGGAGCCTACCCGGACCCCGAGATCATCTTCTGAGGCCCTCCTTCGTGTGCCTCCTCCTCGAGAGGTTCGGAGGGTGGCAACAGGTGAATGGGCCTTCTCTGCAGTGGCCCCCCATCTGTGGAATGCTCTCCCCAGGGAAGTTTGCCTGGCACCTTCATTATACACCTTTAGGCGCCAGGCAAAACCAGACCTTTGGTTGACCTGATCAACATCCTATACCCTTTTTAAATATGAGGGTTTTTTTGTGGAGGGGAGTATTGGGTTGCTGTTTTTATTTTCATTAGGAATTTTGTGATTTTATATCTTGATTTTATTCTGAGAACTGCCCTGAGACCCCCCAGGTATAAGGTGGCATATAAATTCAATTAATAATAATAATAATAATAATCCCATTCAAGCTGTGTTGTGTCATTCGTCACTACTCAGTGGGAGAGGTGCAGGGAGTGCAGAGCCCGGGTATGCAAGTAATTCCACACTCTGTTCTTGTTCTCACCTTCACTGTTCTCCAGGATGTTAGGGGCAAAGCCTCCTTCGTCGCCTACATTGGTGGCATCTTTGCCATACTTGTCCTTGATCACACCCTTGAGATTGTGATAGACCTCGGCACCGATGCGCATGGCGTCCCGGAAGCTCTCAGCCCCAACTGGCAAGATCATGAACTCCTGCATGGCCAGCTTGTTCCCAGCGTGGGAGCCCCCGTTGATCACGTTGAAGGCCTGGGAGAGTTCGGGAAGAAGAAAGACATGAAACTCGCTTAGAGGACACCTACACGGTCAATTGACATGGTTCGTGTTAGTTTCTGTTTGCCACTGAGCAGCTGCTTAGAGTCACAAGGCTCTGTTTACATTCCAGAGACAGTCCAGGCTATTGGAAGTCTCACAGGAGAAGGGAGACGGATGTGACGTACTGGTTTCTCTGTTCCTTTGTTCCTTTGTTTCAGTTGCTCTCTGCTCTCACAGGGTGAGGATGTATTTTTCTGTCTGCGTAGCTTAGAAATAAAGCATAGCATGTAGCCATAAATCTCATCACTTCCGCATGCTGTTTTGGATTCTCTGCTGAATGGGATGTGCCTGGAGCCTTATCAGAGGCTCAGGTCGTCAATCACGTCGGGGGCGACTCGGCCGGAAGATGAGCTTTATCAGCTCGGTCGAACGAAGATCCCGACAGTTCGTGCGGGCCTTAACTGTCATGGCTTCCCACAAAATGCCCTGGAAGCCGAGGTTCCGTGAGGGTCCTGAGAAGGCCTTGTTAGCAACCCAAAGATTTTACATGGAACCAATCGCAAGGCTGCATTCCAATGTGTGGTTTATTGCATGAGCTTTACTGGCTATTCTGCTAGTGCTTCCAACCTGATTTCCAACATTCCTTTTACACTGCGATACCTGTTGTGTTATGGGACTGTTAGTGGTGCTGCAGATTGATTTCCCCTCCTGGAAACAACTGAAATGGAAATGAGTACTAAACTTCTGCTAGCTTCCACCCGATTTCCAGAAGTAGATAGAGAAAATGAAAAACTTCTTGTTTTTTTATTACATACTCTGAGCCACTTAATGGGTTAATGATTATCTAACTGATTGTTGTTCTCTGTTAGCTAACATGTGAATATTGTAACCTTAGGTCATGTGAGAGGTATTGGGTTGCAAATCTCCCTTTTTGAAAGGGAGTTGCCTTTAGACTTTGTCTCCCAAATGCCATGGAGTGAGGATGTAAATGAAGCTCTCCTGAAGGGAGAATACACAGCCTACGGCCAATGGAGGCCGGAATGCAGGCTGTGGAAAGAGAGAAAGAGACCTTTGCTTATAGGTCTGTTTGGATTATTTCATATTTTGCAAGATGCTGAGCCCATACAAGACATTGCATGGATATTTTGGTTGTATCTTTGATGCTTATGTTTTGTTCTGAAGAGTTCTACCAGTAAAAGTTTAAATTTTTATTTTTATGGGCCTGGACAATGATTCATTTCCAAAAGGGGTTAGTTCTTATGCTTCCAGTCACTTCAGACTGCACAAAAATAATATCTACAACAATGCAGGGCTGAAGCACGGTTACTCTTGCAGCGTGGTGATAAAGGGTATGCAGAGAACTGAGGTAGGTGTGACCACTCTTCTCCTAGTAAGGGATTTCCATTTCCTTGCATATATGGTTACTCTACAGCCTCCGACTTCCCTTTGGGTTCTCCTTGTGAAATTGGGAGTGATTAAATGCTTACCGGTACTGGCAGAATGAGATCGGAATTTCCAGCCAAGTCAGCGATGTGTCGGTAGAGGGGAATGTCTTTCTCTGCAGCCGCCGCTTTGCACACAGCCAGGGAGACACCCAGGATGGCATTGGCTCCAAACTTGGCTGTGAACATTGTCAAAATTAGGTGACCACCATCAATGGCCCTTTGCTCAGGACAATTCAACAAAGCAATATAGGATCCCTGGCCCCAAAGATCATACAATCAACTTTCCAGCCCCACAACACCCGCTACTAATCTAGCCCTGGATTCTTTGTGTTATAGATTATGGGGTGTTGGCGGCTAAACCCTATAAAATAGTAGGATTTCGAGTAATTGGGATATGGATGAAAGTACAAGCTGCAGAATTGTGGCAGACAAGTAATCCCTGGGCTGGCTTATGCAATTGTAAAATCTGTTAACATGACAAAAGGGGTTGGATGGGCCATCCGAGAGGAATCCTTTGGCCTGGGGAGGCAGATGGTGCCGAGGTGATGGGGGTGTGCATTTGTGGTAACAGGAAAAGAGAGTTTTTGAGCTATGTGGAGCTGGGAAGAAGAAGGAAAAAGAAAGACTGGGATCCATCTTGGGCAGGCTGGCTGAAGGCTGGCTGGGAATGATGCCTTGGACTCCATTGGCTGCACTGCTGTGGGGGAGAACTGTCTCTAAATGACCATGTTGTAAGATCTGGACCCCCTGTATGCAGACTAACATTGTAAACAGGTGAATAAATCACATTTCTTAAAACTACACCAGTCTCTGCCGTGTCTCAATTTTCTAAAGGAATACAGGTGAGTGCCTGGAACCCTATGGAAACTTGCAGAGAGTCGGGGTGGCACACGACTTTTTTTTAACTTCCATACCTCAGCTTGTGCCTTTTAATCTTGCTGTAAAGTTCCTGGCTTCTCTCCCAACTTGCCCCTCTGGCCCCCTCCCACAAGACTTTTTGTTATGAATAGTGAGGCATTACATTTATTCTCTGTCCCGTCCATCTCCAGCATGAGGCTGTCGATCTTCTCTTGCTCCACGACTGAAAGGCCCTGCAGAAAGAAAACATCACTCAAATTGGAAGTCTGGATAATAGGCTGCCTAGGGGACTTCCAGAAAGAGGACACTTTGGGCAGGTCCACACAATACATTTAAAGCACATCTGACACACATTTAAAGCACATGACTTCCTCCCAAGGCATACTGGGAATTGTAGTTTGTTAAGACTGCTGGGAATCGCCTGCTCTGTGAGGGGGAAACTAGAGCACCCAGGATTCTTTGGGGGAAGATATGTGCTTTAAATGTATGGTGAAGATGTGCTGTATTGTTTTTAACACTTGATTGGGAGCCGCCCAGAGTGGCTGGGGAAACTCAGCCAAATGGGTGGGGTATAAATAAATAATAATAATAATAATAATAATAATAATTACTACTACTATTATTATTATCCTAGTGCTAAAAATCATTGCTCTTCTGCTGCAAGCTATAGACAGAATTGCAGCTGATCATCTGCCCTTCAGTTCTGTCCATTTCTCACTGGTGAACTCTTCTGTCATTTAGAAGTGAGGGCGTCTCAACACCATTTTGGCACCCACTTTTATTTATGCTTGTGTTGTTGGTTGGGTTTTTAAAAATAATTCATGAAGTAGCACATTAACGAAAATTAAAAAGGGGTCTTAAAACACAGGGCAAGGTGATTGCAGCTAATCTGACTTCTGAGCAAACGTGGTTACCAACTGGGCTGTAAGTCCCACCTACCCTCCGACATTTCTCTGATGAAAATAGGAACATCTGCTTTTCTTTAGGACCTCCCTGTGTTGGAGGGTATGGAGTTATGTGACCCCCGAACCAAGGAGAACCTTTAGAAGACACCTGTACAGGGAAGTTTTTAAATGCATTATTATGTTCTCATATATATTGGAAGCCTCAGTGGCTGGGGCAGCGTAGTCAAAAGGGCTGCGTATGAATAATAATTATAATTATAATTATTTCCCACGTTCCCTTAGGATGTCCCTATTTTCAATGGAGGGTATGGTGTTATGTGACCCCCCAAGCCAAGGAGATAAGTAACTATACAACTTTTAGAAGACATCTGAAAGCAGCCCTGTTCAGGGAAGCTTTTTAATGTTTACTGTTTTATTATGGTTTTTATATATGTTGGAAGATGCCCAGAGTGGCTGGGGCAACCCAGTAAGATGTGTGGTGTATAAATGATAATGATAATAATATAATAATAATAATTTATTATTTATACCCTGCCCATCTGGCTGAGTTTCCCCAGCCACTCTGGGCGGCTCCCAATCAAGTATTAAAAACAATACAGCGTTCAGTATTAAAAACTTCCCTGAACAGGGCTGCCTTCAGATGTCTTTGAAAGATAGGATAGCTACTTATTTCCTTCACATCTGCTGGGAGGGCATTCCACAGGGCAGGCGCCACTTCCGAGAAGGCCCTCTGTCTGGTTCCCTGTAACCACACTCCTCGCAATGAGGGAATCACCAGAAGGCAGTTACTACTACTACTACTACTACTACTGTTATGGAATAGGAAGTCCCTACTTTCACTGGAGAAATGTTGGAGGGTATACTAGTCATATTTGCAACCTGCCTAGAAAACTTGATTTTCCCTGCTTGTTTGTAGTGCTATTCTATAGTACAACTGTGGGGGGGGGGAGGCGAAAGTGTCAGCAACGGACGGTTGTAGTCCTACAGGATTGCAGCTGGAATCTACACAAATTTGCTCAGATGTAAGCAGTATAAGGTTGGAGGATGGCAACTGTACAGGATTACAGCCAGAACCTGCACTGCTGTTTTCGATGTAATCTGCTAATTAAATAGCAAATTGAAGTGTGTGGTTTGAGGGAACCTAATTCCAGGAAGCAAGCAATTAATTAAAGCGGAGAGCCAGTTAATCAGGGGAATGGACTTGCGGTGCCAGGCATGAAACTGGAAATATACAGCAAGCAACAGGGCAGGGGCAAGGAACCTGGGTCTCCCCCCACTCCTCAGATTTTATTGGACTCAATTTCCCATCAGCCTCAGGAAGCCACAACTCCTCCCATTGCACCGCAGTCCTGCATTTTCCTATCCACACCTCCAAAGAGATTGTACTGCTATTCGGCTTTTCTCTTCCTTAATAGATTTTTCACAGTGTTAAAAAAATGGTGAAAGGGATGGCAAAAGGCAGGAGAGTTGCAATGTTGTCTGTACTGCCCGTAAATTGCATGAAGGAGGCACGGCGACTGCAGATTAAAAGCCCCCTCTGGAAATATCCACAATGTTCTTGATCAGCGTTACCCAAACTTACAGTAGGTCTCCAGCTGTTTTGGAACTACAATTCCCATCATCCCTGACCACTGGTCTTGCTATCTAGGGATGATGAGAGCTGTAGTGCAAAAACAGCTGGAGACCCAAGTTTGGCCTTTTCTGGTTATTGCATCAATGCTTTATCAGGACTCAGCCATACAGCTGCAAATAAAATGTTTTAAGTGCAACATACAATGTGACACTAGAGGACAATGGTGAGCCTTATGGGAAATTCAACGTATTTTTAAAAATGCTGTTTTAAAAATAAAGCATTTTCATAACAGTTTTTATATGTGTATAGATTCCATCTCATGCTTCCTTCAGGTTTCAGAAAAGCTGTTGTCTGTACATAGGATTGGTCCTGTCACTGCTCTCTACAAAGGCCCCTGGAGGAAAAAATATTCCTCCATCCTTTGACAGTGCGCACGCACGCACACACACACACACACACACACATGCATGCACACAGAGAGATAGTATGTCGAGCATCCAGAAAACAATGCAGGTTGAAATGAAGGGACAGATAGAGATTGAGAGAGAGAAAGAGAGAGAGAGAGAGAGAGAGAGAGAGAGAGAGAGAGAGAGAGGATGAAAGACCCGCAAGTTGAGCCAATGAGAAAAGCAAAGGGGGATCCTTACACAGCTCACGAGAGCAGGGGCAATGGTGCTGTTGATGTGATCCACCGCCTGCAGGACCCCTACAGAAGGAAAAAGAAGACACAGAGAGTGTCAGACAGAGGCAGAAGGAAATAAGAGGCAGAGAAAGGAAGGAACACAAGGCCACACACTCTTCACCGTGGAATTTCACTGACTGACATCTGTTGTTTCGGCCAGCCCAAAAGCAGAAAACACACACACAGAGAGGACTCTGGAATTATTGTTTGTCATTCTATGGGCAGAAGCTTGGAATACCCCTACCTTTCCCAAGGAATCTGGACTTATCGTTGTCACGTAGCTCCAGAGCTTCATAGATGCCGGTGGAAGCGCCACTGGGAACAGCTGCCCGGAACATCCCTAGGGAGGAGTAAAAACCAAGGTGGAAAACATTAAGGGGAGGAGCCATCAACACCATTTAAGCCCACAACTCTTCTCTGATGAAACAGCTGCCTTGTCATTTTAGGAAAGTTGTTAAATTGTGGGTGAACATATCAGACGACACAGCGATTCTTCAAACAGCTCTTGCTTATTCACAGGCCAGAACAGAACTAAACTGAAGGGTTCAGCCAGCCTGCTTATATAGAGCTCCAGTACAACATAACTGTAACAATTTTCTAAAACTATCCAATCACTGAACGTCACTTTCGATCCCTTATTTGCATAACTATCTACAGTATCCCCCTGCTGGCCCAGGGTGAGAACTTCAGTACATAACAGAAGTCACCAGCTCTTTTCTTTAAAAATAATAATAAAAAATACAGCTGGTGTTTTCTAACCAAACGCTCCATAAGAAGTCCACTTACTTCCACTTTCGACTGTTTATGACCAATGAATCCAAAGACTAATTCAATTAAATTAACACCGTTAGGTTAAATCACTTTAAAATACCTGTTTTCAATTTCTTGCTTAAAACCCTGAGCCATCCTTCACATTGTACATATAGGTAGGACTGCCACACATTTGGGATTCCCGGATATATCCGGGATTCATCCGTCGAAAACAGCATCTGGGCAGAATTTCCAAAAACTGGTAAACATGTCTGGGAAAACTTGGGCTTGTGGCAACCCATGTTGGAAGTGTTCAGAAACCTCTCTCTTTTTTTGGAGTTTTTGCTCAACAACTTTCGTGTCCAGATTTTCACTTTCTGAAATATGGCAACCCTAATTTAGGCCCACTAACTAACTCAAAGGTTTCTGGCTTTGGCCTGGCCTAAACTGTTGAAATCCTTGTTGGCTGTGTATGTGTGATGAGATCTGTTGCCAGCTGTGAAGCTCCTCCAGCAATGGTCTCTATCCACCTTGTGTGCAGGTAAGTCGAAGATCAGAGCAGAATAATGCACATCCTATCAGAATCTGTGTACATGCAATACTTTTGAAGCACTTTCGCAGCACATCCTTTCCCGCAAAGGTCACTGTAGTTTATCCCTCACAGTTACAGTTCCCAGCAAGTAATAGCAAACCCATAATTATTAGAGGGAAAGGATGTGCTTTGAATGTGCTTTAAAGGAAGGGTGCATAACACAGCTTTAGAGAGCCTCTTGATGCTATAAAGCAGGATATAATATCCACAGAGTCATAGAATAGGAAGGGACCATGAAGGCCCGCTGCAATGCAGGAATATTTCCCCCAATGTGGGGCTCAACCTGAAAACCCTGAGATGAAAAGTCTTGTGCTGAACCAACTGAGCTATATTCTAAATTAAAATAAGAGGTTTGTATCTGGAGAAATGCAATTCTCCTCCCTGAGAGCGCACACATCGCTATTGTGTCTAGTGATTGCAATAGCGTCTAAGGCAGACATGGCCAAACTTGGCCCTCCAACTGTTTTGGGACTACAATTCCCATCATCCCTGGCCCTGTTAGCTAGGGATGATGGGAGTTGTAGTCCCAAAACAGCTGGAGGGCCAATTTGGCCATGCCTGAGTCTAAGGCATCTAAGGCATGACTAGGTACCATAAAACAAAAGCCCTCCACGTGTCCCTATTTTCCAGGGACAGTTCCAGATTTACAGAATCCATCCCAGAATTTGATACCAGAATGTCCTGCTTTCCTTTATGACATCCCTATTTTCAATGGAGGGTATGGAGTTATGTGACCCCCCAAGCCAAGGAGATAAGTAACTATACAACTTTTAGACAACATCTGAAGGCAGCCCTGTCTAGGGAAGCTTTTTTTAATGTTTAATGTTTTATTATGTTTTTATATATGTTGGAAGCCATCCAAAGTGGCTGGGGCAACCCAATCAAATGGGTGGGGCAGTAATAATAATAATAATAATAATAATAATAATAGTATAGTTCTTCCCTATTTTCATCAGAGAAATGTTGGAGGGTATGGTACCCACCATTTCATTATTTTCATTAGCTGCAAACAGCTATTTCACTGCAGCAAGGCTATCCCCCTTGCAGGAATCTAGACCCAGCATTAATTATATGAACACCAAGAGTGTTTTAGTTTTTTGTTATGTAAATTGAAAACTTGGGGAAGGCAAAGGGGCTGTGTGGGTGGGGTGGCAACATTGAACCATTTCTCTCCGAAGCTGCTTTTTGCATTACACTGGAAGCCTACACTGGCACCAACGGACGCTTCCCTGAAATGCAAATAGCAGCTTCAGGGCAGCAATTTTTGCTAGACCTCATACACAGGCAGGGGGACAGCTTGGCTTCTACCTCACCCCCCTGGGTCAAGCCTGATGGATAAGGGTGGCGGAGTAAATAGCACTCAGGCCAATGAGGAAATTGCCTGTCCCCTTGAGTCTGCCTTCCCATGCACAGATTTTACTCCTGAGAAGCTGAGCGGGAAGCTGATGTGTCTCAGTGTTTGCAGTTAAGTACATAGGTAAAGGGACCCCTGACCATTAGGTCCAGTCGTGACCGACTCTGGGGTTGCGGTGCTCATCTCGCTTTATTGGCCGAGGGAGCCAGCGTATAGCTTCCGGGTCATGTGGCCAACATGACTAAGCCGCTTCTGGCGAACCAGAGCAGCGCACGGAAACGCCGTTTACCCTCCCGCCAGAGTGGTACCTATTTATCTACTCGCACTTGACGTGCTTTCGAAGTGCTAGGTTGGCAGGAGCAGGGACTGAGCAACGGGAGCTCACCCTGTCGCAGGGATTCGAACTGCCGACCTTCTGATCGGCAAGTCCTAGGCTCTGTGGTTTAACCCACAGCGCTACCCGCATCCTAGTTAAGTACATATTTATGCCAATTAAAGCATTTTTATTTGATTGTTTCTCAGACATCTGACATGGCAAGCGCTTCAGCAATGGATACAGGGCTGGTAGCTGTTCTTCATGGGCTAAATTCTCAGCACCTCGACCCTGAGGCCTGTGGAAAGGTGTATGCGTGTAAGACTGGGGAACGAAAGCCAGGCACTGCTGTTTGCTTAAAAGAAAGCCAGCGAGGTGGCAGTCTGAAAATGTCTCATTTCTCTGCCTTTCCCAACCATCTCCTGCTCCAAAAGTGGGGATGCATCACAGAGCGTGGCTAAAATTAGATGCTTTTGCTGTGTGGTGACTTTGCTCGGGAGAGGGAGAGAGGGAGAGGCACAGCTCCAGCCTCAGGCCATCTCTGCTTGGCGCCTCCTGCCCTTTCCGGCTCGCTGCCTTGGGACTGAGCTAATCCGTTAGCAGCACGATGCCCTGGACTGCGGCTGAGATCCCAGCTGCCTCCTGCAGTTTGCTGCCCCTCCACCAATACGTACCTTTAGCTGTGTACAAATCCACCTCCACGGTTGGATTCCCACGAGAGTCCAGGATCTCCCGAGCGTGAACCTTCTCAATAGACATGGCGGAGCTGGTCTTTCCTGGAGGAGAACAAACAGAGAGGAAAATGGGACCTGGGATTTTGGTTCCAATGCCCTTGCTGTTCCATGATCTCTTACACCACCTCCAGTTGCATCAAATGGCCACTTGGCCTCAGTATGCAATGAACGGTGTGATAAGCTTCAAGAGGGTTTGGAGAAACAGCATGTTTAATAATGATGGTGATAAATTTATTTTCAAATTTTACAATACATATCAAATATTCTTTATACATTTAATATTGTTATCAACTTCCTTCCCCCCCCCTTTCTGCAGTTACCTAAGTTATCTCTTCTTTTTTCTGCCTCTCCAGCATTAAAGCCTAATTATAATGAATCTCTTATACTCAATAGTTTAACTTCACCATCTGGGTGTGTTTAAGTCAGTCCTTACAACAGTTCTTTAGTCAATAAATGATCCACACTCTTGTTTAAAAATCCTCTCCTCTTGATTTCTTAATCTTTCAATATGTTTCACCATTTCTGCATACTCCAGTAACTTTTGTTGCCAATCATCTTTTGTTTGGGGCTAATTCATCTTTCCACTTTTGGGCAAACACCATTTGAGGTGCCGTGGTTGCATACATAAATAACTTTTTTTGATCTTTAGGTATTTCAGATTCAATTATTCCTAAAAGAAAGGCTTCTGGTTTCTTAACAAAGGTCACTTTAAACTTATAATTATTTGTACCCGGCCCATCAGACGGGATTGTCCCAGCCACTCTGGGCGGCTTCCAACATATATAAAAATATAATAAAACTTTAAACATTAAAAAGCTTCCCTATACAGGACTGCCTTCAGATGTCTTCTAAAGGTTATATAGTTTTGGGATGCAGATAGCGCTATGGTCCAAACCACCGAGCCTCTTGGGCTTGCCAACCAGAAGGTCGTTGGTTCGATTCTGCGCAACGGGGTGAGCTCCCATTGCTCGGTCCCTGCTCCCACCAACCTAGCAGTTCAAAAGCATCCGAGTGCAAGTAGGTAAATAGGTACTGCTGCGGCGGGAAGGTAAACGGCATTTCCGTGCGCTCTGACTTCCGTCACAGTGTCCTGTTGCACCAGAAGCGGTTTAGTCATGTTGGCCACTTGAGCCAGAAAGCTGTCTGTGGACAAATGCTGGCTCCCTTGGCCTGAAAGCGAGATGAGCGCTGCAACCCCATAGTTGCCTTTGACTGGACTTAACCATCCAGGGGTCCTTTACCTTTCTACTATATGGTTTAGGATTACTCATCTCCTTGACATCTGATGGAAGGGCGTTCCACGGGGAGGGTGCCACTGCTAAGAAGTCCCTCTACCTGGTTCCCTGTAGCTTCACATCTCACTGTGAGGAAGCTGGTCTGCTCCCTCTTCTCCCTCTGACTGCTTTTCGTTGTCCCACCACCAATCCCCTGGCTGTGAGCCTTCTTCCCCTGAGGGTTCCCTCGGGGATTCCACAGCTGGTTCCTCTCATCACTTCTCTGCATCCAACCTGTCCATGACAAATAGGAACCCAGCTCACAGCTTGTTTCTTCCAGACAAACCATGAGAGGTAAACCAAGAACAAACCTTGGATACACTTGATGGTTTATCTGAAGTCTGAGCTCAAATGTAACACTAAACAAACCATGGCTTGGCTCCAGGCAGTGTAGCAACAGGAACCGTGGAGGAGTGAAGCGATTATGATTTTTCCTGAGTATCCACACACTCATGTATCATCATCATCATTATCAATATCACTATCATTGTTATAATTTATTTGATTTATATACCACCCTTCATTGTAAGATCTCAGTGCGGTTCACAGAATAAAGGTAAAGGGACCCCTGACCATTAGATCCAGTTGTGACCGACTCTGGACTTGCGGCGCTCATCTCGCTTTATTGGCCGAGGGAGCCGGCGTACAGCTTCCGGATCATGTGAGCAGCATGACTAAACCAGAGCAGTGCACGGAAACGCCATTTACCTTCCCACTGGAGCAGTACCTATTTATCTACTTGCATTTTGACGTGCTTTCGAACTGCTAGGTGGGCAGGAGCAGGGACCGAGCAACGGGAGTTCACCCTATGGCGGGGATTCGAACCGCCAGCCTTCTGATCGGCAAGCCCAAGGCTCTGTGGTTTAACCCACAGTGCCACCCACGTCCCCTTCACAGAATAAAACACAGGATAAAAAAAATTAAAATGAAGGCAAAGCAATAATCTCCCCTTCCCACATTTAAAGGGCTGTAGAATATTAATCTGCCAAAGGCCAGGTTTAGCATTTCATGTGAACGGAGCCATTCTGAATGCAGATATTTTCATACAATTCTGCTTCACGTAGCTCTGTCCTGAACAAAAGGATCGTGGAGGTGGGTGGTGCAATTCTGCAGGGTGTCTTTGGTGAGACATGTTGGTCTTGCAGCCGACATGCAAAATGAGTCAGCCGAGTCAAGTAGATTACAGTCACTGTCTCTACCACCTCTTCTAGAAAAAGATAAAGCGGCACCCTCTGTTCTGGAAGACCTGCCTCTGATGTTTGTGGATTCTCTCTATATTGGTTCAGTACTGGGAGGAAATGCATTCTGCACTGCCTTAGAACCTTGAGTTGGTATGTTCCAGGGCTGAGTTTTGGGGACTAAAAGGAGATGCTGAGGCCAAGTCCCTGCAGACCAGGGCACAAATGAAGGGCTAGCTCCCTCTGACAGAGCACAGCACATGAGACTCCTGCTTTAAGATGTGGTACAGATTTTGCAGCACATTTGCTTTCTCTCTGACAGGAAAGGAGCGTGCCTTTCTCAAAGAAAATCTGCTGTGGGTGGGGGAAGGAACTCACTGTGCATTTACCAAGGTAAGGTCAAGGAGTCCAATGGGCTTGTGAACAAAAAGGAACAATGCAAGAGACACACAACTTGCCCCATACTCCCAGTGTCCCGATTTTACAGGGACAGTCCTGGAATTACAGAAGCCATCTCGGTTTCTGATTTGATCCAGGAATGTCCTGGTTTTCCTTTTCCCTCCCCTCCCCATCTCAGAGAGCAATTAGACGTGGTGGGTAAAAGTAAAGGTACCCCTGACCGTTAGGTCCAGTCGCGGACAACTCTGGGGTTGCGGCACTCATCTCGCTCTATAAGCCGAGGGAGCCGGCATTTGTCCACAGACAGCTTCCGGGTCATGTGGCCAGCATGACTAAGCCGTGGTGGGTAGGTGGGTGCAAAAACAGAGTTCTGTTTATACTGAAAATAAAATCCCTGTACCAAATGAAGGAAATTGTGACACTGACATACGAAGCCCTTCCTATAATTTTGAAGGAATTAGCCTCAAATTCTTTAATCGCAGTGCATCAGCACCACTCCATATGCATGGAGTGTTTATTCCTTAATTGTAAATGGAGCCTTACACTTTCTGCTCAGAAGTAAGTCCCACTGTATTCAATGGACCTGACTCCCAGGCAACTGGTTAAAGACGGTGCAGCCTTACACTGCAATCCTAAGCATTTTTACTCAGAAGTAAGTCTCACTGAGTTCAATAGGATTTGCTCTTTGGTATGTTCCTGATCATTCTCACACTTTATCTCATCATTATCATCCTGACAAGGACTCAAGGCAGCATACCACTAACATTTTATTTCATTCCATTTATCTGTTGAAGATGTTGTACATGATCCCTTTCCTTGCTCAGGTTTTTTTCTTTACAACAATCCTGTGAGGTAAGTTCAGCGGAGAGGTTGGAATTGGCTCGAGGTGACAGGTGTTTACATGATGTCTATGTGTGTGGAAATATCAAATGCGGGAGAAGCTTCCTGATGTAGAATAGGATGTCTCTATTTTCATCTGAGAAATGTTGGGAGGGTGCGCAAACCCTGGCCTCTGCTGCAGGGTTCAGCCCCACGGCGATTAAGCCAGAGGCCTGAGCTCTGCTCTAGATCCGAGTGCCTTTCGTGGAGGCAACGTGCTCCCACAAAAGCAGGCCACGTGGACAAACTCGACATTCTCCTTCCTCATCTCTGCTGTCCAGTTTCCTCTGACTGGAAGCTTACAGTGGAATTACATTCCCCCACAGTGGAATATCATTGCCAGAGAGCTGACATAGGTTCTGCAGACATTTATACCTTTAAAGTACATTTGAAGCACATTCTTTCTCTCAAAGAATTCTGGGCCCTGTAGTTTACCTCTCACAGAGCTCCAGTTCCCAACTACCCAGAACAAACCACAGGGCCCAGAATTCTTTGAGGGCTGTGTGTGCTTTGAATGTGCTTTCCATATATAGCGTGCATACAAAATAGTTGCAAACTGTTTGAGCTGCGAGGCTGCAGCTCAGATCTCACCTCAGGTACAAACTGATGCGCAAGACACTTATTCCCCCTCTGGATGTAACATGGGGGGAAATAATCCTGACCTTCCCTTTGGGGTTATTGTCAGATTACTGAGGTAATATGTCAGGTTTCGCCAACCTGGCAGGCTCCAGATGTTTTTGAGGTGAGTCGTCATAAAAACACCAGATGACATTTGAGGATAGCCAAAAGCGCTTAGGCAAGACTAGAGAAGTTCCCACACATCCTCTCCTGATTGTTGCCTGTTCACATTTGCCTTCGTGCTGATTTCTGCGTTTGTGTCTGAAGTGAACAACAGCATAGGATTCAGTGCCTCCCAAGCTCAGAGAGGCAAGCTGAGTAATCTGACCTTGAGCCTATGAAATCACTGATACCCAGCAGATCTGTGCTATTCCGGAAGGCTTGGGAAGAAGACCGCAGGTTCCATCCGCCTGAGATGGAAGGTAAATGAAATTCAAGAAGCAGGTCTTGGGCCTGAAAGCAACAAGATCATAGCAGAAGCAAAGCAGAGCTGGTGAATTTTCCTTTGCTCTGCACTATTAGGGGTGATACAAGGCATCAGAAAAAGACCTAACCTGCGCTTCTGCTTTCAAGACAGCACATCCTTATGATTGATGTAGCGCACACCCATTTGTTACTTTTATACCCTGCTTTGCAGCAAAGTTTGGTTTCCAAAGCAGCTCACAATAATGAATATTCACAGCACAATCCCTTATTACATGGGTAGGCAAACCAAGGGCCGGGGGCCGAATCCGGCCCAATCGCCTTCTAAATCTGGCCCTTGGATGGTCTGGGAATCAGCGTGTTTTTACATGAGTAGAATGTGTGCTTTTATTTAAAATTAGTCTCTGGGTTATTTGTGGGGCATAGGAATTCATTCATTTCCCCTTCAAAATATAGTCCAGCCCCCCACAAGGTCTGATTTGCTGGAGCAAGTTGTAAGAAATCCTCTTTGGTTGCAAAAGTGTGATACCGATGTCATCCCGGATTGTGCCTCTGTTGTGAGGAATCTGGCATTCAGATGACAATGGAAGTTGCTGGTGAAAGACCAGCACCTCCACTGCCACTAAGAATTCATCTGAAGTGCTTGTGCATCTGTCATGGGCATGACTGGAGAGCATGTATGTATTCTGTGCTAAAATAATTATGAAGCCAGGTAATCCAAATTCAGTGCAAAGAAAAAACTGGATTCTGTGACTTGCATAAATTCTGCAGATGGAGCAAACTGCAGAATTTCTTATTTGGCAAAAATACACTATTCTGCAATGTTTATTATTTGGTACATATTGTTCTGGTTTTGCTAATCACTAGAAAGGGCGAGGAGCTAAGGCACTGAAGCCTTGGCCCCTGACAAATAGACATCTTATTTCGCAACAATCTTGACTCTTGAAATTCACCAAAGCTTTTCCCATTATAATTTCAAACAGCCCTTCATAAGGGCTAGAAAGTTGCTTTCTTAAAAATGGAGGAAGATGAATTCTGTGCCCATTCCCACATCCTGCCCTTTTCTGCATTCATGGAATAAGTAGGATGCATAACATCACAGATGACAAAAGACACACTGTGTCCCGTCCCGGCTTGTGTAATTTTAATAGGAGGATGGGACATTGGATACAGTTATTAAGCTACATCCAATGCGTGGACTTCTCCACTATACAGCATAATTCCCCAGTGGGTTAGCCACTTAAGGCTGCAATTTTATACACACTTAGCTAGGCTTTTGGCTCCCTGTTTATTAAAAAAAAACAAAAGATGATGCACACCCTGCAAGCACAAATTAAAACAAAGTAAGATTGGGTCATGTGAAGGCATTTTCCTGCAGGTGGTATATGTGTAATTGTTTACTTACCACTTTTACACCTCACTCTCCCTGCCAGGGAACTCCGGCAGCAAATATTTGCCATGTGTACAGTGCAACACTATACAGAAAAGGCCAATTCAATTCAATGTGAGTTACTCCCAGGTAAGTCCTCCCATGTACTGAGGTTCTTACCCGCTGCATGTCATCTGTTGCGATTGGTGTGCTTAGGTACAGGATTGGTGCTTGAGGAACGGCACAGGCAAACTCAGGGAGGCGCCCAGAATTATTGCGCTTGCTTAATATACCTGCTTGGGCTCTTTCTCGAAGGATCTCATCGAGTGCTGTGTAATTCTGAAGCAGACCCCCTTCCAGACTTGCTTAGCATCAGCAATACCACTGTGACAGGTGTCTTGAGACCATTTTCGCATCTGTCATCTTCTCTAGGCTACTGGCCCCAAGGGAAGAGACGAAGTCCTCAGGAGAGCAAGTGGTTTGCCCACTGGTTTCGGCATATTTTTTAACATTTGAGTTGTGTCTGCTTATTAACTTGCAGAGGTGCCACTCTGCGTGGCTTAATGCACAAATGCCTTGGGAACATGGAGGAGGGGCAGAGGAATCCCCCCACCCATCCCCCCACCAAGCGAGGACTCCTTTCTAGGATCAGTTGACTTGTTTCCTTACTCGCTTCCCGCCTTATTCGTTGTTGCTAAGCTCTTTTGCCAGCAACAGCTACAACCTGGAAAGAAGAATCTTTAGAAGAATGGCAACGCACGTTGACCTGACACTGTGCCAGGAAGAGATTTATGAACACCCCCTCCACCTGCATTGTGTGTGACGCAAAGGGCAGGCTATGAACGGGGGGGGGGGGCAGAATGGAGAAGGCCGCAAACACCACAGTAGGTGGTGGGGGAGAGGAGAGATGGAGCCTGACACAGCGCCGGAAAGAGAAGAAGGGAAAAGGTGCAAGGCACAGCACTGCTAAGGGTTTAGTCTCCTCTGCACTGCCAAAACCTGCAAAAATTGCAGATAACCACGCCAGGAAAAGCCTCTGGTGCCTGGGAATTTCAGCCAACAAGGCAGGGATTCTCCAGCACCTACGCAGGTCTCTATTCCCCTCCCACCATATTCTGCAGCACCTTCTGGGTCGGTATTTCCCGCCGTCATCTGCTCCAACAGCTGCTCTGCACTCCCAAACGGCTTGCCCAGTCTGTTCAGATGCCACAGGCGCTCTCAGTGGGGTGCAAAGACCCAGGACCATGGAAACGTCCTTGCCCCAGTGTCAAGAAGAACTCCCCCCCCACCTCGGGCATGTGTTTGTGTGCACAGATGTACTGAGGACTCCCTGGGCATCAATATTTCTGCAGCAGAGCCCAAACTGTCAGCAATCCAGCCCAAATAAATTCCCGGCGGCTCATCCGTGCTTTTGCTGGCTTTGCCTTTTGATTCATTCCGGTTCGGACAGAGATTAGACAAAGCCATTGGCTGTGTGCCTGATCCATCCCCCCACCCCGCATCCTTTTCCAAGGGTCCTTGGGTTCAGAATAGGAAGGACTTTTGCAGGCTGTCCCCCCCTCCACTTTCATTCCTACTCATCCTTCCGTCTCTCTCTCTTTCCTGCCCCCCCTCCTCCCACAACTATTTTCCAAGCTAGAAGTGGGGTGGGGGGAGCAGAGAGACAAGAGCACTGTCCTCTAAGGAGGTCAGGGCCAGATAAGCAGGGATAAGGGTTGGGGCGGGAGAGGCAGAACTGGGAACCCAGAGGCAGTCATTGGTACCAAGAATATACAAGCTGCCGTGAGATGGTGCAGTGAGGGCTTCGCTTCCCTGGTTCCCATCGCTTCCCAGTCCGTATTAACTGGAGCCCAGGAATCCACCTTATGATGACTTTTGGCTCTTTGGGCAGCGCTGGTTGGCATGGCTGCAACCTTGCCACGCAACTATAGAATTATTGGGTGATGGTGACGGGGGGGGGGGGGAGAAGCACAGCTTGATCCCTGGGGTGGCAAAGTCCTGTGCTTGCCAGACTCCCTTGCCATCCCAGCAAAGGCAGGCTTAATAGTAGCACCCTCCCCCTCTGATGCCTCCAGCTCAAGAACCCACCAAGTGGGGGCACCGGCAGGAGTTGGGGCAAGAAGAATCTCAAAAGCCCATGAGCAGAGGCTGGAGGATTGGAAGAAGCAGAACCAATCCTTGGGATGGTGGTGGGATAGAGAGCAGACCCCTCCAACATTTCTCTGATGGAAAGGAAAGGCAGGGTCAAATCAGAAAGCGGGAGGGCTTCTGTAAATCCGGAACTGTCCCTGGGAAATAGGGACACTTGGAGGGTCTGAGATAGTATTTTGAGATGCGGAGGGACAGGGGTTTCGCCTTGCGGGAGGAGACGGGGAAGCCACTTACCTTCCTAAGGCAGAAGCAGGAAGGCTGGCCAAGGCAGCAGCGCACTAAGCAGAGATGGATGGCGAGAGGAAAGGTACAGGATGCGAAGGGGAGCAGCTCTGTCCTCTGAGCCAGCGGCAGGAAGAGCAGCAAAAGCAGCAACAGTGGGATGGAGCCGCCCCTGATAGGGCCTGGGCGGGAGCATGTGACCAAGAGCTGGGATGAGTCAGGATTTCAAGGGAGCTTTGCAAACAGCACGTAGAGGATGGAGAGAGGCGGGGAGGGAGGGAGGGAGGGGCGGCGGTGCTGCAGGGATGGGATGCCAAAAACAACACACTCAGCCCGGCTCCATCAGACTTCTTTTCCTGCCCTCCTTTTTTAATCCACAGTCACATGCATCACATCACATCCCATTCAAAGCGCAGAGACGCTCCTCTGTCTCTCGGCCCCTTTCGGGTACTACGCGCCAGGGAAGCAGCGCTCCTTGGGTCGGCGCTGCGCAGCGCAGGAAAGAAGGAGGCTTTGCAAGGCGAGCTCCTGCTCCACTCCGCGAAGCAGCTGGCAGCTGAGCTCCGGAAAAGCGGCTCTGGGCAAACGCCCTGTCTGGGGACTGGCACTCTCGTGTCATTCTGGCGCATCTTCCTCCTGAGCGAGGTCATCCGTTTCCTGGAAGAAAAAGGGGAGGGGGCGGAGTGGATAGGAAGAAGAGAGGGAAATTGGGTTATTTCCGGATGGAGGGTCTTTCAGGTGGCAGGCGGCCTGATTTGGCATACACGACACCCGCAAGACGCACAAGGAGAGGGCTGGTCCCATCCGCTTCTTGAGAGCCCAGATACTAAGATCAGAAGAAGTGCACAATCCACACAGAGGGTCTTCTGTGCCGACTCTGTTGAAATGGATGGGAATGCGCAGCGGCCAGCAATTCTGAGGCGGCTGGTGTAAAACTTCTCACTGGATGATTATGCACTCCTAGAGCATCAAGTCTAACAACCTTAGCGCAAAATTTCTCCTTTCCCTCCAACTGCCTTCTGCTTTCATCTCTTTTATTAGCGGTCAGCTACTCACAGAATTGTAGAGTTGGAAAGGACCACGAGGGTCATCAAAACCAGCCCCCTGCAATGCAGAAATCTTCCGGCCAGTGTGGGACTCAAACCCATATTCCCGGCATTAAGAGTCTTATGCTCTACCAACTGAGCTAGCCTTATGCTTGTCTGTCTGTCTGTTTTTATAGCATCTAGAACATATTAGAAGCTTTATAACTAATAAATGGTGGTGATCAATTTTATATATATATATATATATATATATATATATATATATATATATATTCTCTTCTGTAGGTATGGTTTTATTCATTTTCGGATTAGCCATAGGATCACACAACTAAAAGCACAGAATGCTGACATTTACAGTTTGCTTCCAGGCGGGAGCTGCAAAGAGTAGGGGTGAAACTAGGCTTTATTTCACCCAGGTCAAAGACACCCCCCCACACACACACACATGCATTTGCCTACACACACACACACGGGCTGGGAGCCTCAATGGCGCCCCTCTGGGGGTTTCACCTGGGGTGAAAAACCTGGTTGTCCCCCCCCCATTGCTACAGCACAGCAAAGGGGTTGCAAATGGACCACTGGCAGGAGTTATTTTTAATTTATTGGATTTTATCCAGAAAGGACAGATCCAGATTAAATTGGGGGAGGGGGGAAATGGGCTGGTATTTCAACACCAATTATGTTGTGTGGATGCTGCAAACACTTGAATGCATGAGGAGCACCAGTCCTGCCATAAAGCACCCATCTGGAAGCATTCCTTAGAAAGAAGGAAACCAGCTGCTTGAATTCCTGCTTCAAAAGTCTCCCCACCCATGCCCCCCGGTAGAGAAATGTGGATGTGAAAAAATTGCTTCATTCATTCTCTCATTCGCTCGGAGTCCTGACACACAAAGAGTTAAGAACAGCTGCTGAACAAGGCTAGCATGCTAGCGGTGGACACCCAGGCCTATGAGAGGCTAAACACATACTCACAGCATCTTTACTTTCCATGTTATGCTTTCATCCTCCTAATAATGTTCACTTGCCACCTGAAACATCTCAAGATATTTTGCCCAGAAGATCGGCCTATGGCACTCTTTTTCCAACAGTGACCAGCCAGATGTCTCTGGGAGCTCAACAACCAGGGCAGAAAGCCTATGACTTGTGGTTTGGGCCAAGCACTTTGAATGGGTGTGGGTGTCAACGGCTGCCATTTTCTGCACCTTTCCCAGCTCTGAGATATCCATCTGGAGATGCGAGGACCACAGCGGTGCGCAGTATTCTAACGGTGGCCATGCCATAGATTTGAAAAATGGCATTAAGACTTCTTGTTTCATTTTCAACCCCTTTCCCCAGTATAATGTGCTGCACAGAATTCATTATAACATTGTTGTTGAGCAAGACCTCCAGGTCAGCTTTTAACAAAGCAACTAGCATGCATGCGATTGGATCCCGCCCAGAGAGAGCGACAACGCAGGGAGTGATCTAAGGCTGAATGTGACCAGATTCCTGATTTCAGGCTTTTCTCTTCTTAAGTGGGGATCTACACTATTCGCACCACCCCTGCCCCTGTGCTCAAATTATGGGGAGAAACAAATACAGTGGTACCTCTGGATACGAATGGGATCTGTTCCGGAGCCCCGTTCGCATCCAGAAGCAAATGTAACTAGCGATGGCACGTCTGCGCAAGTGGCAAAACCCGGAAGTAATGCGCTCCGTTACTTCTGGGTTGCCGCGGAGCGCAACTTGAACGCGCTCAACCCAAAGCGCATTCAACCCGAGGTATGACTGTAAATTAAATCCACACACTCCTTTCCACCCCCTCCTCCATTATAGCCAAATTTTATCACTTTAAAAAACGGCAGGGAAAGAGGCTGTGTCACCAAAGGGAGGAGAGTGTGGTTCTCTGTGGCTCCTGACAATTTGAGCCTTCGCTGCCCCTCCTGCCACCCCCCTTTGTGTCTCACTTCCAGCTCCAGCTCCTTCTCTCTCTCCTTCTCTCTCTCTAGTTCCAGCTCTTCTTCCCGGCGCCTCTGCCGTAGCTCCTCGGCATCCGTCCGTTCGTCCTCTTCAAAGAAATCCTTATCGAGGCGCTCAAGGCGTGGAAGCATCACCAGCACTTCCACCCGGTAGTCCCCCTCCTCCGTGCAAGGGTTGTCTAGCAAGACCAGGGCTCGTAACATGGGCAGCACCAGCAGCTTTGACACTTCCTGGAGCTGCACAATCGCATTCCCCCTGCAGGAGAATGAAGAAGTTAGCAGGTGCGGGAACTTCCAGGTCCTCCTGCTGAAAATGTTCCCTCTGTGCACCGGTTTGGCTCTCTGATGCCAGTTTTCCCTTAACAGCCAGTGCCATAGTTAAGTACCTTCTATGCACAAGGCAGTCTTCCTGTGCTGTACATAGGTAAAGGGACCCCTGACCCTTAGGTCCAGTCGCAAACGACTCTGGGGTTGTGGCGTTCATCTCGCTTTATTGGCCGAGGGAGCCAGCGTACAGCTTCCGGGTCATGTGGCCAGCATGACTAAGCCGCTTCTGGCGAACCAGAGCAGCGCACGGAAATGTCATTTACCTTCCCGCCAGAGTGGTACCTATTTATCTACTTGCGCTGCTTTCAAACTACTAGGTTGGCAGGAGCTGGGACCCAGCAATGAGAGCTCACCCCGTCACGGGGATTCGAACCGCCAACCTTCTGATCGGCAAGCCCTAGGCTCAGTGGTTTAGACCACAGTGCCACCCTTGTGCTGTACATACATAGACTCTAGAAATGGCACCAGAGTGAGCCGAGAATGGCAGGAGCCTTTGAAGCATGGCTAGGCCACTATATGGCCACTGGGACCGCATAACACAGCTCCCAAAAAATCTATACTGGCTTCCACTACATCTCCAAGCACAATTCAAAGTGTTGGTGTTGATATTTAAAGCCCTAAATGGCCCCAGCCCCCTATACCTGAAGGAGCATCTCCACCCCCATCGTTCAGCCTGGGCACTGAGGTCCAGCTCTGAGTTCCCCCACTGCCAGTGATATAGCGTGGGGGGGGCATAGGAGCCATGGCCCCAGACGCACAACCTGGGAGGCATGAGCCATGTGCCCCCCCCCCGAGAGACCACCCCTTGCGCTCTGCCAACGGCGGGGCCTGGAGATCACAGAGGTTGAAGATCACCTTCTGTGTGTCCTGCCCCTGTCTGACACGCCCAGCCACATCTCCCCCTTCCCAATCTTCTGTTTCCTCACAGCCAGCTGGCAGCTCTGGTGGAGAGAGGAGAGTGGTCGGCAATGCTGCCGCCCACTCCCCTGAACTGGGGCACACAAGTGCACCCCTGTGCCAGGGCCAAAGCGGGCTCCTTCCATGCCCTGCCCCTTGGAGGGTGCGTCCTGTGTACCTGACTTGGGCACTATTTAGATACTCCCTGTCCCTGCTCACTGGAAGAAGTGAGGTTACAGGAAACCAGGCAGAGGGCCTTCTCGGTAGTGGCACCCTCGCTGTGGAACGCCCTCCCATCAGAGAAAAAGAACTACACAACGTTTAGAAGACACCTGAAGTTTTTAATGTTTGAGGTCTTATCATGTTTTTATATGTGTTGGAAGCTGCCCAGAGTGGCAGGGGTATAAATATAAATATGATAATGATAATGATTATGCCCAGCCTATGGGCCCAATTTGGCTCATGGGGCAATTTCCTCCACACCTGACATTATTTGTCCTTGTGCACTGGTGCTGCCAGTGCACAGCTGAGAGCCTTAAAGTGCACTCTCAGTTGCGCATTGGAAAGGGAGGCTTGCTGTCACTGTCAGTCAGCTGATTGGCAGCGAGAGCAAGGCAGGTGGTCAGCAGTCAGCTGATCCAGGGGTTTGCAAAAAGCACTGCTCAGCACTTTGTAGTGCTTCCAATCAGTTGATTAGCGCCGCTTCAAAGCACCACACAATGCCCTGCACAAGCCCTACTTCAAAGTCCTGAGATTGTTGGGACTTCAAAGCACCCCATCAGTGGCCCACCAGCCAGATCCAGTTTCCTACCTATGCTTTAAGGATGCTGATGTTGAAATTCCAAGTTCTCACTGTTCAGATAGACTGCTCGTGCTCAGGATTGCTAGCTACAGCTATCTACTTTCACAGATTTCTTATTTTCTCATTCCAACCACTCCTGCTCAGATTTGGTGGCCAAATATGGTTCAACATCTCAGTAACAACACTGTACAGCAGGGGTGACCCTTCCCAGAAGCTGTTTGGCTCCAATTCCCATCAGTCTCATTGGCATGGCCAATAGCCAGAGATGATGGCAGTTACAGTCCAATATCTGATGGGCCACAGGTTAGGTAAAGGTAAAGGGACCCCTGACCATTAGGTCCAGTTGTGGCTGACTCTGGGGTTGCGGCGCTCATCTCACTTTATTGGCCAAGGGAGCCGGCGTACAGCTTCCGGGTCATGTGGCCAGCATGACTAAGCTGCTTCTGGCAAACCAGAGCAGCGCATGGAAACACCGTTTACCTTCCCGCCAGAGTGCTTTCAAACTGCTAGGTGGGTAGGAGCAGGGACCGAGCAATGGGAGCTCACCCCATCGCAGGGATTTGAACTGCCAACCTTCTGATCAGCAAGCCCTAGGCTCTGTGGTTTAGACCACAGTGCCTCCCGCATCCCTTGTGCTGTACATACATCGACTCTAGAAAGGGCACCAGAGTGAGCCGAGAATGGCAGGAGCCTTTGACGCATGGATAGGCCACTATATGGCCACTGGGACCATATAACACTGCTCTGGTGGGCCACAGGTTAACCACCCCTGATTTACAACAAATACTTCAAGGAGCTAAGAACCAGTCTCAAACGTAGACTTGGCTCAGATACCACTCCCTGCCTCCTGTGCCGTTTCCCCTCTTATTTCTAAGAGGCCCTGGTGGAAATTCTGTACTACAGGAAACAACTCACCGTAGGTTGAGATACTGGAGAGACTTCAAGCTTGCTGAGAAGCCATCCAGGGTTTCAATCTGATTGTCGCGCAGATGCAAAGTTGTGAGCTGCCCCAGGTCCTCTAGGCCCTCTATTACGGTAATGGCATTCTGGGCCTAGGGGGAAAGATGTTGCAATGTAAGAGAAAGACGACATAGTAAAAGGTAAAGGACCCTGGACAGTTAAGTCCGGTCAAAGGCGACTATGGAGTTGCGGCGCTCATCTCGCTTTCAGGACGAGGGAGCCGACGTTTGTCCGCAGACAGCTTTCCAGGTCATGAGGCCAGCATGACTAAACCACTTCTGGTGCAATGGAACACTGTGACAGAAACCAGAGTGCATGGAAACGCTGTTTACCTTCCTGCCGCAATGGTACCTATTCATCTACTTGCACTGGTGTGCTTTTGAGCTGCTGGGTTGGCAGGAGCTGGGACGGAGCAACAGGAGCTCACCCCGTAGCGGGGATTCAAACCGCCAACCTTCTGATCAGCAAGCCCAAGAGGCTCAGTGGTTTAGACCAGGCACAGGCAAACTCAGCATCCCTGACGACTAGTCCCAAAACATCTGGAGGGCCGAGTTTGCCTATGCCTGGTTTAGACCACAGCGCCACCCACGTCCTCAGACATAGTATTGATCCAGAGTACATCCATATACCCAGCAAGGTAAGCGGACCTTATAACTGGTAACCTGTCGAAATCCAATAGATTTGAGGGCATATCTATACTACAAAACTCTGTTGCAGCATGAAACACAGCATAATCACGCATGACATTAACTGCATGCATACAATTAACAGGCCACATGAAGCCTGAGTAGCCCTGAGGTTGGTGATACTGAAAGCACATGTGTTTGCTCAGGCATTTGGGGTTCGTAGTTAACGAAGCCGTCATCAGTAAAGTTCTCTTACCAGGTACAGAGTTTTCAGCTTGGGCAGGCAGAATCCAGCTGTAGACTTTAGGCTGTTTCCCCGCAATTCGATTGTCTGCAGGTTTGACAGCTTTTCTGGGTCCAGTCCTGTTATTGTCTCGATCTCATTACCTGGGTGACGGAAGAATTAGACTGTGATGAAAGGGATTCTTTCCCCCAGGAGATTACAGAGGATGAGTTTTGTCGTTGAGGGCTAGAGGGACTCTCTTGAGCGTTGCACACCTACTTTTCAGGTTGAGGCTGACCAGCCGTGGGTGCCCAATGCCATTGCTGTCCTTGATGTGATTGCTGGCAAAGCTGGCATGCTGCAGGTAGATCAGCTCATCTAGGCCGGCGCTAGTTAGCCGATTGCCATCCACCTTCAGCCACAGCAGATGCGTGAGTCCTGACAGTGGGGACAAGTCTCGGAGCAGGTTTTCTGACAGGTCTACATAACGCAAGTGGATGAAGCCTTGAATGAGGTTGATGTCTGTCAGTTCCCTACCGCAGGATGAGGGCAGAAAGCAATGTTATTTACCAGTGCTAGCTTACCAGGGCGTTTGTCCCAAACTGCTCAATTTTCCCAGGAAGATTGGACAAGGAAATTATCCCGTTTCTGGGCAGCTGCACCCATTGGACGGGAGGAGAAATGGGGGGCAGGTTAGTCACGCCTGTGCACTCACTTTTCTTTGGCCTCAAATTTCACAAATGCATGAGCCAGGCCATTGCCGGTTTTACATAACATCGAAAGGCCTTCCTTCATGTGCTCTTCGGTGAGAGGGTTTGAGACTTGGTGCTGGGAGGGAGGAAGCACAGCAAGAAGAAAAAAGACATCGGATAAAATTAAAGTTGTAAAGCGGCAAAGATTTCTGCTGAATCTTTAAATTTGCCTCTGAATCAGGAGATCAGGCAATGACGACTTATCCCTCAACCCCACAAATTTTACACACACTGTGCCTTCTCACCTGTGTTACACCTGGAATTCTGTTCACTACAGAAGGCAGGTTAGGGGGGCACATCAAAAGACTGGAATGGGGTCAGAGGTGATCAAAGACATTGCCGCTCTGCCCCCCCAGTTTAGTGGCCTGGAAACGATGCCTTATGAGGAACGGCTAAGGGAGCTGGGCATGTTTAGCCTGGAGAAGAGGAGGTTAAGGGGTGATATGATAGCCATGTTCAAATATATAAAAGGATGTCACATAGAGGAGGGAGAAAGGTTGTTTTCTGCTGCTCCAGAGGAGTGGACACGGAGCAATGGATCCAAACTACAAGAAAGAAGATTCCACCTAAACATTAGGAAGAACTTCCTGACAGTAAGAGCTGTTCGACAGTGGAATTTGCTGCCAAGGAGTGTGGTGGAGTCTCCTTCTTGGAGGTCTTTAAGCAGAGGCTTGACAACCATATGTCAGGAGTGCTCTGATGGTGTTTCCTGCTTGGCAGGGGGTTGGACTCGATGGCCCTTGTGGTCTCTTCCAACTCTATGATTCTATGATTCTACCATATTTTTGCTCTATAAGACGCACCAGACTGCAAGATGCACCTAGGTTTTGGAGGAGGAAAACAAGAAAAACATATTCTGAATCTCAGAAGCCAGAACAGCAAGTGGGATCGCTGCGCAGTGAAAGCAGCAATCCCTCTTGCTGTTCTGGCTTCTGGGATAGCTGCACAGCCTGCACTCGCTCCATAAGACGCACACACATTTCCCCTTACTTTTTAGGAGGGAAAAAGTGAGTCTTATAGAACAAAAAATACGGCAAATGGCAGCTGCAATCTGAGTTGCAGTCTGGCAGCCTTAGATAAAATCAGGGTCCATGATCCTTTACAGAGATGACCATGGGGCACCCAGAAAGTATGAAACAATGCAGCTACGTTACGTAAGAACATGAACCATTCCTGAAATATAATAACCAATGAGCCTCTTGCATATGTACTTTAAGTATGTATACAAACTCAATGAGAGGTGTGAGCTTGCTTTTGGCAGGTAATCTCATTTATACGAGGCCTAATTTGAGGCAAACAGACTCCCATCTCCTCATCAGCATTTGCTCTTGCTCTCATTTTGAAAAGATATCTATTCACATTCTGCAAATAAAAAAAATTACTATTTTCATGCTATACTATGCTACACTATGCTGAAATGTTTCTTTGATTAGCCTTGAATCTTCCGGCCAAGGCAGCAGACAAGAAACAGACCCATCTTGGAGTATTTGCCTTTCTCCACCACGGAAGTCAACAGGGAAGAAATTTCTTCTGCCCAGTCTAGGGCCGGTGGAATGCTGTGCCATGGATGGGGGTAAATGTGTTGCTCTTGTCTGCCGCTCAGATATCACCCAAGACTCCATCCTGTTCTGCTGGCAATACCTTATTTTAACACCCATGGACCAAGCAAGGTTTCCTCCAAATCCTATCACTCCTCAGCCATCAGAACTCACGTACAGGATTTCACCCTTCGTCCACTGACATGAAAGAGCCTAACTTTGGTTGAATTGTGTCCTGCATTTCTGAACATAAAAACAAAACAAAAAAGCCGCCAATCTGTTACCTCTTCCTCCTCCTCCTCTGGCGCTTCCTTCTCCTCCTCCCCTTCCACCTCGTCTCCACCTTTCTCTTCAGCATCATCCTTCTGATCTTCGACTTCATCTTCATCATCCGGCTCCTCATCTGACATTTTCAAGGGCTGGTACAACGAAACAGACTAAATGTGGTTTTTCAGCCACTGGCTAGAGAGAGAGAGAGTCCCCAAATTCCCATGGAACACGAGTCTAGACTGTGGGCTCCCGGTGAAAGAAATACCCATTCATCTCAACCCAGATCCATGCATCCCACCAGCATCTCATCCCATCCTTGGTAGTGGTAGGAAGCACATTTTAGGAAAAGCAGGGGTTGTCAATGTTTTGGGGCCTGTGGTCCTATCAGTGGCGTAGCGTGGGGGTGCAGGGGGGGCCGGCCACACCGGGCGCAACATCTGGGGGTTAGGGTTAGGGGGCGCAAATCCACGGGTTAGGGGGCGCAAATCCACGGGTTAGGGGGCGTAAATTACTTGCCTTGCCCCGGGTGCTGACAACCCACACTACACCACTGGGTCCTATTTGCAAACCACTTGTGGGCACCACACACAAACACCACAGCCAAACACACAGCGCAACCAATCCTATCAGCTAGGTCTAATTTCAAGTCTAATTTCAGCAGCATAGGTGAGGCCTCAGCAGGCACATGTTTGTCCATGAGTCTGTTGCCGACATCCATCTGTCTTGAGAGACAGTGGAGTGAGCCTCTGGGGGTGAAGTCAGACTCAAGTGACCTCCTTGGTGAAGATGATTGACTTTTCGGAGCTAGCTGACCTGACTGGAAGAATCTGCGACCAGAAAGAAGAGGAGTTTCAAGAGGACTGGAGGAAATTTAAGGACTATTTGAATAAATATTGTAATATAAAAAATTAGAAATTACTTGAAAGAAACAAATAGGCCTAGAATTAAACTAAGTTATAATTAAATAAATGGGATTTAGAATATTAAGAAATGTGAATAAGATGGACTATAATTGGAAATTGTTTTAGTTCAATAATGATATTGGAAAGCTGCTACTTTCAACTACAAGAAAACTCAGAAGGGAGGGACTAGAGGAAGTCAACCAAGATGTTTAAAAGGTTGGATTTGTAAAGAATTAAGTTTGTTGTTATTGTTTATCTGTTTATCTGTTTATTGTTCCTTCCCCCCCCTCTTTTGTTCATTGATGTATTTTTCTTTTTTCTTTTCTTTTTTTCTGTTTTTGTGTGTTATTCTGCTTTGTGGTTTTTGTTGTTATTGTGGAAAATCTAATAAATCAAAGAAATAAAAATAAAATAAAGTGACCTCCTTGGGGCACAAGCCTGAGCAGTGTGAATGGAGGTCCTGGGCTGCCCAGACTTCAATACCCCCTTCTCGACATCGCTGATGGGGTCCAAAAGAAAGCAGAGCAATACGTCTGGCACCAGCTTGGCTCCAGGAGTTGCCCGAAGCGGGCATACGAGGTGCCGTCCAACTGTCTTAGGGACTCCATATTTATGTAGGGTTTACTCCTTAGCCTTTCCCCCTTTTCTCCTGAAGATGTACCACAAGGCAGTGGAGTTGTAGGACCAGAGTTTCCCTTCTCCTAGATGGGCTACCATCCCTGGTGGACAAGCCCCATCTGCCCCTCACTTTCCTCTACAGTACATACAGAAACCACCTTCTTGACCTTTGAACCCATTCTTGGTCTCATCCACTCAGTTCACCGGATCATGTCATCACATGCAGGGGAGGTCCCCAACTCGCTGAGGGTTTGAGACCCAGCAGCTACCCTCACCTGGTTTAGCTGACCCGTCAAAGTCGTTCCCGGGGTGTGACCAATGTCACATGCTGACAGCGTCTAGCAGTCACAGGTGAGAGCTGACTGCAGGGTGGGGACCAAAGGTGGCCAAACGACCCCAGAAGGAGTGCGTCATGTGCCCCAGCAGAGGTACTAAAGGTAAAGGTAAAGGGACCCCTGACCATTAATCCAGTCGTGGCCGACTCTGGGGTTGCGGCGCTCATCTCGCTTTATTGGCCGAGGGAGCCGGCGTACAGCTTCTGGGTCATGTGGCCAGCAGGACTAAGCCGCTTCTGGCGAACCAGAACAGCGCATGGAAACACCGTTTACCTTCCCGCTGGAGTAGTACCTATTTATCTACTTGACTTTGAAGTGCTTTCAAACTGCTAGGTTGGCAGGAGCAGGGACCGAGCAACAGGAGCTCACCCCGTCGCGGGGATTTGAACTGCCGACCTTCTGGTTGGCAAGTCCTAGGCTCTGTGGTTTAACCCACAGCGCCACCCACGTCCCAGCAGAAGTACTACCCCACCCCTGATACCCCATACACCCCTGGGTACCACACAGGTAACCCCTGCTGTATTTCAATTGGTCCTTGATGTAAGTTCTGGCCACCTGAGGTTTTTTTTTAACCTTTCTGTCTAGCTAATGCCATCTGGCCTGGATTCCCTAACTGGCCTGGTCACAAAGACAAGACACCTCAGAAATGTCTCTATCAGCGTAAGGTTGCCCAACAATTTTGAGAAAAACTAAAAAAATATATGTGTGACAATCTATATATCAGAGAGCAATAAGGATTGTATCCCCCCCACCTCCCACCCCGGTTCTGGAGCCAGGAGCAAAAGTCTAAAATGCAGGGCAAAAAGCAGCAACGACCAAGCACAACGATGCGATCCTGCCATGTTTTAAACAGTGCTAAGGCAAAGAGTTGTGGGCTGAGGAGCTCAGCCACCTGCTCACCCTTTTTTTTATTTATTAAATAATTTTTATTAAATTTTCCATTTTAACAATCCAATCAAATCACATTAAGTACTCCAAATTATACAAATACATATCATATAGTCCAAATATTCTGCCAAATTATAAATTTTTGTTGGGGCTCCCCATGCTTCAAGTTCAGTGGGGCTCTAATCATCTTATGTTTCTACTGCCTTGAGTTGCCAATAGTTCCTTCTTTAAATCTCCTTGTTGTTATCCTTCCGCCACCTGCTCACCCTTAAAAGGAGGCGAAAATTCACAGATGTAACTTGTCACAGTGCTGAGAGAAGCGGCGCCTGCTCAACTTCCCCCCTTCGCTATTGCCCTCCTGAGCAAATGATGACCCTCGGAGCCTGCGATCCCCAAACCAGCCAAGCCACAGACCCCTTAGACCCCTCTCCCCATCTCCCTTCCCTGCTAACCCTTCTTCTCCCTTTGCGTGGGGAGGATCCAGGATGGGGAAGAAAGAAGAGCAACGACAGCTACCCACGCTCAAGCTCCGAGCTGCTGCTGCTGCTGCTGCTGTTTTGGCCGGGGCGAGAAGGCGGCTGGCGAGGTGTTTCCGTTGCTACGGGCCCGGACGCACGCCGTTGCCAGAAGCCTCCGCTCCCCGGGCAACCGCGACCTGTTTGACGGGTGGTGGTTGTCGCCCAGTGCGGAGGGGTCGGAGCTGGAACGAGGCAGGCGCGGGCGCTGATTGGCTGAGGGAGCGGCATGATTTGCATGAAGAGGCGGGGGGGGGCAGGAAACCTCACCTCTGTTGTTGTTGAGTCGTGTCCGCCTCTTCGTGACCCCCTGGACCAGAGCACGCCAGGCACTCCTGTCTTCTTCCACTGCCTCCCGCAGTTTGGTCAAACTCATGCTGGTAGCTTCAAGAACACTGTCCCACCATCTCGTTCTCTGTCATCCCCTTCTCCTTGTGCCCTCCATCTTTCCCAAGATCAGGGTCTTTTCCAGGGAGTCTTCTCTTCTTATGAGGTGGCCAAAGTCTTGGAGCCTCAGCTTCAGGATCTGTCCTTCCAGTGAGCACTCAGGACTGATTTCCTTAAGAATGGAGAGGTTTGATCTTCTTGCAGTCCATGGGACTCTGAAGAGTCTCCTCCAGCACCATAATTCAAAAGCATCAATTCTTTGGCGATCAGCCTTCTTTATGGTCCAGCTTTCACTTCTATACATCACTACTGGGAAAACCATAGCTTTAACTATACGGACCTTTGTTGGCAAGGTGATGTCTCTGCTCTTTAAGATGCTGTCTAGGTTTGTCATTGCTTTTCTCCCAAGAAGCAGGCGTCTTTTAATTTCGTGGCTGCTGTACAATGCAATAAATAAATAAATAAATAAATATCCCATTGGGAAACGCTCAACTCAGACTCTCTTCCTCTGTGAACTCTGCCCTAGCTTCAGCTGAGTGTGTGTGCCGGCTGCCAGCATGGTGCTAGCTAGACTTAAGTCCAAGGCCTCATGTCCCTTATCTGTGTAGCAATGTAATCTGTCAATCTGTGGCTGTCAATATATTTTATTTTTTAAAAGCATAGCTTTAGCTTTCTGGGAGGAATTCAACATTGCGTCATTCTGACCATGCTGGTCAATGCAAGCACTTATGCTTGCCAGATAGAAGACGTCCCTTCTCCTCCCCTTCTGTGCTGTTCTGGGGCTTCTTTTGACCCTCCCTCCAAGAGCTAATATGGGGGGTTGCACAGGGGGGAGGAGAGGGGAGAAAGCCCCATTACACTGGCAGGACTTGTTGCACTGGGTCCCACTGGCACAACTGTTTAGTTGAATCCAGGGCTCTCTATACCAACGGCAGGATTGATTGAATTAAACTATTCCCCGTCTTATTACATTACTGGTGGGCTGGATGGAGAGAAATACATTGGCTCTGCTGGCTTGGGAAGTAGTGATCCCCAACAACATTGCTAAATAGGTTTTCCCTGTGCTGCCACTAGAAAGCTTCTGAATTATTTGAACTAGACCTTGTCTTATATTTGTGATTTAATGGTGCAGGTAGAGGAACAGGTTGAATGCATCCAGCCATTATTATTTTGGATGAATATTCGTGCTATGAGAGCTATGTACTAATAATTTATCTGTAATGTTCCTGAGATTTACAGGCCTGTACAGTGGTACCTCGGGTTACATACGCTTCAGGTTACAGACTCCGCTGACCCAGAAATAGTACCTTGGGTTAAGAAATTTGCTTCAGGATGAGAACAGAAATCGTGCTCTGGCGGCATGGCAGCAGCAGGAGGCCCCATTAGCTAAAGTGGTGCTTCAGGTTAAGAACAGTTTCAGGTTAAGTATGGACCTCCGGAATGAATTAAGTACTTAACCTGAGGTACCACTGTAGTTTATTACCTTGGTGCAAGCAGAGTTGTGCTTTTGTCATCCCAAAGTTGATCCCGTTTTCATGAATTACTTGCAATAATTTGCAACAGTGTATACATGTGTGTTTTATAATTTATTTGAGCATTTGAAATAATGAGATGTGAATAAATCTTTGCATTGTTTTCTTTTTCCTTTTGTGTTCAGGGTTAACTTTGTTTTAAATGTTTTGATTTACTGTTGCCTGCTATTATCCATTTCATTCTTTCTTTGTTAGCTAACTTGATTTTCTTTCAGGATGAACAATTCTCATTCACTACGTTGAAATGATGACAGGTGGCAAAGAAAGTGCTGGTGAAATTGACATAGATTATTTTACGTCCCTAGAACTGACCACGTGAGGGAGCTCTAAGACAGGCTATCAATTTTTGGGTGGCCAAAATGACAAAGCACTTCCTCCCCCACCAAATTTTGCTCTGCATTCTCTGTTGCTTTAACAGATCCAGCAGCAACGGCATATTGTTTGCCTTTTTATATAAAGCAAAATAGCAAAGAAACTGCTGGTCTGGAAGACATGGTTTATGGGTGAACTTTGCACTGCGGGGGAATCACACCCTGACTATGTTCAGAGCGACTTGGGTTACCACTTCTGTGGTCATGTCCACAGAATGGAAGACGGCAGGACCCCCAAAGATGTGCTTTACAGGGAGCTGGCTTCAGGTACCAGGCACAAAGGCAGACCAGCTATGTGCTACAAAGATGTCTGCAAATGTGACATGAAGGCTGGCAACCTGGGAATCTCTTTCAGATGCCTGCAAACATGCAGCCAAGTTGTGCATCCATAGCCATGACCAGAGGAGGAATGACTGCTGGGAGGAGCACAGAGAGGAGTAACGCCATGGTGCGTCCGCCGACCTTCCTCTGCCCCACCTGCAACAAAACATGTCTCTCCCGTATCTGTCTCTACAGCTACAGCAGATGCCATCACTCTCCACTGGATTTGACTGTATCCCCAGTGGCACTTGTCCATTGTCTCTCGAGACAGGTGCCAGCAGGTTTTCCTTTGCCAGGGGAGGATGAGCTATGGAGGTGGAGAGAGGACTCTGGCAGGCAGAACAGAGCCTCGTGGGTCTCTGTAAGGCTGCTCTCTTCAATCTGGCATTTTCCAAAGGTTGCTGGACTCCAGCTCCCATCAGCCTCAGCCAATGGTCCGAGATGATGGGAGTTGTAGTCCAAAATTATCTGGTGGCCACCAGCTTAGGAAATTCTGCTGAAGAGGTGCACGCTCAACAGCAAAAAGCACAAAAACCCTGAAGTGCACCAGTTTGTCAGGCTCCAGTACCAGTTACCTACCTTAATCTAGTTTTACAGTGGGCTGCTGAAATGATAGAGCCAACTGCAACCTTATGAATGAGAAAAGGGTATAGCAGGAAACCCTTTCCCAAGGTAGTCTGCTGAGCAATCACACTAGGAAACTTACGGGAAAGGAGAAGGCTCAGCCAGCCAACCCACATCTTGAAAGGTTTTTTGTTTTTGAAAATACCAAGCATACAATTTAAGACTGCAAGCTCCTCAGGGGCAAAGGTATGCCTTTTTTGCTTATGAAATTCTGCATCAATATCTGCTGGCATCCATCTGCCTCAAGTGACAATGGAGTGCGCCTCTGGGGGTGAGATCAAACTGCCAAAGAATCACAGTGCCTGCTGTGGCTGCAGAGACGGGCAACTCCTAACAGCTGCCTCCTATGTTGTTTTTGTTACGTTAGCAGCACTGAAGTGACCTCCCCAGGACACAAGCCTGGGCAATGTGAATGGAGGTCCTGGGCTGCCCAGACTTCAAGACCCCCTCTCGGCCTCACTGATGGGGGTCCAAAGGAAAGCAGAGCAATATGTCTGGCACCAGCTTGGCTCTAGGAACTGCCGGAAGGAGGCGTACAAGGCGACATCCAGCAGTCTGGGACTCCACTCCAGATTTGCGTAGGGTTTACTCCCGAGCCTGTTCTTCTCCAGAAGATGTCCTGCAAGACAGTGGGCATGGACTTTTCTCCTGGAAGCCTGACCACAAGGCAGTGAAAGTTTAGGATCAGAGTTTCCTTCAATAGTGCTGCAAAGATGATGTGGTTACATCTTGGTAAGGACTAAAGGAGACAGTGTACAGAAGTGATGCCACCCTCCCCATCTGTAGGTATATATAGCAAATGTAAATTATCGTGTAGTATGTGAACAGCAGCTCAGCAACCATACTTTTTATCTACCTGGTTCAGACAAAGAAAACGACCCTGCAATTTAGTGATGAAATATAGCTTCAGCATCCAGCGAACATTTTTGCGTGATCAATGTTATATTTTCCTCTGCAAATTTTTTTTGATAATTGTGCTTACCAAGAGTAAACGATTCTTCCCAATTATAACAATCATTCCTCAGTGGTGCATAAAATCCCGTTTTTTGCAAGCGATGCCCCCTAAACCACCTGCCTTGACAGATGTGGAATTTAAGATGGCCTGCTTCTAACCAGAAAGCACTCCCATTTCACATGGGAGTTTTAATGAGAAATTAACTTCTAAAATGTAGTTTATATGGCTTCAGGCATGGCAAGGATACAGATTCATTAAAACCAGTGTTATCAATCTCGCCTTAACACCCCCCGGTCCGCCCTGCCCCTCATTCATTTCAGCTAAAATGTGATTGCCTTCATTTTTCTATACTGCATTCTCTGGCTTATGCAGCAGTCAGCTCTGAAAGGTATGGACTTAGGGATAGACTTGACCCAAGCTGCACATGGCAGCTTGCTTTGAAATTATGAAAGCCAAAGTTTTCCTTCCCTGTATTTGTGGTGGGGAGTGGAGCGGCTGGCAAAAGCTCTCCAGCCAATAAACAGCACTCTTAATTCTTGCCCCCTCCCATACATTTTCACTCCTGCCTCCAGACACTGTGAAAATGAGAATAATTCCTCCCAAAACATTATGTGAAAATCTTGAGGCCTGGACAAGTTCCCCACCATGTTCTCCTCCAAATGACTCAAGGTGAGCCTGCCTGGCAAAGGATCAGAAGCAGCTCATGGCCCACCAACAAATCATGAAAATCAGTGCTTAAAGGGAAACGCAGGATAACTTGACAGTGAAGCAAAATGGTCTCTGGCCCAGTAGACCTGAAGGAGCGTCTCCACCCCATCGTCCAGTGCCGAGGGCCTTCTGGCGGTTCCCTCATTGCGAGAAGTGAGGTTACAGGGAACCAGGCAGGGGGCCTTCTCAGTAGTGGTGCCCGCCCTCTGGAACGCCCTCCCATCAAATGTCAAGGAAATAAACAACTATCTGACTTTTAGAAGACATCTGAAGGCAGCCCTGTTTAGGGAAGTTTTTAATGTTTGATGTTTGATTCTGTTTTTAATCTGTTGGGAGTCACCCAGAGTGGCTGGGGAAACCCAGCCAGATGGGTGGGGTGTAAATGATAATAATAAAAATAAGAATTAATAATAATTTATCTTGCAGGCTACACTGTAGTTGTGGCAACAGATTTCAGAGCCTTACGTTCGTTTCCCTTTCTTTATTTCTGTTCGTTGTTGGTTTAGGGGGTGGGACACAGTACGGACGCACATCTTACACACAACACAAGCCACTGGGTAAAGACTCCGACTCGGCTGAAGCGAGAGGCAAGAGACCCCGTCCTCAGCAAGGCAGCAAAACTAGACATTGATCAGAAAAAAACAGGCCTCTGTCTAGCTTACAGGGAGAAGAGCAAGGCAGGAAGCCCTGTCCCTCCAGCACAGGGGGGAGTAAACAAAGGCCTGCTTGCACAAAAGATCCAGCTAACCGAGAATTGCCTTGGCAACCGTTGTGTTTAGCAGCAGTGTGGGACAATTAACAGCAAAGTACGGGAGCGGGGACTTGAAGGGGAGTTCGTGTGACCCAAGTGCAGAGGGTGGGCGCAGGTTTCTACAGTGCCGTGTCTTCCGCCCGCGATGAACTGCACCCCCTCACTTCGAACGCCGAGCAGCAGCTTTCAGTGTTTCGCGTTGATGATGTCTACGAATTCAGGCTTGAGGGAAGCCCCGCCGACGAGGAAGCCGTCCACGTCGTGCTGGGAGGCCAGTTCTTTGCAGGTGGGGCCAGTGACGGAACCTGCAAAGGATTACAATCCCCATTTTTTTTTAATTTAAAAAATGCCCAAGGAGGGAAAAGAAACCACACAGCAGATAAGGACCAAAAAAACACAATGTCTTTGGCTACATGGCTTTTCCAAGGCTAATTCTGCGACCCCCTCACAGTGCCTTTCAAAAGCAAAACTACTCTGGGAAAGATAATGTGGAGAGGTGGGCAGGAGTCCTTAATCCTGTCCAGCTTTTCTGCTGTAATAAAATTGTGTGCGCACAAACACATATACCCAAGGAGGGCACCTTGGAGCAATGTAGGCAGGTGGAGGGTTAATGCCCACCTCTTCTCCTTGCTTCTCTGTTCTGAATTGTCTCCTCTCAGAGCAGCCATGCTTTCAAAATTAGGTAGCACAATTACATGTACTAGCTAGGCTGACTATTGTCTCGAACCACTGCAAACTGTGGAGGTTTCACCACAAGCAAGTAGCATATAAATGCTACCCCACCTTGCCTTTTAAGAAAACCCTTCTTCTAACCCGCATCCGCAGCGCCTCACAAGACACTTATCTGCAACTAAATTATGTCTTTCCAGATGAACTCTCTTCACATTTTCTTTTAAAGTTTCTATGCCTACCTTAATTATTAGTGTTGGGAGCAGGGTCAATCTGGTCATGAAACCGTGCTATCTAAAAACCACACAGAAAGCTTGCTGCTCGCCAACAGCTACATTGGGATGGCAATTTGAGGAGGCGGTTCCATAGGCCTGACCATCCCTCCCAAATTAAACCTGCCATTCTCCATGGCAAGCTGCGAGAAGATGGACGCAGCTTCTGCGCTTGAATTGCGGTTCCTTTAATTTTAATTGCCAGTGTTTCATTATTTAGTTCAAGGATTGTCCTTGGCAAATCCTTACCGAAACCCTACAAAGGAGCTCAGCGCTTAAGACATTTTCCATTCTCCAGTACGAACCATCTCTTAGAAAAGGGAAGTGAATTTGGGCAACACTTTCCTCCCTACCAACATCCATATCTGCTGAGGAGCTGAGGATTTTTAGTTCTTGTGGCCTGAACTGGCCCTACTACAGCTTGTAACAGCTAAGGAACTACAACGAACACGCAAATTAACTTTGTGCCCCTTTGAGATTCTGTTTGACAGGCGCACATCTGAAACAGAATGTTTGCTGTGTGATCAATAGGGGAAAAGGGCAAACTCTTGCCACACTTGATTTGCAAACTGGGGAGGGCTCAGTTTACCTCCGTAGATGATCCGAGTCGACTGTGCAACAGCATCGGACACGTGACTCTTCAGCCAGCCCCTCAGCTTCTCGTGAACCTCCTGAGCCTAAGAAAAGGCAAGAATCGTGTTACTCACAGCAAGCTAAAGGCCATCGGTCCAGAGTCTCAGAGTGGGGCTCAGGGATATTCCCCATCCTCTGATGCCAAGACCACCTCCAAAGGGAAACAAGATTTGGGAACACGGTTCTCGCTAACCACATCCGTACCTGCTGAGGAGTTGCAGTTTTACCAGTCCCAATGGCCCAAACTGGCTCATAGGCAAGAACCACTTTGCTCCAGTCCTTCACGTTATCTGGGGACAAGAGAGGGGGACAGTGAGCATTGGGGGGGGGGTTGGGGGGGTAGTCAGGCACAATTTGACCTATTGGGAAGAGCATGTTTAGTTAGATGGCAGTTGCGGGGTGGGGAGCACCAAGATTAGACATCTCTAAATATCCCATCAAGTTATGAAGGTAGAACTCCAGAATTGTAGAGTTGGAAGGGGTCCCGAGGGTCATCTAGTCCAACCCCTTGCAATGCACCAATATTTTGCACAGCGTGAGACTCGAACCCACAACCTGAGATTAAAAGTCTCATGCTCTGCTGACCGAGAGGGATTCGAAATAAAGCTGGAAGCCTCCATGAGCAGAGCAGATTCCCAGCTGGAGACATTCAGCTTCAGTGCATGTGGGGGATGGGGGAGCAAACCAGGCCTGAATGTGCACCCCTGCCCCCCCAAAAAAAACCCCATGATACGGAGCACATGAGGAGAAATGCCTGCATAGGGCTCAGGTTTTGGAGTAATGTATCCAGAAGCCAAAGTAATGAGAGAAAACCTGGGTCACTTAAAAGTTAGTGCTATCCAGAACTTTGAGGACCTCTGAGCAAGCATTTACTGTAAGCAAGCTGTGCTTCCTTTTTCTGGTTATTTGGCTCTAACTTTTAATAAAATACAGGCAACTGAACAAGCTTTGTTGCATTGCATTCTTCATTAAATTATCTTTCCATTGATATATAATTTTATGGTATTACTAAAATAATATAAAACGGTATTATGAGCCATCAAACCTCAAAAAAAACGCTTTCCCCAAAAGGTTTCCACAATTTTGGTCACTAGTGTACATTTGCATTTGCTGCCTACTGAATGATCTATTACCAAACCTTTTGCCCCATTATTTCAAACCAAAGCATTTCCCTCCCCTCACCTGAAACCCAAGGAAGCTTCTGCACATTCCCCAGTCCCCTCTTACCAGCAATAGCCTTGGTCTGCTCAAATACCACTTTCTCGGTGATGCCAGCCTCTCGCTCGTCCAGTTTTTCCCCAATGCAGGCGATGACGCCCAGACCCTCAGCCAAGGCGTGCGCCACCTTCTGCCCAATGAGCTGGAAAAGGGGGAGGAGGACAGCTTCAGAGTCCCATACAAACTATACAATCTCCGCACACCTCCTTGCTGCAGGTGATTCCTAGCCCAGCGATGGCGGAGGGAAAGAAATCTACTAGATCACCCACCTCATCGGACTCGCCAAAGACATGCCTCCTCTCAGAGTGTCCCAAAATCACCCAGGTGACGCCAACATCCTTTATCATGGCTGGGCTGAAACAGAAGGAAATAATAATATTTTTTATTTATACCCCACCCTTCCCGGTTCAAAAACTGGGCTCAGGATGGCTAACAACAAATTTAAAACACTTTAAAACACTTAATTATAAAAGCAGCATAAAATACGGTATAAAAACATGAATAACAATAAAATTCAAAAATAAAAATCAATCAGATAATCCTCAGGGCTAGCTGGCTGAATTGGTCCTACTTGGGCCAGCGAGGAGGCCAGGGGAGAATTTGCTGTGGGGTCTCAGAGTGGGTGATCTTCATAAAAAGGGGAGGGGGAGGGAAGAGAAGAGAAGGGAAATAAAAGATCAGGCTGAATTCAAACTAAAGGCCAGGCAGAATAGCTCTGTCTTACAGGCCTGACGGAAGGAGGTTAAATCCCGAAGGGCCCTAGTCTCATGGGACAGAGCATTCCACCAGGTTGGAGCCATCGCTAAAAAGGCCCTGGCAGAGGATAGTCTGACTTCCTTAGAGCCCTGGACCTCTAAACTATGGTTAGGGCAGACCAGGAAAGAAATCACACCATCTGTTCTGCCAAATGCTTATTTACTTTTTTAAAATTACCCCTCGCTAAAGGATTGCCAGTTCTTTGTGGCCCCCGGCCCCCAGAGTCCCAGCAGACTAACCTGATCTCTCCTGTGAAAGCTCCCTTAGGCACCTTGTAACAATTCTGGGCGGCCACACCGATCTTGGCATCAAGCTTTTGGCGGGCAAAGTCGAGGTAGATGGAGGGGGCACCACAAACGACCTCTGGGGACGAGAGAGAGAAAAGCGTCTAGGATGAAGCAGGCGCCCCACAGAGTCTCTCGGCTGCAGACTATTCCCACCCCAAGGCCAACTCACTCTTCGGGTGCTGGACACAAGACACTTGTGGGTCAACTCTGCTGGTCATGCCATGAGGTTCAGAGGGTAACCATGGGTAAATAAACCTTCCCTTCCACCACCAATCTCCCCTTCCCCAGTGTTGGAAACTCAGATATGCAGTCATACCTCGGGTTGAATGTGCTTCAGGTTGAGCGCTTTTGGGTTGCCACGGAACAACGTCATTTTGAGCGTCTGCACATGCACAAGCAGTGAAACCCGGAAGCAATGGAGCGCATTACTTCCGAGTTTCGACGCTCGCGCATACACTCAAAATGACATCATGCGAATGTGCGGAAGTGGCAAAACACGACCCACGCACGCACAGATGTGTCTTACGTTCTATTCAGGATGTGAATGGGGCTCCGGAACGGATCCTGTTTGCATCCCGAGGTACTACTGTATATAAGCTAGGCAGCAAATGGTTCCTTAAAACCAAGGTTGCAGTTGCCAAAACGGAATGTCTGCTCTAGTTGATATTTGGGGCAAGACAACTCTAAAGTCTTGTTTTTCAAAGGATGGACTGACTGCGATTGATTCTCTGTTAAACATCTGGCTAGTTCAGATGACAATTGTGAGCTAGGTTAAGAACTTCAAAGAAGAAGAGTCACTTGACTGAGGACAGTCCCCATGTATATTGGCCTATTCGGACCTCTTTTTCTTAATCGTGACTGCTCCTGCTCAGGCTGCACAGGAAAAGCATATGGGCTCGAGAAATTCATTCCATGCAGATAAAATATAACTGATGCCACCACTACAGGATGGGACATTAGTGTGTGGAAGCAGTCCAGATCCAAGGATCCCCAGGCACGCGCCACCAGATGGTGGAGGTGTCAGGCATCATCCTGGCACCCAGACATCTTCACTTGGTCGCAGCAAGTGGTTGAAAGTCAGATGCAAATGTGCCTGGATAATTTCAAACCAAATCAATGATTTAAAATATTAATAATAATAATTGTATTTTCAAAAAATTTAAATCGGATTTTTAAAATAAAATGCTTTTGGAGAAAAAATACTTCTAAAGATAGCTTTCTATTTAAGTTACATTAGAGTCCAAAAGCTATTCAACAGGAAATAAGGATTTGTTTTAAGTTTTTCATGTGTGCTAAAACTCAGTCTGTGTTTTTTTAAAATTGTTTAACCACATCAGTTAACAAAAAATGGATACATATGCTATAATGTTATTGTTTTAGTTAAACAAATTGTTTAAATTGTTATTAAGGAAATGATTGTTTTTCTCCTTCCAATAAAACATAGCAGAAAAGTTGTCCAAATATAAACAGTTAGCTGATTAAACCTCACAATTATCTGTCTGTGTATTTCTAATAGTATAACCAAATCAGTAATTTTTGATACAACTGTAAAAAACTACTCTGAAAATTTATTATTCCAAAAAATGAAACCTTCATCTGGTTGTAAATATTAAGATTATACCAGCAAGAATGAGTCTTGTTGCCTAAATGGTGATTTAAATTAATTTGATTTCAATCAAATCCACCCTGATTCAAACACTGTGGCCCTCTCTCTTGATGGCGCCATGAGGCCTCCACAGCACTATGCACAAGCCCCACAGCACACTGATGGCCATTATTAAGTGTGCTGCTTGCACATCTCACATTCAGTCTGACTTCCCCCTTTCATGATCAATTGTGAATGCACCTCAGAATTCAGCACTCCAAGAGTTAACAGGGAGAACACAATCAAAAGTGATTTTCTTGTCTCAAACTGCCTTTATCATACCTAGTAGCATTTGAACAATAGTCTAATTTGGAGGGTTAAAGCTATCAGTTCTAAAAGCAGACCTGAAAACACACTAGAGTGTAGGACAATTGGCCTGTGGAAAGTGGGGGAGGAGTGGGGAAGAGAAAGAATTTGGCTGAAATGAGGCAAAGGGGGAGATTTGGCTGAAGGTGTTAAGGTGGTACCTGAAGGAAAATGAATGCGACAAGGGCAAATTGTTTTTAAAAAGAGAAGGGGAAGTTGGAATGGCATTTGCATAGTGATTTTGTGGAGCCTGGGGAAAGGTTTAATGTGAGAATCAGAATAGGCAATTGCAAGACTTGGGTGGGGGGCACTGCTAGAGAAGTAAAAGTTCCATAGGGGGTTTGCATTTGGGGGTGAGGAAACTGAAGAGAAAACAAGTGCACAGCAAGGGGAAGAAAGAGCATAGGTTTCCCTAGAAATGGGAGCAGGTGGCGCTGTGGGTTAAACCACAGAGCCTAGGACTTGCCAACCAGAAGGTTGGCGGTTCAAATCCCGCGAAGGGGTGAGCTCCCATTGCTCAGTCCTTGCTCCTGCCCACCCAGCAGTTCGAAAGCACATCAAAGTGCAAGTAGATTAATAGGTACCGCTCCGGCGGGAAGGTAAACTGCGTTTCCGTGCGCTGCTCTGGTTCGCCAGAAGCGGCTTAGTCATGCTGGCCACATGACCCGGAAGCTGTACGCCGGTTCCCTTGGCCAATAAAGCAAGATGAGTGCCGCAACCCCAGAGTCGTCCGTGACTGGACCTAATGGTCAGGGGTCCCTTTACCTTCCCTAGAAATGGGGACCTGGTTGGGTTTTAGAACAGAAGACAGGTAAGGGTTTGGGCAGCTGATGGGAAGGAGTGGGGATCAGAGTCCACAGGAGTTTCTGTGTGGGGAAGACGGGATCTTTTTGGAAATCAAAAAGTTGGGCTTAAAATTAACAAAGACAAAGGCTACAAATCCTGTCTTCCTGATAGTGACTGGGTGTTAATAGATTTTACAGGGTGCCAACCAGGAAGAGACTGTCCTAAAGTTGCTAAGTGGTTTCTAAAAATGCATCTTCATGCCAGATGGGGGAAAGGAGATGAACATATTTTAGGGGGTTTTCTGGAAGGAGCCTTAGGTTATTGAAACTACTAGGTTAGTAAGGGGGGAGAAGAAAGGAAGGAGTGACATTTTTGGCAATTTTCCTCTTTGCTTAACACTTACATGCTCTTTTGTTTATCTTTAAATTTACAAATGCGAAGAGAGGATGTCAAAGACTTTCAGCAACAAAGCCTCACTTGAAGACGGCCTGCCTGAGTGACAATAGATGCTCTCTCCTTGACTTTCCATACTCAAAGAACTTCCCTTCTCAGATGCGGGCCAAATCCTATACCAAAAGCTGAAGCTTAGAGGTGCTGCACAAAATAATACAGCCCGGCCTACTTTTGTAAGATTGAAACGTGACAAAGGATATGTTTGTAACCCAACCCGAATCTTTGGGATACTGCTGAAAAAGCCCAAGTAATAAGAGAGCTGCTTTGGTAAGTTTTTCAGTGAGGTTAAATGCATCTACTCCCTCCAAATAGTTTTCACTCAGAAAATGGGAATCTACACTAAATCTTATGTCTCAGTCTAAAAAGCTACCTTCAGCAAGGTTAACCAGCAAACAGATTGGCTGTCATATCCCATTATAGATTTATTTATTTTTATTAAAAAAACATCACCCTATCCTATTGACCAGGGATGAAGAACCAGTAGTCCTCTGAATGTTGGACTTTAAATCCCAATGTTCCTGACCAGTGACCATGATCCCAATTTTCAGAGGGTCACAGGGAAGCAGATGTGCCAGCCACATCTGGGTTCAAGGCAGTACAAATAGCATCCTTCTTGGGTGTGGCAAATCCCTTCTTGCTCTGACTGCCAGCTCTAATCCTGAAACAATATCTGCCTGAGGGTCAAGAGCACAGGTAGGCAAACTAAGACCCGGGGGCCGGATCCGGCCCAATCGCCTTCCAAATCTGGCCTGCAGACAGTCTGGGAATCAGCATGTTTTTACAGGAGTAGAATGTGTCCTTTTATTTAAAATGCATCTCTGGGTTATTTGTGGGGCACAGGAATTATTTTTTTTTCAAAATATAGTCTGCCCCCCCACAAGGTCTGAGGGACAGTGAACCGGCCCCCTGCTGAAAAAAGTTTGCTGACCCCGGTCAAGAGAAACTTGAGCCTTATAATTTGTTTTTGCAGGCTGGAGCCAGAGCTCAGGGGTAGAACACTTTCAATTTAAAAAAGATCTTACTGGGGTGGGAAAAGCCTTTTTTCTGCACAGGATCCTGGGTAGCCACTGCTGGTCAAAACAGGTAGCAAAATAGGACTAGACAGACAAGTAGCCTGACTCAGGACAAAGCAGTCTCATATGTTCATAGATATATAAGAGGTTATACAAATGGAGGGAAACCTAATAAGTGGGAGGGGGGTGGAGCTGTGGGCGCTGCAAAGGTCAGAAACTTGAAAGCTGACTCCATGGGGTAAAGGGCAAACCTATTCCCTATAACCAATAATCTTGAGAACTGCTACACTATTTCTTGAGAAAGGGGGCTTTTGGGGTGCGGGCAGCCTAGCGTTTACCTAGCAACATAATCCTGGATGTTTTTACAAGCTGTTCTGTGGCTAGAAGACTTGCTTAGCCAGCTGGCAAATAACGGGTAAGAGAAAGCAACAACCGGATAGCTCAGTTTGTTGGAGCATGACACTGATAACACCAAGGTTGCAGGTTTGATCCCCGTATGGGGCAGTTGCATATTCCTGCATTGCAGGGCATGGGACTAGATGATCCTCAGGGTCCCATCCAACTCTACAATTCCACGATGCAGTCTGCATGGGGGACACTGCAGTGGCATCTCCAACAGAGGGAGGTAACCCCAGATCTGCTCGAATCCTGAGGAGGCCGTATAATATAGAAGAGACAGAATATCTGGGGCAACCGAGTAGATCAACCTCCCCCCATATAGTTCATCTGGAGGCCCATTTCCTGACCTTTAGCTAGCTGCCGGGATAAAGTTTCCCAACTCCAAGTACAGTAGCTGGTATTTTTAGGCAGCTGCGCCGCCACCTATATTTAGGAACCCTCTCCTCCAGACCCTTTGACATTTCTTCAGGATGCCCCCACCTTGCCCTTTTCTAACCCGAGAGGGACAGCGAAAAGGATCTGCCAGCCAAATTTTGGTCCAGGCATCCCCTTTGCCCCCAGGCAAGGAGTCCATGCTGCAGGCAGAGTCTCCTGCTGCCACAACCATGCCAACCAGAAGCAAGAGAGGCAGACGGGCTAGCTAGTCTCACTGCCTGAGAACTGGGCATCGTGCCAGCCCCGTTCAGACAAAGAATTCTGCAGCAGACCAGGCCTCAACTGCATCCCTTTTCCCTCTCGCTACATGGCCCTTGTGAGGACTGGTCAGATTATTTCCCGGCTTCTCATCCACTGCAAGCCACCAGTTAAATGTAGGGTGGGTGGTCATGAACACAGCACCCAAAGCACTCTGTGCCACGTGACTAGCGGGCACGCTCTCTCTGAACACAGGGTGACTAATAGTGGGCCTAGTTGCCCTAGTACAATAGACTGTAGGGAGAGAGGAAGCTCCTTCAAAGGTATTCAAAGATTTTTAACCTTTCATTTTTCTCAAAAGGAGGTCATTGAGAGAAGGCAAAAATGGGCAGGCGGTGCTTTACACAACTGCTCTGCAAGGAGTAAATCTGCTCCTCTCACAACTATCCGTACAAAATCACCAGCACTTGACCCGTTTACTAGTAATATAAAATCTACTTGTATTTTATTCCTCTTTGCATTGAAACAATGAACTTCGCTCTGAGCTTGTGCTTAGGCCTCGGCTGTTCTATGCTGGCCTCCCTGGAAAACCCATCCATGACTATGACTCCATTAATTTCAACAGCTCTACTCTGAATAAACTTAATTTGAACAGCACCGTCGGAACTGCCCACCACAGTATTTCTTCGGCCTTTTGAACCTGCCGACACGTTCCGCCCGCGGATTTTTCTTTCTTTCTTTTATTGTACAATAGTGCAGTATTTCCCGGCGAGGAAATAATGTAGCAAGAAAAGCTTATTTTCTCTGCCAGACCGGAAAGATGTTAAACACAGAAGCAGTAAAAAAGAAAGTATGTAGCAAGTTTCCTTTCCGGGGCGCAGAGGCTTCTTCGGCTCCCTTCCTCCTGGCAAGAGAAGGAGAGAGAGACAAGGAAGGCAGCTTGCCTGCCGGGAGAGGCGGCCCTGGAGTACGTGCGGGCGAGCACGCGGCGGGGGCGAGGGAGGGACCCAGGCATCCGGGCGCCTCCCCCCTTTCCCGAGACCCTAGGAAAGGCACCGCTGCAGCCAGGACGGGGGGGGGGGGATGGAGCGGGCCAGGGAAACCGGCCAGCCTCCTTCACCGGCTCCCCTTTCTCATGCTCCATCTCATTAGAGGCCGCTGCGGATAAGCCTTAAGCGCGTTAATCGCAGACTCCTAGAGCTGGAAGGGACCCCGCAGGGTCATCCAGACCAACCCCCGGCAGCTGCAGGCATCTCGACATTGTTTCTCCCCCTGCGCGAGTTCATCGGCGTGTATTATCCTTCGCGCTCCCCTATGGCGAAGGGGGCGCAAGAGGGGAGACGGGCAGGGCTCGGCGGGGCGTGCGCCCCCGGACGGTTCCCGATCCTAAACGTGGCACCCGGTGGCCCCGCTTGCCTCCTGCCAGCGCCTCCGGGGAGCCTGCAGACCCGGGCGCGGGGGCTTCCCCTCCCCTAAGGCTAAGCGCGCGCCCGATCGCGCCCCTTCGGGGCTTCCCCTTCCCCCCCCCACCTGGGCACCCCCCGGCTCACCGGTGTCTGCGGGGACCTTGGCGCCGTTGAGAGTCTGGATGAGCTCCCCGAGGCTCTTCTTGTCGCCATTCATCTTCCAGTTCCCGCCGACGAAGAATTTCCTGGGCGACATGGTGACGGTGGTGGTTGGTGCCCCGGGGCCGCCCGCCTAGATGGATGCGAAGGAGAACTGCGAAGGTCAGAGCGCGCAGCGGCGGCGCAGCCGTTTCCCCGGCCTCTTTATAGGGGCGCGAGGGGGACCCGCCCACTGGCCCCCGTGACGTCACGCGGGCCCCGCCTCCCCCGCCGCCTCCCTTTGATGTTCCGAAAGAACCCGCGAGCGAGCGCGGAGAGGAGGCGCGTGCGCGCTGGCTGGCTGGCTGGCTGGCTGGCATTTCTTTGCCGGCGGTGATGTAAGAAGCAGAGAGACTTACCGAATGTACTTCACGTTTCTAAAAGTGCCTCTGTGTCTTCTGTAATCAGGGGTGCCAAACTGAATAAAGTATGAAAGGGGGGGGGTGCAGGGAAGACTTGCCAAACACAACAGCACTTGATTGGCAATGCCCATTAACTTGGATCCCTGACCATTAGGTCCAGTCGTGGCCGACTCTGGGGTTGCGGTGCTCATCTTGCTTTATTGGCTGAGGGAGCCGGTGTACGGCTTCCGGGTCATGTGGCCAGCATGACTAAGCCGCTTCTGGTGACCAGAGCAGTGCACCTTCCCGCCAGAGTGGTACCTATTTATCTACTTGCACTTTGACATGCTTTCAAACTGCTAGGTTGGCAGGAGCAGGGACCAAGCAACGGGAGCTCACTCCGTCGCGGGGATTCGAACCGCTGACCTTCTGATAGGCAAGCCCTACAACGGGAGCTCACCCCGTCATGGGGATTCGAACTGCCAACCTTCTGATCGGCAAGCCCTAGGCTCTGTGGTTTAGACCACAGCACCACCCTCGTCCCTCCATTAACTTGAGGGGGGAGCAATAGCTGTAGCCAGAATTTTTGTTAGGAGGGCAGACTTTATGTTGGAGGGGAAGAACTGCAGTTAAGTATTTTTATTGATGGGGGGCAGCTGCCCTTCCTTGCCCCCCTTGGCTACCCCCATGGAGGGCAGTCCCCTCAAATATTTTATTGGGGAGGGGGGAGTGAAGAGACCTCAGGTCCTAGAGTTGGCTCCTATGTCTCTAATATTTACAATGAAACCACATCTCCATGAACGATTGGAAGTTGCAGTAGTCACCCATCAGTCTCAAGAAACAATGGAGTGTGCCTCCGAGGGTGAAGTCAAACGGTTGGAGAATCACAGTGCCTGCTGTGGCTGCAAAGAGCCATAACTCGTAACTGCTGCCTCCTGCATTGCTTTTGCTGTGTTAACGGCACCAAAGTGACCTTCCTGGGACACAAGCCTGGGCAGTGTGTATGGAGGTCCTGGGCTGACCAGAGGACAAGACCCCCCTTTTGGGCTCACTGATGGGGTCCACAGGGAAGTCGAGCAATACGTTTGGTATCATCTCTGGATTTGTGTAGGGTTTACTCCTCAGTCTTTTCTTCTCCCAAATATATCTCACAAGGCAACAGGTGTTTAGGATCAGAGTTTTCCTTCTTCTAGGTGGGCTACCTTCCCAGGTAGATGAACCCCACTTGACTATCACTTCCCTTTACAGTATGTGCAGAAACTGCCTTCTTGACCATTGTTCCCACTTATTGGTCTGGTCTGCTCAATCTTCCAGTCTGCCTTTGCATGCAGAATAAGCCGCTAATGCACATAAGGTTTGAGACCCATCAGTTCCCCTCACCTGGTTTAGCCAGCCATTCAAAGGTGTGTCCACTGTCACATGTTGATACCTTCTAGGAGCCACAGGTGAAAGCTGAGTGCAGGGAAGCGCTGGTTTAAAAATAAGTTAACTGAAGCTGATCTGAATTATGTTTGGAATGGTGGCAGTAGCTCAGTGGTAAAAAATACATGCTTTCCTTGCTTTAATATAATGTCCCAGGTCCAAATTCCAGGTAGGCCTAGGAAAGATCTCTCTCTCTCTCTCTCTCTCTCTCTTTCTCTCCCAGCAGAGCTGTTATCAGTGGGCATTACTCAGCCAGGTGTACCAACAGTCTGACTTCACAGGTAAGGTGTGGTCCTCTGGAAAGGAGCCAGGATGGACCAGGAGTTGTGTAATTCTGCAAAATACCTCCCTCCCTCTGCTTCTCTTTTAGTTCAGCAAAGTATTTTCTTTTTCTAAGCAACTCTGCAAGCAACATGTGTAATTGAAATGCACAGACGAGTTCTGTTACTTGTTTAAAATATGCATTACAGCAGCCTACGAAAGCCTGATCTGCATTGATTGGTAAGTTAAAGTTAAAGGGACCCCTGACCATTAGGTCCAGTCGTGGCCGACTCTGGGGTTGCGGCGCTCATCTCACTTTATTGGCCGAGGGAGCTTCCGGGTCATGTGGCCAGCATGACTAAGCCACTTCTGGCGAACCAGAGCAGCGCACGGAAATGCCGTTTACCTTCCCGCCAGAGCGGTACCTATTTATCTACTTGCACTTTGACGTGCTTTCGAGCTGCTAGGTTGGCAGGAGCAGGGACCGAGAAACGGGAGATCACCCCGTCGCGGGGATTCAAACCGCCGACCTTCTGATCGGCAAGCCCTAGGCTCTGTGGTTTAAACAGCGCCACCCATGTCCCTGATTGGTAAGTTAGTAAAGGTTTATTTGAATCTGTTCACCTTTGCCAACCAGCAGTCAACACCCCTTTTCCTCAACCCCAGCTTTCTGTAATTTGCCCCTTCTTCTGTACTGCTAAGATAATGCCCAGCAGCACAACGTGTTGTTTTAATGTCTTACATAAAACAGTGGCTTCTAGAAGGCTCTCTTCCCGTGTGTGGCAATTTGTGGAACAGGGCCCAGCACATCATCCGTTTCATATTTTGATCTCAGCCCAGGGCAGCCTTGCAAAAGAAAAACCTGGAATAAAAAGAGCAGCTTTCACCCACCTGCTCAATCTGTGGAACACAATAAAGACCCACTTGCCCTGTGTAGAGTCATGAAAACATTCCATGCAGCCTGCAATTCTAGCTACACAATTTCCATAAGGAAAACCTTTCCAGATCAGATCAGCACTCTCCCCAAATATCCCCATCACCAACATAAACATGGGAAAATGCCTGGTGTTGCATAATAGGGCTCGTTCTACCAATGAGTTGGCAAATACCTTGACATTTAGAAAGGGATTCAGGTTTCACAGTTAAAGTAGTTTGGTGATCAGCCCACACTATTTCTCTGTAAGTCTGAGCAGCTTTAGAAGCATAGTAAAGCAGGTCAGTTGTGGGACAGCACATTTATAGGGCTTATGTCTGTGAACATCTGACTGAAAGCATTTGCAATGCCTGCTGAAACCTCAGAAGGGTATCCTGACTGCATGAATTTCCAGTGATTGGAAAGTGTTCCCACTCCTGCATAGCTCACCACGCCTGGTTTCGCAGGGCCGAGGCAGAAGAGATGGTTCAGAACAGCATAGAAGTTGGGGAAACTAAAAAGAATGGAAAAAATGTGCTGTGTTTGCATAATTGCAGCTTTTTCTGGAATTGAGTTTCTATTGCATTGGTGCAGAATTTCATTTAGCAGAGAATAAACATTTAGAAAATTCATGTGGCATTAGCTCCTGCATTTATCTGCGCTATAGGGAGGAATCTATTTTGTTTTATGCATGGGGCCTATTTATAATCACAATACAGCATTTATTATATAAGTAAAGGGAAAGCCTCCCCAACTGCAACCCCCGTTTTGCTAGTCAGACACCTGAAATTTAGTACAGTGGTACCTCGGGTTAAGTACTTAATTCATTCCGGAGGTCCGTACTTAACCTGAAGCACCCACTTTAGCTATTGGGGCCTCCTGCTGCCGCCGTGCCGGTGGAGCACGATTTCTGTTCTCATCCTGAAGCAAAATTCTTAATCCAAGGTACTATTTCTGGGCTAGCGGAGTCTGTAACCTGAAGTGTATGTAACCCGAGGTACCACTGTACTTAAAACTATTTAAGAGTAGGATGTCCTTTCAAACCTCCGCCTTTCACACTGAGAGAATAGCTGTCATAATATGCCTGAACTAAAAGAACCAGCCAATGGGATGCCACAGGAAATACTGTAGAGGAGGGCCTCTGTATGCCACTACAGAGACATGACCCCCACCCCACAGGGCAGTTTCTGCTCTGCAGCTGTATTGATCCACCAGCTCATACAACAAGGCCCTGGAAACAAGTGATGAGCACTTTAGATACAAGGCCTGCATGACAGCAATAGATAGCAGAACCGTCACTTTGTCCCTGTTGAGAATCATTTTGTTACTCACTACACTTTAAGTTCTGCTGAATACAGCGGGCATCTTTCTAACTTTTGACTGTGCCTAAAAGTAAAATTCAGTTTTGTAACACAAGCCCAAAATGAACAAGCATGACCAGGCAGAAGTCTCTCTCGTATAATACTCCTTTAGCATAGCAGGCAGGGCCGGCCCACCTGAGAGGCAAGGCAAGGCAACCGCCTCAGGTGGCAGGATCCAGTAAGGCAGCAGATTTCAATGCCAATCTCCACCTCCCCACACACCTTGTTCCTGATGTAGATCTTCCCTCAGTCCCTTCTTCATTGACAGGGAATGGGGCCACCATTTGGGGGGCTGCCTCAGGAGCCAAAACTTTTTGGGTAGGGTGGGCGATAGATCCAATATATTGTCCAAAACCGGTTTGAAATCCATATTGTGATATTGGTTTCATAATTTTTGACCTGGCAATATATCACAAATCATGGTGTGTGTGTGTGTTTGTGTGTTATGCAAAAATCACAATGTAGGAAAAACAGTGAAGCCAGCCAATGCCTCTATGTAGCTCCATCCTTATTTCAGACATTGTGATATATCAATATATCACTATGTTTTGCTGGTGATATATTGCAATATTGAAAACCAGATATTTTCCAGTCCTAGTAGCAGAAGGGAAAATGAACTGCACCTTATGATCTGTCCTGGCCCACATGAGGGAGGCAGAGGCCTGGCGTAGCAAATGCAGAAGGCACAGAAAGCCATGTGAGTAGGAAACCAACCCCGTGGACAAATTTGACTCCAAATTTGGAGGATGCCCGGTCTGCTTTCACTCTTATGAATTAACTGAATGGCTCACGGAGCAAGCAGAAAAACAAGGAAAAGCTACTAGAAAATGGGAGTAGATTTTGGTGAGTTTTTCCTAGAAGTAGAAGTCATGCTCATCTCCATTAATACCCCCTCCAAAAGAAAAAAAGATGTACTGTATTTTTTGCTCTATAAGACGCACCAGACCACAAGACGCACCTAGTTTTTGGAGGAGGAAAACAAGAACAAAAATATTCTGAATCTTAGAAGCCAGAACAACAAGAGGGATCGCTGCGCAGTGAAAGCAGCATCCCTCTTGCTGTTCTGGCTTCTGGGATAGCTGCACAGCCTGCATTCGCTCCATAAGACGCACACACATTTTCCCTTACTTTTTAGGAGGGAAAAAGTGAGTCTTATAGAGCAAAAAATACGGTATTTTGTTACATCAGATCCAGGGCATAAGGCCTGTTCATGGACCGAAACACCATTTGCTGTGACCAACCAACGCAGGCCAGACTATAATAAAAAATGAAGACTATGAACAAGACCCAATTGCTGGAAGGGGGGTACAAGGTTTTTATTTGATCCTTTGTGTTTTGGCATATAAGGGGCACATGAAGAACTGGTGCTAACTTTACGGCCCAGGTTCCCCCCAGCACAATTCCCAGGGTGGGGGTGAGGGGGGGGAAAGCCGCCCTATATGGTACAGAAAGCCACACGTAACCCAAGTGCTCCCTCCTGTCCCCACCCCTTTCTAAATTGTCCAAGCGTGTTATAGTTACATCAAGAGGAAACATGTTGTGCACAGATGTCCCCTGGGTGCCTGGGTTCAGTGAGATATATATTCCCCGCCTTCTTGCTCTTACACAGAGGTTCAAACCCACCCCCACCCCCGCCCACCAGTGTCCAGAGGGGCAGCAAACTCCAGCTTCCTCGAGGAGGGATACTGCTCCTGGGGCCGCAGCAGTGGCACACAGACACATAGGGGTTGAGAGTTGGCCCTCTTCGTTGCATTCATCGCTGCCATTTCCCCTCCTCCTGCCATCGCCTGGCTCCTACTCCACATCTGGCAGGAGAGGGTCCTAGCTGGAGATTCGCTGGTAGAAGTAGATGTAGCCAAGATCCTTTGGAGGCTTTTCAGAGGCGCAGACTTTCTGGTCGTTGTAGATCACCCATCTGGAGTGGGGCGGGGAGAAGAGGGATTTATTGAAATTATTTCTTTTCCTTTTATGAAAGGAAACCAAGTTTCTAGTCCTTATGGTGGCAAAGAATGCTCCGAAGTGAACCGATCGAATGCCTGCTTAAATCTCAGCAGCCAGAGAGGTGAGATAATAAGATATTCAACATAGCTATTACACCCCCCACTCTCAAATGTAAGTGAAACAATGTATCAATAGGGCACAATTATTATTTCCCCCCTCTAAAACGCCACTTTGCGTAATGGGCATTACAGGCTTGGGATTCCTTTGGGGCAGAATTTTATTTAAAAAGCACACATAGCCCAGCATATGGGCACTTCCAGTAGCCAAGCTGCCCTTCCGCAATGGCCGATCAAGGCAGTTACAGGGCTTCTTCACTGCCTACAAAATTCAAAGACATATTTCACTGCAGACCAAGGAATATGCACCGGGAGTAAAAAACTGCCAACTTGCTGAAAATTCATGTTTCTAACTTCCGCTTGGACTGCCTTGTTTAATTTTTAGGGTTAGATTGTAAGTAACACAAATCTAGTTGGCTGGCTGCCTTCAGAATCCTTCCTTGTCCACCCCGCCCGCCCCCCCAACTCTCTCAAAAGGTACTTTTGTTTCCCCCTTACCTGCTATCCTTCTTGATATGACAGACGTAATGGCCACACATAGTGGATGTGCCCATGTGGCTGATGAAGGCAAAAAGCTGGTATTCTGAAAGAGCGAAAGGAAGGAGTCAAGCATGCTTGCTACCCTCTCTGCATAGCTCTCCCTCAAACCGCCAGAGGATAGTAGAATTGTAGAACTGAAGAGCTGGAAGGGACCCCGAGGGTCATCTAGTCCAACCCTCTGCAATGCACGAATCAATGTAGGATCTGGTACATTATGAGACTGGATGAGCTGTCCTGAAGAACAGCCTCATTGACATGTACAGATGAGAGGCAGGCCATGGCATGTGCATCTGTGTGTGTGTGATAATCTGGAACGGCACCAAGTCTGTCTTCAAACACTCCCGTCCCCTTAAAGAAGGTGCCAGAGGACACAAGACTGGTTCAGATAAAGTCAGTCGAAGAGCCTTTCTGGACCTGGCCAGTGCCCATCTAGTTGCCACCCATAACCACCCAGTTATTTCCAGGAAACAACGGCAATAACCCTTCCTGCATTGTTTGCTGGCTGGCATAAGGAATTCACAGGTACCTTCTCCAATATGGCTAGGAGCCTTTTATAGCCCCAGCCGCCATGACTTGTCCAATCCCGGTTTTAAAGCCACCTAAGACAGCAGCTATCACCCTATCTTATGGGAGCAAATTATCTAGGTCAATTTGGTGCCAAGCTCCCAACTGGGAGTGGGGTGGGGAGAAATAAATAAGGGCTTCAGGGCTTGGGATGCAGACTGATGGGTGAGGCACAGATCTAGGCAACCACAGTATGGACCACGATGTTCTAAAGCGCCAGGGTACCAAAACTACTCAACCCTCGAAAGCCAAAACTCCCCCAGGGTTGCAGACTCACTTCCAGATCCATCACGCACTTTTGGCCCTACAGGGACAGATTCAGATATGGATTCGGCCGCCGAACGCCCCTCCGAAATGTCCATGGCCGCTTCTGCGTCCAGGTCGTCAATATGGCTGAAGATCCAGTCCACAGCCCGCTCGAGGCTGTTATTCTGCGGAGGAGAGGATTGCAAACAGTCAAGCTAGGAGCCCACCCAATTCTTCCCCCCTGCCCCCAAAGGGCACAGTTCCAGGCACAATGATGCAGAGGAGAAGCAGAAGAGGAGGAATGTTCTGCTCATCTTTCACCCTTGACCCACCGTAGCTCTGAGCGCTTTCATGGCCTGATCCCGGGAAAAGCCCATGGAGACGATGGTGGCCACACTGTCTTCTGATGGAGGGTCTGGACAAGCGATGGTGGAACCTGGTCCACTGGATCCAGGAAGAACCAGAGGATTTGCAAAATCTAGAGAAAAGAAGAACGAGGGAAAAGGTGGGAGCCATGGAGTTTCCCCGCCCAACATGTCCTAATCCCAGCAGGAGGAAAAATTTAATGCCCTGAGAATAGGGACCCACACTGCTGACGTACCTGGATCATCCATGTGGGACATGACCCAGTTCATCGCCGCCTCAGCCCCACTGTTCCCAGTGTAATACACAGCTTTGCGGCAGGCGTCCATCGGAAAGCCCATCTCCACCAGTTGAGTAATCACAGACTCATCCAACATGGGGGCTGCAATGGGAGGGGAAAGGGTTAGAGGTCTCCAGAAAGCACCACTTCTGGCCAAGCACTTCGCAGGACCAGGCCCCAGCCTTCCGCTCTGCAGGTTTCCTCTCTCGCACACACTATGCGTCTTCGCCAAGGCCATGCCTGTATCCAGCAGTCTATGGAAATGGCCACTCCTGCAGCGGCAACAAGCAGTTGCTGGGAGAGGCATAACCACCTCCCCAGCTCCGCGCACATTTCTTAAAGAGGAGTCAAAGACAGACCAAGCCTGGGATGAGATGGCAAACAATGACCATGATTTACAACACCATGCTTCGTAACGAATACAGTACTATTGTTGAACAATATGGGTTCATAATAACTAGGGGGACAATTCTATATGCATTGTGATGCCTCTCTTTTCTTCGTCTTCTTCCTTTTTGGTTGATGTGAGGTATGTCCCCCCCCCCCCCCCCAAAAAAGCATTTATTTTTTTTAAAGATAGACCAAGCCCTATTCCCATCCATACCTTCCTCACAGGGCTGTGCAACTGGTGGCTCACCAAACCCACATGCTGCCCAGAGGGGCTGGGGTGACCCAGTCAGATGGGTGACATATAAATAAGATTATTATTATTATTATTATTATTATTATATGGTAGCCTGCTAGCCAGCAGCTCCACCAGTCTCCTGTTCTGGCTGTTGCCAAAACAACACCATCCCGACAAAAGTATTTAAGGAACGGGAGATGGGGAACATCCTACTAGGTCGGTTTCGCCCTTGACATACTACGGTTTCTTTGAGATTTCACAAACCTGATCCTGAGAGCAGTCAGTGGAGACTTTGGTAGCTGCCCTACCTTCAGGTGGGAGATCAGGCAGACAATAGTGGAGCTTTTCGCCACTGACTTCTGAGAGAGCCAGAGGAATTATGACGACTGGGAGGGTTGTCAAGCTGCTGGCAGGCTACACTTTCTAGCTGGTGGGCTGCGTTCAGTTTGGTGGGCCACAGCTGCACAGGTCTTCTCTAAAGGAAATGTACATGCTGCATGTGACAATGACTACGAGCAGAGGAGGTGCAAGTGCCCTTTGACAAGAAACGGACTTTGCCAAGGATCGCAGAGGCTTGTTTCTCTGGAATACCTCTTCTGAACGAGGCTGAAGGTGCACTATGCCCCATCCATTGCCATAACATTTCACTCTGCTAATTTCATGGTGGGATTCAAGGTCTCAGTTAACGAAGGGTTCGGAAAGCTCCAGGGCACCACAGGTCTCATTAGATGGGGGAAAAGATGTGAAAGGAGAACACAGCTCTTAAACAGATGTGCCTCAGAGACAGGATTTGAGCGTGGTTGTTAGGAGCCCCTACTCTCGAGTAGGACCCTGGCAGAGACAAATGCCTGACTGGCATGTTCTCTCCCTCCTGGTCGATCGTTTGGGAGCTTCAAAAGCTTTCTTGTGCCCGAACATCACAGCGACCGATGCCAACAGACATCGGCACACTTACAGGTACGCAGAGTATTTCGCAGTTTGCGTAACAGAACTCAGTAGCTCAGCATTTTGGCTAATCTACTTTATTTACATAAAAACACACACAGAGCACTGCAGCATGGCTCCCTCTCTCTCTAGCATCAGACAGCAAAGAGACAAAGGACAATAGTCCCACTTCACGGCACACAGTAACACAAACATCCTGTCTCCATCACTTCCCACTCTGTGGAATGAAAACATACAGAGTCATGTGATAGACAACAATCCCATGACTGCAGACACGGGGAATGAATCTTCAACAGTGATTGACTCAGGCTAAAAAAAGAAAAGAAAGGGGGGCGGGTGATTCCCTAGAAACACACCCGGTAAGATTCAGACTTTACAATTCCATCCCTGAAGCCCCCATGATTCAATAGTGGATCCTGAGATGTAGTGTAAGGTGGTGCAGAGTCAGGCAGCCAGCAATTCGACAGAAGAGCTGACAGGAAGACAGACTGAGCAAGGAGAAGGAAAGGCACTGACACAGGTGACAGGACACAAGGAGAGAGAGGGAGGGGGGGTTGAGTGAGTGAGTGAGTGAGAGACTCAAGGAAGAGAGGAAAGGAGAAGAGTCACTAACATGTCGGAGAGGAGAAGTGAGGGGAGCAGAAGGAGTCGTCGTCCTCGTTGCCATAGAAACCCAGGCTACCTTTGGGCTCATCTGGCGTCACCAGCGGAGGCGCTATGTCAGGCATCTCCTCCTCCTCAGGCTGCAGTCCCGTCCCCTGGAGTGCAGAGATGTCCAGCTCATCTGGCATTTCGATGGAGACATCTGTCAACGCAAGCAGCACAATGGGGATCAGGTCAGGGATTGTGTCAAAGGTAAATTGGCTAAACAAAGAAGGCTAGCGTAAAAAATGAAAGAAAACGCCACAATCTATGGACGTGCTAACAGAACAAGGCCACCGATAAGGAGAGGCTCCTAAGAATAGATGTTGCGTAGTGGCAGAGACCATGAACCAGGAAGTCCACAGCCACAAACCTGTGTGAGTGTCTGGAGGCTCTTGGAGGATGGACGGCGACTAACAGATTGAGCCTGAATCCCAACAAGACAGAAGTACTGTTTTGGGGGGACGGGGAGGACAGGTATGGAGGGCTCCCCTGTCCTGAATGGGGTAACTCTGCCCTTGAAGGACCAGATGCGCAGCCTGGGAGTCATTTTGGACTCACAGCTGTCCATGGAGGCGCAGGTCAATTCTGTATCCAGGGGAGCTGTCTACCAGCTCCACCTGGTACACAGGCTGAGACCCTACCTGCCCGCAGATTGTCTCGCCAGAATGGTGCATGCTCTAGTTATCTCCCGCTTGGACTACTGAATGCACTCTACGTGGGGCTACCTTTGAAGGTGACCTGGAAACGACAACTAATCCAGAATGCGGCACCTAGATTGGTGACTGGGAGTGGCCGCTGAGGCCATATAACACTGGTCATGAAAAACCTACATTGGTTCCCAGTACATTTCCGAGCACAATTCAAAGTGTTGGTGCTGACCTTTAAAGCCCTAAACGGGCTTGGCCCAGTATATCTGAAGGAGCATCTCCACCCCCATAGTTCAGCCCAGACACTGAGGTCCAGCTCCGAGGGCCTTCTGGCGGTTCTCTCACTGTGAAATGTGAGGTTACAGGGAACCAGGCAGAGGGCCTTCTCGATAGTGGTGTCCGCCCTGTGGAACGCCCTCCCAACAGATGTCAAGGAAAGAAACAACTATCTGACTTTTAGAAGACATCTAAAGGCAACCCTTTTAGGGAAGTTTTTAATTTTTGATGCTTTATCGTGTTTTAATATTCTGTTGGGAGGCTGGGGAAACCCAGCCAGATGGGTGGCATATAAATAATAAATTTCTATTATTATTAACCTACCAGGTAGTTTTAAGCAACCTAACATCCTGTGGTGCCCCCCCTTCATTTCCCCCATATCTACAATTGCAGATAATAGTGGCCTACCTCACAAGGGTATTTTAAGGATTACCGGAGAGCTGAACCACTTTGAACAATCAGAAACACCATATATCTTTGCTAAGTACTGTCATTACACTTGTCAACTAGGATGGAATATCTGGTGCAGCGACAAGAGTTGCCATGCTGGAATTATGAGGCGTCACTCCCAACCCTGGACAACCCGTGATTTCCCAACATTTTATTTATTTATTACATTTTAATACCACCTTTCATCCGTAGATATCAGGGCAGTTCACAGCATAAAAATACAAGATGAAAGCACAAAATGTACAAAAAACCTCCAAGAATAGCCCTCTTACCGAGTTTTTTGGGCACCCAGTCTAGGCCAAAAGTGAACTTCTTGATCTGGATCACGAGATAATCTGGGAAGGATGCAAACCGGGTTGTCCTAAAAAATGAGAGGAAGAGCTAGTGAAGCATCCCATTTCAAAAGGTAAGCAATACCCAACCAAGAGAGAAGGGAGACTCCTCAATATAGACTCTCACATGGAGCAGCAGTTGCAAGCTTACAGTTTCTTGGATTCTCGCAAGCTTCCCACTTTCTGCAGGGACCGTGCACACATTTGCTTAACTTGCTTCTACTAAGGATGCACGTTGTTTCATACCAAACAAAACAGAAAAATGGAAGCCACCAGTCACAAGGCTAACAGAACAAACAAATGAGTTCCAAAGGGGCAACTGTACACTTTTGAGCTGAAGATGTCCAACAATGTGATAGGTCTTCCTTCCACAGGTGGAAGGACAAAAAAAGAGAGGTTTACCCTTTGCCTGTGCTGGTACTTTCTGAATTGGAGAAATGTTTGTATGTTTCTGTGCAAAATATAGCTGTAGCTTATCAGTTCCTTTAAAACTTTCAGTCCTATTCCATACACTTCGCTGGACTGATCATGGTATGCGGATGCCTGATTATCGTCTTCCAAAGCAGCTACTCTATCCTGAACTTAAAAATGGAAAGTGTAATGCCGGTGGTCAACAAAAGAGGTTTAAAGACTCTCTCAAGGCAAATCTAAAAAAAAATGTATTATAAACACTGACAACTGGGAAACACTGGCCTGTGAGCGCTCCAGTTGGAGAACAGCCTTTATCAAAGGTGTCATGGGCTTTGAAGACACTCAAACTCAGGATGCAAGGGAGAAACGTGCTAAGAGGAAGGCACGCTTGGCAAATCCACACCGTGATCAACTCACACCCGGAAACCAATGTCCCCACTGTGGAAGGATGTGTGGATCCAGAATTGGCCTCCACAGTCACTTACAGACTCATTGTTAAAACCGTGTTTATGGAAGACAATCTTACTCAGCTACGAGTCATCGCCAAAGAAGAAGAAGTTGTCCCACCCAGATCCCATTCCTCTGTGATATGGATTTGCAGATTGTAGCTAATCAGTCTCCTCCCTGTGCCTGGCATGTGTTTCTTTTACTTTTATTCATTCAAAGCTTGCTCAGAATCCAAGTGTGTTTTAGTGAGTGAGCAATTATGCACAGTGTGTGTGTGTGTGTGTGTGTGTGTGAGAGAGAGAGAGAGAGAGAGAGAGAGAGAGAGAGAGAAGGATGTTCTCTCTCTCTCTCATATACTGACTGAATCAGTCCATTCATTGTCATAAATTACAATGAATAGCAGACGGGCTGTTTCTGGTTGTAGACAAGGGAGACATGCTGGCAGAACATCAGGCCATGGCACTTGGCAGCCTTCCAAATGGAAGAACCCAGTAGTTTTCCCCATCCACTAGCTAGCAAAACGAGGAGGAAATGGACTGAGGGGAAACAGGATGAAGCAGACATCCTTCACAGGCAGCTGCACCTGTGTGATTGCAGCCACTTCTCTGGCTAAGGAGGCTGTTGTTGCTCAGTCTTCCCCTCCTCCCCAAATTATTCCCAGGTAGGGAATTTGCCAAGGGGCTGGAGTTAACTTTGGATATGAGGGATATCCAAATATGATTTGAGCTATTCCCTCCCAAGTCAAGAAGCTGTGCAGGGCGCGCCATTCTGGGTAATTACTTGACTAAGGCAAGGCAGTAAAGAGCCCCTCTCACTTTCCCAGCTGCCATAGCATCAGCCACAATCTGCACAAATTGAGAGGGAGCAACAGCCCAGGTTTTTGTTTTCTCCACAAATCCTGTGGGCAGTGGGAGAACAGCAGACCCAACTCATGGAAAATATGCAGGTGAGGGGAGTATCTCCTATGTAGGATCTAGCCAGGGGTCAGCAAACATTTTCAGCCACTTTCAACATTTTCACCACTGTCCATCAGACCTTGTGGGGGGCTGGGACTATATTTTGGAAAAAATAATAATGAACGAATACCTATGCCCCACAAATAACCCAGTGATGCATTTTAAATAAAAGGACACATTCTACTCATGTAAAAACGCGCTGATTCCTGGACCATCCGTGGGCTGGATTTAGAAGGTGATTGGGCCCCAGGCCTTAGTTTGCCTACCCATTCAGGTAAGCTGTATACAATGAAGGGGAACGTTACCAAACCATGGCACGTCATCCCTTGGTCACTGGTGCTGCAAGGGGAGGCAAATGGGCTCATGCCTTTTGTTTCCGATGATGAGAAACATGACTGGAAATTGTGTCACACAGGTTTCTAGCACCTAGGTCTCCCACTCTCTGGGCCTCATCAGCTCTGGTTCGGTGGTGCAGCTTTGTTTCTCAAATCTTATAATATGCATTGTTTGTCAAAGCCACTAATGCCTCCAGCCAGGACTTCAAACTGTGCCCAATGTCTGCCAACCAGGCCTGTCTGTGCAAGAGCCTGGTGTCTGCCCAGCTGGTGCTCCTCTGCCACACTTAGTGTTTTCCTACATGGGGAAAAGGGGTCCTGTTTTAGGAAAACTGTCTGCAATTTGGTAGGGTCCAGTTCCTTGGGAAGATCATTGAACGACACAAAAGCTTCACAGCAACAGGAAACAACTCCACAATGGCACTAATACAGTCGCACCTTGGTTTTCAAACAGCTTAGTTCTCGAACGTTTTGCATACCGAACGCCGCAAACCCAGAAGTGAGTGTTCCAGTTTGCGAACTATTTTTGGAAGCCGAATGTCCGACGCGGCTTCCAATCGGAAGCTGCGGTTTGGTTTCCGAATGTTTCGGAAGTCAAACAGACTTCCGGAACGGATTCCGTTCGACTTCCAAGGTACAACTGTACTACGATGACACAAATGCAATCCTCAGCAAGGTTTATTTCCTTGCATGCCCCGGATTTCAAACTTGCTAGCACTGCCTCCCTGCTCCCCCAACTCACTTGAGCGCCACAGACTTGGCCTGCAAGGCTGTGCTCCAGAAGTCATCTACTTGCTCTGGGGCCCCATAGGCCTCTAGGCAGGAGCTGAAAGGCACCTTGGCACGGACCAGTTCGGGCAGCGGCTGCTTCTCCTCCTCGGCCTGCCGCTTTCTTTCTTCATATTCTAGCAACTCATCTGCAGGAAAAAGCAAAAAGAAGCACACAAGGGATTTATCATTAGGTTTGGCTATAGGTCATGGAAAATGGACTGGCCAGCTGCAATTTCCATTACATAATTCCCTGTGTCCACTGCCATGCTAGTGGCAGCATCTTTCACCTTTCTTCTTTCTTAAAATTCTTGCTGGTATGTTCCAAAAATACACACCATCGTGACAAACAAAAACAGTACCCCCCCGCCACAAACAGTTTAAACGGCCATTGATTAATTAGGATTAGAACAGCTACCAACCAGACACAAATCCTTGTGCAGGGTGTTAAATTGTGCTGTTGCTGGCGAACTCCAGATGAAATTCTTTATCTATTATTTGTTATTATCTATTATTCGGGTGAAGGGTGGTATAAATTTTTTATTAATAATAATAACAACAAAAACCACAGGAAAAGCTCTGCAGTATTCTCTCCCTTAAATCCATGCTTAGTGCATGATGTGCATGCACCCTAGATGACAGATAGGGCAGAGGTGGAGAGACACAGAGGCAGCTGCTATGAACAGGGTTTTAGTGTTCCTAGAACCTCATAGCAAGGCTCGGCCAGTTTCAGAGTGGAGCAAGGAAAAGGGAATTGGCTGGCCATTACCCTCATGAAAATCACAGGGAAATGATACAGCTGGGTTTCTCAAACTTGGGTCTCCAGCTGTTTTTGGACTACAGTTCCCATCATCCCTAGCCACTGGTCCTGGTAGCTAGGGATGATGGGAGTTGTAGTCCAACAGTCCGAGACCTACGTTCGGGAAATGTTGCGGTAGAGTAAGCTTTGCTTGGGGTGGAAAGGAGACCATTGCTCTTGCACATACCACTTTGAGCACAGAAATAAAGGTCTGCAAAGGACGGAGGGGAGGTGGGGAGACACCAGTGACATCACAGCTCCCCACCTTTGTTCAGCGCTGCCTCCATGGGCACCGGCAGCTGCATGATGTAATCAACGCGCTGGGTGTATTTCACTTTCTCCGTGGCCAAACACTTGAGCTTCTCCTCCACCAAGAAGCGGAAGACCTCGTTGGGGTTCTCGGAGCTACGGCAGTTCCTCTGAGGAAGGAAAATATGGGAACAGGAAGGAGAGGCGTTAGGGCCAGCAACAGCATACATACTGGAGGAGAGGATCCAGGAGCAAGGATCCAAACAAGCAAAAGCTACTCTGTCCGCCTCTCCTTTAAAAGCCTATGCCAAAGCTTCCAGGCTTCTGGACTTTCAGGAAAGCACTTGCTTCGGCTGTTGAGGAAGCACTCTTTTGGGCCTAGACAGCACCCTGCCTAAGCCAATGGCACACCCAACATTCCTTATACTCGAGTATAAGCCGAGGGGGTTTTTTTCAGCATAAAAAGTGTGCTGAAAAAGTCGGCTTATACTCGAGTATATACGGTATTTCCTCTCTTCCAATGACAATACTGTCAGCAGCCTTCTCCCTCTTTCCCTCTGGTGGCAGCATTCAGTGCTGGCCTGCCAAACAACTCCTAGTCACCGGCCCAAGTACCCTTCCTGCCATTTCTATCCAGTATAAGTAGAAATCCATTTCCTAAAGCCCGGGAATTGTTACCTCCACCATGTTAATGAAGTGCAGGAAGAACTCCTGAGCGTCTTGTTGCCGATTAGTAGAGAATTCTGGATGACCTTTGCCAACAAGTGATTTAAACATTCGAGGTGCGATGCCATCTTGAATGCCCTGCAAGGAGAAGAGACATTTGCTTCAACCAGGAGAGATCTGTAACCAGGGTGGATTTGATTTAAATTAAATCAATTTAAATCACAAGTCAGTAAGACTTGATTTAAATTTTTTTTTTACAGAAAGACTCATTTTTGCTGGTATAATCTTAATCTTTACAACCAGATGAATGTTTCATTTTTGGAATAGTAAATTTTCAGAATAGTTTTTACAGCTATATCAAAAATTACTGATTTGGTTCTACTATTAGAAATACATTAAGACAGATAACTATGAAATTATTGTGAGGTTTACTACGTAAACTGTTCATATTTGGACAACTTTTCTGCTGTACTTTATTGGAAGGAGAAAAGTAATCATTTCCTTAATAACAAGTGAAACAATTTATTTAACTAAAACAATAACATCATAGCATTTGTATCCATGTTTGTTAACTGATGTGGTTAAACAATTTAAAAAACAAACAGACTGAGTTTTAGCACACATGAAAAACTTAAAACAAATCCTTATTTCCTGATGAATAGCCTTTGGACTATAATATAACTTAATTTGAAAACTATCTTTAGAAGGAATTTTTCTCCAAAATCATTTTATTTTAAAAATCTGATTTAAATCCAAAAAATCCGATTTAAATTTTAAAAATCTGATTTTAAAATTAAAAATATATATATATTTTTATCCACCCTGCCTGTAACTGATTTAGGAAGCCTCCTTCCAAGCTCAGGGACAAATGGGCTTCATAACCCTACCTTCTGGTCCAGCTGCTGCTCTCCATCTGAAGCAGCTGGCTTTGAATATTCCCCAGAGAGTAACCCATGGCCCAACTTGGCTCTGGAAAAGCAGATAAATGTAATCAGCCCTGACATGGATAATAAAAGCATGACCTTGTGAGTTTTAACCTTGTAGCCTGCTGAAATCTTGATGGGCACCTCCCGCTTCACACAAAAGATCAGTGTTTGGGCTCTAATACTTGGAGTGATTTAGGAGCCTCTCAGTGTCAACCGTGTTCAAGGAATTCTGCAAACAGTACAATATGTCTTTTCCAAGGGATAGGGATCTCAGGATTGGTGGCATCCAGCTTTTCCTTGAGCTATAGAGCTGGAAGGGACTCTAAGGTGCAGGAATCTCTGCTAAAGCATCCAGGACAGACAGCCATCCAACCTTTGCTTAAAAGCTTTTTCTTTTCAAGAACAGGTGTGATGTACCTTTGGCCCACCGGGTGTTGCTGAACTACAACTCCCATCATCCCTGGCTATTAGTCATGTTTGCTGGGCGGATGTAATTCATAGCTCAGCAGCACCTGGTGGGCCAAAGATTCCCCACATCTGAAACAAAAACTAATTCACACAATTCAGGGTTTTTTAAAAAATAATAATAATCCCAAAATCTTGGATTTCATTTTAACAGACTGCATCTAGACCAGGCTTCCTCAACCTCGGCCCTCCAGATGTTTTGAGACTACAATTCCCATCATCTCTGACGACTGGTCCTGTTAGCTAGGGATGATGGGAGTTGTAGTACCAAAACACCTGGAGGGCTGCGTTTGCCTATGCCTGATCTAGACACATCAAAGAACTGTTTCAGGCAAACACGCTTTAAACTTTGTATGAGAAATCGGGTTGGCAAAAATGGAACTCCCAAGTCTGGTGCCACAGTGTTATAATGCATATACTACACACATAAAACACCTTTTCTTTACCAATCTAGCTGTGTCCTTAGATTTCTAAACCCTCACAATTCTACAAAATGTGGCAGCACCCCAATCAGCACAGAATGTTTCTCAAATTGTCGCTGCTTTTGCTTAGTGAGCACACTCTGTTCACTGGCAAACAGTGACAAACATGAGGGGCAGTAGCAAGAGAGGGAAGAAACCCCTCACTTTAGTCCCCAACCCTGTCCCTTTGGGGCAGAGACTGGCACCCAGGGGTCTAGCAGTCTAGTTTCACAGGTGATGGGGGGGGGGAGCTGAAATGGATGTGGGTCAGGAGGCAGAAGGCCTTCTGCCATCCATCAGCTCAGACCTCTGGCAAGAGAGATCTGTCTGACTCTCCTCTGGCAATCCATTGGCTGGGGAGAGGGAGGAAGAAAGGGGTGTGGCATGTGGCAGAAAGAGAGAGAAGGGGTGGCTGTACCCCGCTAGCAGCGCAGCAGCCGCTAACACAGACAACCCCCGAGGGAATGCAGCCCATGACAGAAAGAGCACTACGTACACTTGGGTGTTGAAGTCCTGTGTCGGATCAGCAGGAGCATTTTGGAATATTTTCTCTAGCTTGTCTACATACCTAGAATGCAAGCAAGCAAACGAAAAAGAACAGTTCAGTGAACCCACGGTTGCATAATTCAGAACAGCAGAGCTGGCAAGATTCAGGGGTTTGGGGGCCCAAATAATCTCAACCTCGTTTTGTGAAAATAATAATAATGCGCATGTCTTGGCCTTGGAGCAGTAGAGAAACATCTCTTGCTTTTGGGTCTCTATTGCATGTTTGGAGTTGGAATGTCCCCTGAATATGACCTTGCTTAGGTACCAACTTGAATAATGCTGAGAGAGATAGCTGCCCCTCAGCTCTGAAATATCCTTCCTCTGGAGACTCCTGTTTGGCATGGCTTCCGGAAGCAGTGTGTTTTCATTCAAGTTGGCTTCTGATAGCCAGAAGCAAGGAGGGTGGGCTTTAATTAAAGAACTGTGGCAAGCGGTTTTGTGACTGATGAACTCTCGCCCATTCCCAGTGCCTGAGGTGTGGCAGGGTACACACTGAACAACAGCAACAAAACTCACTGAAAATCATTATCCGAATTTTGTAGGTCTGCTAGATGTACAAAGCTTTAGACAAGGCCCACAAATGGTTTATTTTAACTTAATTAGAAGCAGAGAGAATGAACGTGGGCTACGCTATCAGGACACGTTGATTTTTTTTCAACTTTCAAATTCCAAAAATGAAGAGAGCTAAAATGCTGTAACATACCTTGTGAATTCAAAAGATATTTTGGTTAAATCGATATAATTTAGTTTTGCTTGGTAAGTAAAATGTGTGTAAAATTTCAAAGAAATCATTAAAAATGATTGCCAAATATCTGCAGTTAGATACATTAGTATTATTTTTATTGCTTATTATTGCTTCATATTGTTGCTTCCTCTTATTATTATTTAGTATTGCCTGACATTTTCAGAAGGCAAAATAAAATTTCTTTGTTTTTCCAAAAGCCATTTGTGCCTCTTCATCAAACGCAGACATACCAAGCTAAATGTTGTCTAATCATAAAAATAATAGCAGATTTGAATTCCTCACACCCAAAAACATATTTTTGAGACCCTTCAGCTGAAGAAACTTGCAAAAATTATGTTTCACCCTCTAAAATGACACCATACTACGCTATGCTCTCATCTCTGAAGGTGTTAAGATTGCTATATTACAGGTGATATCTGTTTGCACTCTCAGAAGTGATTCAATACAATTTGCTGCAGCTACAGGCACAATGGAGGCCTCCTCCAGGTCACTTACTTCCGCTGGAAATCTGGTATGCTGAACAACACCTGCACTACTGAGTTGAGATAGCAGCTGTTTCCCAGGTTACGGATGCCTGTGTAGCCAGGGCCATAGAGTGGCTTGAGCTGAACCCCGGACTCTTGGATCAGCTCCCACTCACCAATCCGCTGGTTCATGTCAATCTCTAGCTCTGTCATCGTCTTGTCAGTCTGGGAAGAAAGAACCACAGAAAATGCTCAGAAAATGCCCCTCCCCCAAGAGTTGCTGATCCAGGGAAAATTAATGGAGTAAGTCACAACAAAGGCGGCATGTGAGAAAGCTTACAAAGAACTCAAGAGCCCTCTCCCCACTCTCCATCTAGGCTACTTGGAATTTATCTTGCTAAAACATTGAATCAAAGACAGAAGAATTATTCTGGCCACAGTCTGGCATTAGGAGTTGGTAACAGGCAATTATGGTGCTGGAGGAGACTCTTGAGAGTCCCATGGACTGCAAGAAGATCAAACCTATCCATTCTTAAGGAAATCAGCCCTGAGTGCTCACTGGAAGGACAGATCCTGATGCTGAGGCTCCAATACTTTGGCCACCTTGTGAGAAGAGAAGACTCCCTGGAAAAGACCCTGATGTTGGGAAAGATGGAGGGCATAAGGAGAAGGGGAGGACAGAGGACAAGATGGTGGGACAGTGTTCTCGAAGCTACGAATATGAGTTTGACCAAGCTGTGGGAGGCAGTGGAAGACAGGAGTGCCTGGCGTGCTCTGGTCCAGGGGGTCACGAAGAGTCGGAGACAACTAAACGACTAAACGACAACAGGCAGTCTCTCTCTCTCTCTCGATCCCAATTTGTCCGAAAGCCTTTGAGCTACTCCAGTGGCAAATCCATATCCCATCCTAGTGTCACATGTGAAAATCTCAAGCCCGAGTGGCCATGAAAATCTCAGGGCAGGAAGCAACACTCCCATCGCCCCTTCTCACCTTCTGCATTTTGAGCATGTCAATCCCAAAATGAGCCAGGTGCTCTGCCAGGTTGGGGTCCAAAACCATGTCGTCTTCATCGTATGAATAGACATCTAAGGAGAAAGGAAACATTGGGAGGGGAGGTGGAAACCAACAGCTTTTTGGTGCTGTTCCACCTACAGAAATCCTCAAGAGCAGGGATGACCACCTGGGGCAGCCCAGCAGGTTGAATGCTGCTTGAGCCAGCAAGATAAATTCTATCTGGTCCCCAGCAGTCCTATTATTTTTTAAAAATACAGGAGAGAAGATGAACTATCTTTGACTGCACTTTGAGTAATGCAGGGCAGGGGTGTCGTTTTTGAAAGCTGCATGCAAAAAATGCTACTTAAAATTTCAACATTAAATCTTTTATACGCCTATTTTGCAGGATTAATGTACAATACTATTGGCCCATATTACTTATGGAAGGGATGGTTGCAGCTCATGGTCGAGAAGGTCTGCCAACTGGCAGCTGATGGGACACACTCAGTTGTTTAAGTAAGCTGATCTGGCTCTTCAAGGCCTTGCAAAACCAAGGTACAGTTGTACCTTGCTTGTTGAATGCCTTGGTACTCATCCGTTTTGGTTCCCAAGCGCCATCAACCTGGAAGTGAGTGCTGTGGTTTGTGAACATTTTTTGGAAGCCGAACGTCCAACGTGGCTTCCAACTGAGTGCAGGAAGCTGCTGCAGCCAATCGGAAGCCGCGCCTTGGTTGTTGAACGTTTTCGGAAGTCGAATGGACTTCCGGAACAGATTCCGCTCGACAACCAAGGTATGACTGTATGTCCAAAACCTTTCCTTCGTACAAAATGTGGGCAAAGAGCCAGGCCTTCCAGTTGTGCAGAAATATATGTCTCTCATTAACTGTGAAGCACCTATGCTCAATAACAGCAGAGATCCTGCAAGGCAGCGGAGGTTTAGGATCAGAGTTTTCCTTCTTCTAGAGGGGCTACCTTCCTAGGTTGATGAGCCCCATCTGCCCCTCACTTCCCTCTACAGCAGGTGCAGAAACCGCCTTCTTGACCACTGGACCGACTATTAGTCTCATCTGCTCAGTCTGCCAGAGCCTGTTTGCATGCAAGGGCGTGTAGCAAAACTCATTTCTGACTCCCCTGCCCCAAGAACATGTGGTCATTCCTGGTGGAGCAAGGCAGGCTTCTAGGATATGTAGCAAACCAACTGCCCTAGCAGGCCTCCCAATCGTGGAAGAATGTTGGCATGTGCAAGAATAGCCGTGCTCACTTCAAGTTGGTGGGGAAAAGAGGAGTCAGTACCAACCCAAACTGTCCTTGGGCCCAGGCAACAAAGGCTTCATGCAGACCCCTATGACTGTAACTGCTTCATAGCAAGAGCACAAACAAGAGAATCTATCCGTGGCCACAGACTCCAAAAACTATTCTAGCACCTGTCTTGTCTGCAGGATGTAATCCATTGGTACAGTCAAATGCAACATTCCTGTAACTTCCTGTTCCACTGGACTGGAGCATCTTCCCCCTGCATGTGACCTGGGAGATGGGCGTGGCTGACTCCATAAAAGAGCCATCATGCAGCCATTTTCTCAGTCTGTTGTCTTGCTTCGCTTGCTCTCTTGCTTACTGTTCTTTGCTGTAATGCTGTTCTCCTGCAGCCATTTTGTTCTATTAATGTAATTCTGCTGTCTGCTGGCTCTCAGCCAGCAGCACATGAGTTCAGTCTCCATATGAGATGAACTCACTGTCTGTTTGTGTAAATACTAAGCAGAGCCTGCCTTTCAGGGACCAAATCGTGAACTGAAATGTGAGTAAACTTTTTGTTACTTTACTCAGAAAGACTTTTGTGTCTTATGTTTTTATGCATATTGTATTATTTATATGATGTTAGCCGCTCTGGGTCTGACTCCGGCCGGGGAGGGTGGTGTACAAATAATAATAATAATAATAATAATAATAATAATAATAATTATTGTCAAATGGGACACCAGGAAATAATCTTAACTAAGAGATTCAAACAAACCTGCAAACTAGCTTCCAGCTATATTGAGGGGAATTTGCTCTGCTACATCACTTCACTAGCGTGAGGGAGGGAGGGATAATACTCATTCAATACATCCTTTCCTACTATCCTTAACATTCCCACATTGTCAGGACAGAGACTTGGCTGCAGCCTCAGCTAGACACTTCGCTCACCAGCTCCATCAGGAGTGATTGTTCCCAGCTTCACGGCCAATGGGTAGCCCGTTTCCCGGTAATGTTCCACTGCGTGGTTGTTGCCCCCGCTACCGTCAAAGTAGCGTCGTCCACACAAGATGGAGCCATCGGTCATGTTGAGCCACAGGTTCTCGCGCATGTCGCACTTGCTGCACTTCCAGCCACTGGCAATGGAAACAGGTGGGGGATAAGCGACTTCTCTCAGCCACTGCGACTTTCAGCCCACCAGGAACAGGCAGGCAGGCAGCCATGTACAAGCAAGCCCGGGCATAGGCACACACGCAAGCCTGTCTCCTTCCTGGAGAATTTGCGGGCTTGCATCCTCAGGTGAGAGCAGGCGGGAAGACTTGGCAAGCGTCAAAGGAGTCCCTTCCTCCTGCTACGGGACTCAGCAGAGGGATGGAGTCATTTTGGACTCACAGTTGTCCATGGAGGCGCAGGTCAATTCTGTGTCCAGGGGAGCTGTCTACCAAGCTCCACCTGGTATGCCGGCTGAGACCCTACCTGCCCGCAGACTGTCTTGCCAGAGTGGTGCAGGCTCTAGTTATCTCCCACTTGGACTACTGCAAGGCGCTCTACGTGGGGCTACCTTTGAAGGTGACCCGGAAGCTACAATTAATCCAGAATGCGGCACCTGGACTGGCGACAAGGAGCAGCCACCGATACCAAATAACACCGGTCCTGAAAGACCTATATTGTCTCTCAGTACATTTCCAAGCACAATTCAAAGTGTTGGTGCTGACCTTTAAAGCCCTAAATGGCCTCGGCCCAGTATACCTGAAGGAGCGTCTCCACCCCCATCGTTCAGCCCAGACACTGAGGTCCAGCTCCGAGGGCCTTCTGGCGGTTCCCTCACTGCAAGAAGTGAGTTTACAGGGAACCAGGCAGAGGGACTTCTCGGTAGTGGTGTCTGCCCTGTGGAACGCCCTCCCATCAGATGTCAAGGAAATAAACAACTATCTGACTTTGAGAAGACATCTGAAGGCAACCCCGTTTAGGGAAGTTTTTGATGTTTTAATGTGTTCTTAATATTCTGTTGGGAGCCACCCAGAGTAGCTCGGGAAATCCAGCCAGATGGGCAGGGTATAAATAAATAAATATTCTTAATTGTATTATTATGCTGAGACTTTGCAATCAAACTCACCAAGGAGGGATACGCACGGCATTCTGGAGCTGCTGCAGTGAGAAGGCGTGCCTTGACACACGCCGAACCTCCCCATCCCAGGCCTGCACCTCCTGCTTCCGCGAGGCAGAGTCTGCTGTCAGAATCGCTTCAATTGCACTGGAAATCTGAATGGGCAAGAGGAGAGGGTCAGCCTTCCAGTGTCTCCTAACCCACACACCTGCATTGCACCTGCAGACAGAGTTCTGCCAAGGCACCTCGATACTTCCCCCCCCCCCCGCCAAGCCCCAGTACTTGGCCTTTCTTCTGCCCCCAACAAACAATCCAGGACTGCCCCCCCCCATTCCGATGAAACAGAGAGCCTACCCTGTCCTTGACCATATCTGGCAGACCCTCCAGTCCATCTCGAGGAATATCCAAGTGCTCTGGTAAAATGACTATTTTGACATATTCATCATACTCATATTTCTCCTCCGGGATGTCAAACCCACCTTCCACGCCTGCCAAAAAAGAAGCATAACAGCAGCAAATGAGAGGTGCAAGAGACAACATAAGATCAGGAAGCAGAAGTCTGAGCCAAACACCAGACTCCACATCATCAGAGCCCCCAGCTTAGGACATGTATGATCTAAAAGGGAATGGGAAATATCAGCTTTCCTGCAGTCTTTACTACTAGGAAAACTGTAGCCCAAATATATGCAAGGACTTCATCCTCAGGGTACCAAAGAGGAGCAGGGATAGTTGCTTACCAATAGCTAGACGCGTTGGTTTCTTCCTAGGAGGATCTCCGGAGCTGGAGTTGGTATCTTCTTCTTTCTGGAGGAAAATCAAGAGGGAGGTAGTTAGGAAGCCATCCCAAAGACTGGGCCACAGCCCACAAGGCAGTAGCCATTGGGACCTAGAATTTCTTCCCCTGCTCAGAAAGTTAAACACGTGAACCCCACTTTCTCAGCTCAAGCAGTTCAAGCGCATAAGATAGAAAGCCAGCTAGTCTTACCAACTTGCGTGTCTTCTTAAGATGTAGATAAACTCGCTGACCTGTTTTCTCATAATGCTTCCCCACATATTGCTTTCCAAAGCCCAGGAATGTGTTCATGCAAATATACAAGCCTCCATCAGACTCCTGTAGAATAGAAATACGAGGACATTCAACAGGTATGGGGGTTGAGGGGTTGTTGATGAGTCTGCAGTGCCATGAGTAATCCAACTTTTTTTTTAAACAACAATATCACAAAGATTCTATGCCCCCAAAAGCTAAAAGCCCGCAGCCTAAGCTATCCAAATGTATTCCATCTGCAAATCTCTCGTTTTTAACAATTTCTTAAAGATTCCAGGCTCTTTGCCACACAACTTCCAAGCACATCTGTGCAATCTTCAGGAAGCTGAGTTCTACACCCAACACTACATTCTGTGTTGTTGTTTTTCTGCACTCTTCAGAATCGGGGCCTAAAGGCAGCCCAGTCTACAAACTGCATTTGAAAACCAAATCCAGCCTACAAACCAAGCTGCACAGTCTGCACTGGAGTGGACCAGATTCTACAAGCGGGGAAATCAAATGTTTGCATGTCCTCCCCCCGCACAGTTTAAATTAAAAGCCTGCACAGTTAAGTGTGCCAGTGAGAAGGATAGACTGAAACCATTGTGTCAACATACCAGCTTGACATGTGCATGGGCGATTTTAAGTGGAACATCATTCAAGCCATTCAAACTGAAGTGGTTCAAATTAGAGGTCTACGTCACGTTTTGTCCCTTGTCTTTAATATGGAGGATTTCCAGGTTTGAGGCATTTTCACTTGTCACAGGGTGCGAGGCTGCTTCCTCTCTGGACTATCTTTTAGTTATCATTTTCCATAGCCTACTCAGCCAATGATGTTTTGGAGACAGAGGAACCAGAACCACACACACAAAGTATTCTAAGGTTGAGTTCATATAAAACAAATCATATCAAAATGTGAACACACAAATGTATTCAGAGGAAAAATCGCAGCCGCTTTTGTTCTGCCTCTGGTCCTCCTGCTGCTGAACTACCCGTTACCTGTAGCTAAGTCACAGTTTGGCTTAGTGTTATGTTTGAACTAGGGCTTGTGGTTTGTATCCTTCAGACAAACCACCAGCAGTTAGTGAAGAACATACCTTGGCTGCAGCTTGTGGTTTGTGTGGAGCGAGACAAACCACGAGCCCAGCTTAACACTTAAAACAAAACAAAGCCAAACCATGGCTTCAATCTGGGTAGCTCAGCAGCAGCAGAACTGAGGGAGAAGCAAAGCAGCTGTGACTTTGGCTGTGAGTACCCACACGCTCATGCTTAGCTATGGTCTGGTTTAGTGCCTAAATGTGAGTGTGAGCACGCAATAGATTCATGCAGTGATTTGATACTTGCTATTTATTATTATTTTTAAACACTTCATGAGACATCAAAGACCCAAGGAAAAAGCTTAAAGTTTTGAGTAAAGCGTAACTATGAAGATCGAGAAAGAGACAGGTCATTTGGTGTGTTCTTCTGCATTGCCTTTTACCCCTGTGTAACTTGATAAAGCTTAGGGCTGGCTTACAATTGTCAGTCTTGTTTAGATGCCTGTTTGGACATATGAACTGCATATATCAATCTATTCATTTAAGTTACATATGATGGAATATTTCTGTTGTTACTGTTAGCCTATTATTTTTCTATCCTCCCCCTCCCCCGGTTATATTTGCAATTTTTTTATTTATTTCATGGACCGGCTTTCTGCACAGAGGTTAAGGATGCTACTCAAGGCAGATCGGTTGTCGATCCATTTTTCTTCCAATCCCACAAATCCCAGCATGGCCAGACACTCGCTCAAGATGAACCAGCCTCCTGGGCATCTTTGCTCCCAGGAATGTGGCAGGCAGATAAAGAGCAGCAGGGAAGGGAGAAGAGATGAAGCTGATCTTTGGAGAAGAGCCTTACCAGACTCTCTTTCAGGCCAAGCAGTCTCTGTGCTATCACAATCATTCTGTGTTGGAGAGAAAGTTGCCAGTCTACTCCTATATTCCTGGTTTCTGCTTGCTGAGTAATAGTTGCCGTCTGGCTCCTTATGCAGCTGTGCTCCACCCTCAAACATCTGACCTGCTGCCAGGAATCACCCTCCTTAGGCAGACACTGGACTGCAAGCCTCCCTCCCTCCTGTGGTCTAGGCTGCTTTTACTGTCCAGGAAGCAGTACAATATTCATCTCAGTGAACAACCAGTGCTCTCCTCTTTTATCCCCACTGACTGGGCGTGTATCCAGTGTTAAAAATTCAGATATATAAGCTGGGCGCCAAATGGATTCTTAAACCAAGGTTGCAGCCGCCAAAACAGAAAGTCCAGTTGCTATTTGGGGGCAAGACAGCGCTTAAGTCTTATATTTTAAATGATAAAATGATCTTTTAACTGAATGCGATTATCATTTAAACATCTGGCTAGTTCAGATGGCAGCCTTGAGCTAGGTTAAGAACTTTTGAGAGCTTAAAGAAGAAAAGTCCCTTGATTCAGGGACAGTCCACGTATATAGTCCTATTCCTACCTCTTTTTTTCTTAATGGTGACTGCTCCTGCTCAGGCTGCACAGAAAAAGTATTTTGGTTCCAAAAATTCATTCCGATTGTGCAGAAAATAAAATATAACTGATAGAATTCTAAAGGCTGGGGGATTAGTTTGTGAAAACAGGCAAGATCTAAGGACCGCCAGGCACGCACCTCCAGCTGGTTGAGACATCAGGTGCCATCCTGGCGCCCAGCCATCTTCACTTGGCCGCAAATGGTCAAAAGCCAGATGCAGAATGTGCCTGGCTAATTGCGAACACCGGGTGTGTCCTCATTAAAAAACTTTTGATCTGGTTATCACAATAAATCCTAATCAATTGGTGAAGCTGAACCTGGGGAAGAACTTCTGTTGCATAGAAAGTATATGCAGGATTTTTTACAACTTGTAAAAGTTGCTTTTAAATTAATTGGATAATTCTGACAGTTAAAAGAGTGAACCGAGTAACAGGCACAGCGCTAGATTTTCTGAACACATCCTCCAATAGCAGTTTGTATTAGGCACCATGAAAACACCCAAAGCTGGATAAATCTCAGGTAGCTGCTGTTTCTCAAACTCTTCCCCGCAAGGTAGAACATGGTTTGAGGTGTGCGTGGTGAAGCATCCCTATTCTGAAATCGAACATTTTGTTTCCATTTTTTCTTAAAAGCAGATCAGTCTTTTTATTATAGGATGTTTGATTCCAAATCTACCTATGGACAGTACTGCTGCATATCATTTTCAGGAAATTTGGGTCCATGTGCAATATTGTAATGGGCAACAGTAGAAATATGGCATTCAAGTCCTTTCTGGGATTGAGATTTAATGTAGTGTTAAACTCAAACATAGCAGACAACAGCACCTGTTTCTGAAAGAATACAGATTTTTATTTAATATAATCCCATCAAGACGCATGGTGCTTTAAAACAGTATAGCGTGTGGGTATTGACCATTGCCACCTAGATTCCAAATTACAGATAAGGAGGCCTTGAATCCAACTGCTTGAGACAGATTTTGTGAGATCTGAATGCTTATCCCTATCTTGACAATACGTGTGGCATTAGTTCTGTACTGGTGAATGCGAACAACATGCCAAATGATAGACATCACCCTGTCAGTGTCAAAAATCACTCTACAGCCATCTCTTATGACACAGGGCTTTTCCTGATGACTGCCAGCTAGTCTCAAATGCACTTTTTCTGATCATGTTCGTTGTGAAGGATTCATTATGTCTCCCCAGAATTTCTGTCCCAGGAATGTCGTATTTTCATAAGACTCAAACTGCAACACACCGTTGCTGGGAAATTATTATTATTTCCCCAGCTAGTAGAAACAATCTATGTTTGGAGAGGCCTGGAATGTGATAATGCAAATGAGAACCTGTCAGACAGGGTCCCCAAAGCTGCCAATTATTGCAACCAAACAGCCCCAGTCAAGTGCCTCAAACAATCCCTTCCTACCCATTTGTGGAGGCTTGTGGGGAGCTAAGAAAAAGGAGGCTACTCTCCTGTTGTTTAGAAGAGACTCATTCTTCTGGCCCATCTAGTCTAGCACACTGTACAGTCTCACAGTGGCCAGCCCATGTCCCCAAGCTGATCTTTCAAGGAGACGCTTCTGGCCGTTCAATGACCAGCAGATTGCCAGTTGGTGCCAACATGAAAGCAAGCCATCTCTGTAACTGTTCCCACCCTCTGGAACGCCCACCTTTAGGCAATTTGTGAGATGGAGGCAGTAATGACCTCAGAGCACTAAACATACACGTTTACCGACACTCTCCATGACTCTTAATTTTTGTTTTGTACACTGCTCAGCTTTATCTGTGATATACTGTTGAGTTCAGTTTATATATATTTCTTAGGAAATTACATTGAATGCAGTGTTATTTTTTAAAATCATTTTTATATAAGCTACTTAAGAGATTTTTTTCATTGTTGCTATTACATAGAATCATAGCAGGTTCGTCTGGTGCCTTTATTATACACCTTTAGACACCAGACGAAAATGTTCCTCTTCAACCAGATCTTTGACTGATCAACATTCTATGTCCTTTTAAACGTGTTTGGACAGGGAAGGTATTGGTTTGGTTCGTTCTTGTTTTTATTATTTATTTTGTGTTCTTGGTCTGTATTTTTAGGCTATGAACCACCCTGAGATCTTTAGACGAAGGGCGGTATACAAATTTAATAAATAAAAATAACAGAATTGTAGAGCTGGAAGGGGCCATGAGGGTCATCTTCTAGTCTGGCCCCCTGCGATGCGGGAATCTTTTGCCCAAGGTGGGGCTCGAACCCGCAACCCTGAGATTTAAGAACCTCGTGCTCTACCGACTGAACGATCCCAGTTTAGTATAAGTTGTATGTGTGGTTGTTATATAATGGAAATCTATCAAATTATTTTAAAAAAACTATGAAAAGAAAAACAAAACAAATAAACAAGCAAACGAAGACCTTGGATGCCAGAGGCTCAGGACCTTGTCGCATCAATCCATGCGATGGTCACCTCCAGGCTTGACTACTGTAATTTGCTCTATGTGAGACTGCTCTTGAAGCTGTCCCAGAAACTCCAGCGGGTGCATAATGCTGCAGAGAGGCTCCTCACAGGGTCTCTGCCATGGGAGCACATTCACCCAGTGCTTTTCCAGCTGCACTGGCTCCTGGTGGAGTACAGGGTCGGATTTAAGGTGCTGGTTTTGACCTTTAAAGCCCTTCATGGCCTAGGACCCATGTACCTACGGGACTGCCTCTCCTGGTATGCCCCACGGAGGACCTTAAGGTCCATATATAGCAACACTCTAGAGGTCCCGGGCCCTAAGGAAGTTAGATTAGCCTCAACCAGAGCCAGGGCCTTTTCAACACTGGCTCCGGCCTGGTGGAACGCTCTGCCTCATGAGACCAGGGACCTGCGGGATCTGATTTCTTTCCGCAGGGCCTGTAAGACAGAGTTGTTCCACCTGGCCTTTGGCTTAGAATCAGTTTGATTTCCTCCCCCTCTTTCTTTTTCCTTCCTCCTCCTATGAAGAGACTGCATCCTAATGTTTTAATGTTGTATCTTAATCTTTTAAATTGTATTTTAATCAACTTGTTTTTATTATTGGTTGTTAGCCCGGTCATGGCTGGGGAGGGCGGGGTATAAATAAAAAAATATTATTATTATTACCGACTGACTGATCCCAGCTTAGTATAAGTTGTGTGTGGTTTTTATATAATGGAAATCAATCAAATTATTTTAAAAAAACTATGAAAAGAAAAACAAAACAAATAAGCAAGCAAACAAACAAACAAACAGACGAAAACCTCGGATGCCAGAGGCTCAGGACCTCGTCGCATCAATCCCATGTAAAAGGTGTGGCTGCAGAGCCAGTGATGCAGCACACGTGCGATTCGAAATTGAGAGGCCTAACGTTGCCCTTTCCCCCGCCGCAAAGGACTTCGGGATTTGCAGTTTTCTGGGGGGGTCGCCGCCGCCAAGCACACAACTAAGAGGGACTCCGTTTCCCAGCATGCCCCGCCCCGATAGTTCCAGAGACTTCAGTAGTCCGGCGAAGCGCAGCCGTACAGCCGGCAGCCGGGCGCGAGAACTACAGCTCCCAGCATGCCGCGCGCGCCCCTCAGCTTCGAAGCGGCACTGCCTTGTATCTCTTCAGAACGGCTGAGGCGGCCTGTCAGAGGGATAAGGGGCCAGGAAAGCGGCGGGGTGGGGCGCCCGCAGGCAAGGCGCGGGCCTAAGCCAAGAGGAAGGCGGCGGCCTCCCTCAGAACTACAATCCCCAGTAAGCCAAGCGTATTGCAAGCAACTGAAAAAAGGAAAAGGTGACTGGGCCGCAGTGCCTGCTGGGACCTGTAGTGCTCTTTCGGCTCCCTGGCAGCAGGTTCGAAAGGGACGTCACGCCCCGGGAAAAATACAAGTCCCATGGTGCCTTGCGCCCGGCTACGCTAACCTCCTCCCCCCACCCCGCTCCCACAGCCTGGGCGGCCGGAGTCTACGGCGACAACGGGGGCTCCCTCCGGCGCCCGGCGCTTTCCTACGGGAGCTTACCGGGGTGTCGAAGGAGAAGGCGCACTCATCCTTATGGACGCGGTCTCCGGCCTTGGGGACCCGGATGGATGGCAGTACAGAGAGTAGCGCTTCACTCAGCTCCGCCATGACAGCTGCTTTTTCCGACTCCTCCCACAGCAAGGTCCGACCAATCAGAGAGCGACGTACCTCAGGCTCCACTAGCCAATGAGCACAGGCACGAAGACGAACGCTAGGACGCGCGGTGCTTTGTTTGGTTCGTCCTCCTCACCCCCCTTTCCCCGCCTATCAGCGCTTTCGTTCTAAACGGACATCCTCCTGATCCAATAAAAATACTAGGTGTCCCTTCCGACAAATGGAAACGTTCGGTTTCTTTTTTTGTTAAACTCCGCCCCAATGAGATTCGAGCTGTGCTATTGGGTGGTGGGCTTTTGTATTTGCCCGAATTAGCCAATAAAACAGCGTCGGCTCTGTGGCCCACGCTGCCTTATAATTGATTGACAAACGCTCCACCAATAGAAGGCCACTATAGGAGGGGCGATGCTTTCAACTTTCCAGTTAAAAAGAAAAAGAGGGTGGGGAGAAGGAAGGGAGGAAACGGGATTGACGTCACATTGAGCTGCTCCGAAGAGCGCGGCGAGTTGAGTGACGGGAGCTTGAGCCAGTCAGAGCTGCAGCGTGGCGGCTGTGGGGGGGAAGGCGGGAGATTCGAATTGCAGCCTCCCGAGTTGGCCCTCGGCGCGTCGGGCGGGCGAAAGCAGGTGAGTCGCATAGAGCCGGGCCGTAACTCGGGTGGTGGGAAGAAGGGCAGCCAGGATACCTGGCGAGGGGCGGGACCCCGCGGGGAAGGTGGCTATGGACTTGGCGAGCTTAGCTGGGACTCGGGTCCGCAGAGGTCCCTGCACGGAGAAAGCTAGCAGCTAAGGGAGAAGACCCCCTTTCACCTGACAACTAGCCTTCTACGTGCAAGATTTATTATTATCATCATCATCATCACTATCATTATTTATACCACACATTTTTTCCTGACAAGGACTTTAAGGTGGACTTTAGCAGATTAACATTATATGTCCTTTTAAATGTTGTTGCGGGAGTGGGGTTATGTGTTTGTTTTTCTTGTGGATTATGCGTTCTCATATTGTTCAGTTATTGTGGATTATACGTTCTCATATTGTTCAGTTCAGTTAGGTTGTGAACTGCCCTGGGATTTTCCAATGGAGGGCAGCATAAAAATTTAATAATAATAATAGCAGGAACAGCTAAAACATATTGGACGGGAATCATTTAAAAAAATTAATAGCATTAAAGTATATTTGTGTGTGTATAATGTAGTGCTGGTTTTAATGTACAGTGGTACCTCGGGTTACATATGCTTCAGGTTACAGGCGCTTCAAGTTACAGACTCTGCTAACCCAGAAATAGTACCTTGGGTTAAGAACTTTGCTTCAGGATGAGAACAGAAATCGTGCTCCGGCGGCGCGGCAGCAGCGGGAGGCCCCATTAGCTAAAGTGGTGCTTCAGGTTAAGAACGGTTTCAGGTTAAGTACAGACCTCTGGAACGAATTACCGTAAGTACTTAACCTGAGGTACCACTGTATGTGTTTTGGGCTTAAAATATTCTGAGTTGCTTTGAATTGCTGTGGCCAAAAAAAAAGACTACTGGTGATAGCATATGGTGACTTATATTAAGGAGTGTTCAGTCATGTGAGTCCCCTCCACCTGCAGTCTGAGGTTCTGCTACCCCTTCAGTGAGAGCTATATGGAATTTGAGAGGTTTCTACTGGGTGTTGTGGGAATGCTAATATCTTCCTCAGTATTTCCCCCTTGATTTATGCTGGCCGGCAGTGCTATTTTCCCAGAAAAAGAGGTGCCAGAACCCACCATGAATGCTTCCCTTATTCTCTTATAATGGCAATGGCACCCACCTGAGAGGTGCCGGAACTGAGTTCCAGCTGAAAAAAAAGCCCTTGGCTGGTAATCTAGATACCCCTTAAGGGAGACGGTGCCAGGATTTCATTATGGCTTTTCCTATGCTTTCTTCATCCTGCAGTGCTTTGAGGTAGCAGGCCTTTTTAAACTGAGGGTAGCCTTTGATTTAGAATATTATGCTGTTGGTGACCCTTTTCCCGGATTGTAACTCAACATGTTGAGTGACTCTTCTTTCTACAGAAGTCTTGGTCAGCAGAAGAATTGCCCTGAGGAGCTGCTGTGTCCGCTGCCTGCTGTCATGGGGGCTTCCGAGAGCTCTCCAACAACACCCACCTTCAAGCCTCTGCTGAATAAGCACCTGCAACACGTTAGCGATCCACGATCACCTACAGCTGGGATCCTGAGAACTCCCATAGAGGTACAGGGAGACCTTGATGCCCATCTTTCAAAGCCTTTCTAAAGCGGCATGGCTTAGCTTGTTGTCCCTTCCGCTTTCCCCATCCCTTTCCTGTTGTTTGTTCTAACATAGTTCACACAGGCTGAGCCATGCTCATATTCATTGTTCCTTAGGTGGAAAGCTCCCCGCAAGCGAGTCCCCTGACCGATCCAAAGGACGTTGGCTTGGCACCCAACAACCAGAATCTTAGCTGTGACCCTCGTTCCCCAACACCTGGTGTCTCGCGTACTCCCGTGAAACCTGTGGAGCCAGGTAAGTGGGGATGTGATGCCCGATAACCCTAATGAGCAGAGAAATGGGACCTTTGATTTTCCTGGCTTGAGAACGGCCGCTCGGCAGAATGGTTCCCAAGAACCATGGTGAGAAATGTTGGCTGCTCTTTCTTCTTTTTGAGGAAAGAGCTGCGTGGACTCAGAGCCATCATCTGTTTAGGGAAATTTCAAATGTTTGATGTTTTATTGTGTTTTTAAATTCTGTTGGGAGCCGTCCAGAGTGGCTGGGGAAACCCAGCCAGATGGGCGGGGTATTAACAACAACAACATTATTATTATTATTATTATTATTATTATTATTTATTGTCTTGCCAAAGATGGCTCTGCTCTTGTGTTGCCTCAAACTCAGAGGTGAAAACATGTAGTTCCTGCTGGAGGTTTATCAAATATGCTTCTCCTGGCATAAGGTTTCACATTTATTTAATTGGTTTATGAGTCACATAAAAAAAGTACAGTGGTACCTCAGGTTACAGACGCTTCAGGTAACGGACACGTCACGTTACAGACTCCGCTAACCCAGAAATAGTACCTCGGGTTAAGAACTTTGCTTCAGGATGAGAACAGAAATTGCACGGTGGCAGCGGGAGGCCCCATTAGCTAAAGTGGTGTCTCAGGTTAAGTTTCGGGTTAAGAACGGACTTCCAGAATGAATTAAGTTCTTAACCTGAGGTACCACTGTATTCTCTAGGCAAGATGCACAGCAAAATAGGTGGAATTAAAACAAACCATACAACTCATATTCTCAGTTCTGTGATTTTCCTCCTTTCCAGACACCATAAACTGTCTAGTAAAGCAACTCAGCAGAGTCTTTGTAGCAGAGGACTTGGAGGGAGATATCTTTCTGGAGGAGTCTTGCCGTGAAAGCCAGAAGTCTGAAGCTGCCCTTGTGACAGAGGAGGCTTCCAGGGGAAAAGATTCTCCAGGAGAAGCATCCCAGGAGAGTCCCCTGTGGGCAGAGGAGAGAAATGAGCCGCTGCCCTCCAACGCTTCTGCTGCAGCTGCAACAAGAACAGCTCCCCCTGTCGGTGTTCTTCATCCAACAGGTGAGGTTTTGATCACTCCAGGCAGTGCCTCTAGTCAGTTGCTGTCATGGACAGGTTGGATGCAGAGGAATGGGGGGAGGCACCAGAGGAACCCCCCAAGCGAAGGTGACTCAGAGCCCAGGAAGTGGCGGTGGGACAACAGTGGGTGGGAGGGAGAAGACTGGGAAGAGTGTCAGTAGCTGAAGAGGTAACATGGCTTAGTGAGCCGTGAGAGTCTGTGGCCGAGAGAAGTCCAGAATCAGAGGCGGATACTGAACAGGAGAGTGGAATGAGGGAGGCCAAGAGGCAGAGATGAGTCCAGCAGGTGAAGAGGCACAGGGGTCTCCCCCTCCTGCTGCAACATACTCCTCTCCACCCTTCTCTCCCAGAACCAGAAGAGGCATGCAGAGGGTGGAGGTGAGGTTGGTTGCATGCAGGCGCAGTATCTGATCGCTGGCGGGGGGGAGGGAGACAAACCCCGGCGAGGAGGGGGCTGAGGCAGCTGTGGGGAGACAGGGACCCCCAGTCTCAGCAACTGCTTCATGGGGGCAAGAACTGCCAGAGACGAGTTGCTGTGGTCATTAGACCTGACACTCCTTTGCAAACTGTGGCTTTGTTGTTGTTGCTGTTTAGTCGTGTCCGACTCTTCGTGACCCCATGGACCAGAGCACGCCAGGCACTTCTGTCTTCCACTGCCTCCCGCAGTAGCAAGAGTTAATTCCAACTTGCCTGGTGTGATTTACTGCTGGCTCGCTCATGACAGTTCCTGTTCAGAGGGGAGTGAGGGAACAGGAATTTATGGGGGCAGTTGGGGTGGGAGGTAGGGATGTTTGTGTGTAAACGCATATTTTTGGGTGTGCAGTTGTAGCAGTGTAAGCTGGTGGTTACTGTGAAAGGTATGGAGGGAACTAGTGCCGGCCCCCACTCCTGTCAAACAGTGTGTCCCATGCATGCAATTTGCAAATCAGGCTTGGTTTAAAACTAAATGCTGGATATGATGAGGCAAGTGTTCCACCTCTGCCAGCTTCCTCTCGGGAGCCCCTGCTCCAAAGGGAAAATGGAGGAACACAGTGCAAGCTGCTGGTTGGCTGGCGCAGCAAAATGTGTTCTCATCTATCTGGTTGTGTGTCCCAGACCATGTGGAGGTGGAGAAGGGGTGTGTCTAAGCTCTTGCACTTCCATTTTGAGAAATTGTAGAGTTGCCGAGGGTCATCTAGTCCAACCCGCTGCAAAGCATGAATGCTGCGTGCTAAGTTGTCATTGATTTGTTCTCTGCCCTTTTCTTTTCAAGGGAGCAGAACGACAAGGCACAGAGCCAGCAGCAAGATACTGGCAATGTCAACAGGTGCTGGACGTTCTCCCCTAAGTGTCTTGCAGGACGACAATTCCCCGAATTCCCTTGCTTCTCACCAGGTGATGTATGGGGAAGGAAGTCTCTCTACTCTTCCACTGACCATAAAAGCTAGGAGCTCTGACACGCCCCTGCTGTATTTCTAGGGCTTGGATTCTCAGTTTCAGCAGTCGGAGCAGAATTGATTGCTTGGTGCCTCTTCCATCCTATTAGTTTTGTTATAGTCCCTCCAGCTTCAAGTCAGATTGTGTATACGGTTTTTGAAACACCATTGGAAAAACCTGCAAACCCTCCCAATAAACTCTGGAGACCCTTTGAAAAAAACCAGCACTTACCAGACGCCAGACTCCACCACAATTGCCCCCTCCAAACTCCCTTGTTCAAACTCCCAACTCCCCACAGACCTCGATGGTTGGTGTAAGGGCTCCTGGTATTGCACTTGCAAAGACTTGTGGGATTGCTGGTTGCTGTTTTTGCACCTTTTTTTACCTTTCTGGGCTCTTTTTGCCATTTTAAAAGTCACATCTGTGTTTGGTGTGTTGCATCCGCAGCCATGCATCAATTGAATGAGTGTAAATTGGGTTGTTGCCTGTACTTTTCTTCCTAAATGAGTTCTAAGGCACAAAATAAGAGGCCACCACAATGGGGGGAACCACTGGGGGATAAAATCTCACCACCTTTATTGTCTAGCTAGACCCTGGCAGCTTGGCCTCCTCTGACAGGGGAAGCACAGCAGGAGAAATGAGGCCGGTGTGTGTTTCTGTGTCTGTTTGCACTGAGTTCTCGACCTTTTCTCTCTCGCTGGATATCTTTTTGGGGGAAGAATTTTATTAAAACTTGTAAATGCCCTCTCTCCCAACTTGTCACTGGTTGTTCCTATCTGGGGGTGGGAGCATTTATGTGCACTGGTGTCTCTCCCACTCCCCATCTCAACATGGCAACATCTTGTTTTTCCTTCTCAGAGTAAGAGGCGACCGTCAGCAGCAGATAACCAAGGAGAGCGCAGGGAAGGCGTGTTAAATTCTGGACGGGGCTTCAAAACAGGCTTCTACAGCTGGGATTCCTTGAACAAAGAGAATCAGCGTCATTTGGTTGAAAACTAGTCTCCTTCAGATGCTCCAGGAATTCCTGGCCCCTGGAAGCTGCAGGAAGGAAACTCTGAAGACTCGAGGATTGTGGCCGTATCGTGGGAAATACAGCCTTTGCCTCCCTGGCAACTGGTTTCCCCCTCACTGCTTCTGTTCTCGGTAAAGGAGTCGCTCTTTATATAGTTCTCTCATCTCTAGCTTCATATTTATGTTTTATCTTGTACAGACTCTAGTAGGTAGCTTACCTTCTGAAATGTCTTTGCTCCTATCAACTTTCTGTGTTTTCTTTCTTGTGTGGAAAATAAACTTTCGCTTTTGAATGAGACGGCGGCTCTTTGATATTTTGCAACCTGCTGGGAGGGAGGCTAGTGAACTGTGCTGTTTTTTGTTGGAAGAGTTGACTTCCCACTGTTCTGGGAGCTGCAACCCTTTTCAGGAGGGTAATACTGGACTCTGAAGTCCAACGGGAGGAAAGATTTCTCAAATGATGCAGCCTGAGCCAGTTTGTCTGATGTGTCACTTTTATTTTGCTTGGGCTATAAAACTCCTGTATGGTACAATTACATTTCAAAGCAGTGGCTAAGGGGAATCTAGCAGATGCTGGAGAGGGGCAAAGTGTACACACCAGGTAAGAAAGTGCAGGGTGGCAGCATTGACTACAGGATTACATAAAGCATTCCCTGACTCTGGCGCCCAAAATGGAGGCAGCAAAGTCCCCCCCGCCCTGAAAATGCATAGATTATAGCAGTGAGGAGCTAACTTACTCTTCGTTCCTTACTTGAAATAAAAGTGAATAAAGATCAATGCAGAATCCTTGGTCTGGTGAACCTCTTCTTTTCACAGAACTGCATGCGATCGGTTAACAAAGGGCAAAACGGGTGGAGGTATGTCTGTGGGTGAACTAATGGGATAAAAATGGAAAAGAAATCTTAAAAACTGAAGGTACTGGGGAATGCATGAGACTTCTTCTGGTTGAGGAGGGTCAGGAACCTGATGGGAGCCTAGGGGTTTTCTGCAGCTTCAAGTAAAGGAAGCTGGCAGAGTAAATAGGTGGCCTGCCTCTCGCTGAAGTGTGTCCCTGAAGCAGCCACACTAAGAGGGGATCCCTGAGCTCGGGTTTTTGGGAGGGCAAGAAAAAGTGTTGGGAAAACTGGCCTGTGGACCCTTTCCCTGACCACCTCCTTTAGGTAGGGAAGTGTCTTATGGATCAGTAAGTCTGCATAGAACAAGCAACCAGTAGTACGCAATAAATGATGCCTGGGGAGGTCTCCCTTCTCCCATTTCCTCATCAGTTCCAGATTTTCAGGAAGCTGTCCCAGGAGCCGGTAGACACAGCCATGCCGTCTGCGGTTACGCCCAAACAGCTCACCCGGTTGTCATGTCCAGACAGGATTCCTGACAGGGGAATGGATGGAAACCCATTAGGAACACTTTGGAAATACTTGCATCCCATCTTTCTGCCATGCAGACCGAGGCACCTAACCTAACAAAGCAGAAAACGTGGTGTAAACGAACAGATACAAGCCAAGAATCATGGCCATGACAAAATGGGAAACTTGGGACTCGGCTATACAGCTGCAAATAAAACATTTTAAATGTGTTGTGAAGTGCAATATACAAATGCAGCACTAGATGGTGATGGTGAGCTATGGCACATTCAATATATTTTTCAAAATGTTTTTTAAAGAAGCATTTTCACAGCGTTTTTTTTTCTATGAGTGTAGATTCCACCCAAGTTAAAATATTCTCTAAGCTGCTGAGAACCCCTTGCTATTCTATCGTATGCAACAAATAATTTTTAGGAGAAGTGATTGTGGTTTATTGTATCTGCAGTGTTTTTATGGTTATTGTTGCTTTTCTTTTTGTTCCCTTTGTGAATGATGCCATGGCCTTTGACTAGTGCAATAAAGTTTATGATGAAATAACTGGAAGCATAAGAGGAAGGAAGGACCCAGGTCCCTTTAAGGAAGGAATTCCAAAGTCCGGGTGCCACCAAATTTGTCTCTGGCTGCCATTCACTTGCTGCATCAGAGCTACTCAAAGCATGGGCTCCATTTGGGCAGCTTGATATGTGACAGAGTAGCTCTTTGTTTATCACTCAACCTATGCTTGTTGTTGTGGATGGTCCTGCAATACATTAAAGTCCACATCTCAACACCATTCCCAAGCCTCTGAACCACTTTATACAAACAGTAAAGTCGTACCACTTCGGCCTGAAGTTGCACAATTAGAGAGCCCTCAAGGGGTGGGCGAGGGGATGCAGCAAAGTAGCATTTTGGAGAAAGAGTGAGTGACAGTAGCCTGAGCTCTGACATATCTAGGGTGGCGCTGTGGTCTAAACCACTGAGCCTCTTGGGCTTGCCGATCAGAAGGTCGGCGGTTCGAATCCCTGCGACGGAGTTAGCTCCCATTGCTCAGTCCCTGCTCCTGCCCACCTAGCAGTTTGAAAGCACGTCAAAGTGCAAGTAGATAAATAGGTACCACTCCGGTGGGAAGGTAAACAGCCAGAAGCGGCTTAGTCATGCTGGCCACATGACCCAGAAGCTGTCTGCGGACAAACGCCGGCTCCCTCGGCCTATAGAGCAAGATGAGCGCGCAACCCCAGAGTCGTCCGCGACTGGACCTAACGGTCAGGGGTACCTTTACCTTTACTACTATTAATTAGATTTATTAGTCACATGTTACTAAGGTTTCCAAGCGACATACATTTCAAAAAGATGATAGAACCCTGACGATTCATATAACACCCCTTCGTGTTGGTTTGATTTCTATTCCACCTTCTGTCCTTCACATTTATTAGTATTACTAATAACAACTTATTGATCACCTTCTACCCAAGCGTTCCAAGGCAATGTACAATGAAAGAGCAAAAGTCCCAGCAGGTGTTATTTTAAATACAGTGGTACCTCGGGTTAAGTACCGTATTTTTCGCCCTATAGGACGCACTTTTTCCCCTCCAAAAATGAAGGGGAAATGTGTGTGTGTCCTATGGGGCGAATGCAGGCTTTCGCTGAAGCCTGGAGAGCGAGGGGGGTCGGTGCGCGGCTCTCCCACGGCTAGCAGAGAGCTTGCCAGCACCCAGAAGCTTGGGGCTCGCTGAGCTCAGCACGCCCCAAGCTTCGGGCTTCACGCAGCTCTACGCTAGCCGTGGAAGAGCTGCGTGAGTTCGCTTCCCGCGCCCCAGCCCCGCACCTGGGGGGAAAATAATTTTTTTTCTTTATTTCCCCCCCAAAAAACTAGGTGTGTCCTATGGGGCGAAAAATACGGTACTTAATTCGTTCCGGAGGTCCGTACTTAACCTGAAACTGTTCTTAACCTGAAGCACCACTTTAGCTAATGGGGCCTCCTGCTGCCGCTGCGCCGCCGGAGCACAATTTCTGTTCTCATCCTGAAGCAAAGTTCTTAACCTGAAGCACTATTTCTGGGTTAGCGGAGTCTGTAACCTGAAGTGTATGTAACCCGAGGTACCACTGTACTTGCATATGGAATTCATTGTTGTGACCCATGCTGGAATCAGTGTGATGATATATAAATACTTTAAAATAAAATAAACCGACACGCTTTCCTGAGGGAGAAGACGGTCTTTGTCCCTGGAAGGGAAGTAGCTGGCATAGAGAGATTCTAGCTCCGGGGCACAGCCTACTCACCCACACGTTCTGCTTTTAGGGAGTCCCAGATATTGCAGTTAAAATCATCGTATCCAGCCAGCAGGAGCCGTCCACTGCGGGAGAACGCAATTGAGGTAATTCCGCAGATGATGGTCTCGTGTGAGTAGACAATGAGCTCCTGGTCTGCCCGGAGGTCATAGAGGCGACAGGTGGCGTCGTCGGAACCAGTGCAAATGGCCTCGCCATTGGGGAAGAACTGGGCAGAGACAGATAATAAATAATAATAATAATAATAATAATAATAATAATAATAATAATAAATTTTATTTATACCACGCCCTCCCCAGCCAAGGCCGGGCTCAGAGCGGCTTACAAGCAATAATAAAAACAAGTTGAATGATTACAACTTAAAAACAAAATTAAAATACAACATTAAAATATTGAAACATTAAAATATTAAAATGTAGCCTCATCGCAGGAGGAGAAGGAAAAGAAAAAAGAAAAGAGAGGGAGGGAATCAAATTGGCTCCAAGCCAAAGGCCAGGCGGAACAACTCTGTCTTACAGGCCCTGCGGAAAGAAATCAGATCCTGCAGGGCCCTGGTCTCATGAGGCAGAGCGTTCCACCGGGCCGGAGCCAGAGTTGAAAAGGCCCTGGCTCTGGTTGAAGCCAATCTTCAAGTGGCCTGGGACCACTAGGGTGTTGCTGTTTATGGACCTTGAGGCTCTCCGTGGGGCAGACCGGGAGAGGCGGTCCCGTAGGTACAAGGGTCCTAGGCCGTGAAGGGCTTTAAAGATCAAAAGCAGCACCTTAAATCTGACCCTGTACTCAACCGGGAGCCAGTGCAGCTTGAAAAGCACTGGGTGAATATGCTCCCATGGCAGAGACCCCGTGAGGAGCCTCGCTGCAGCATTCTTCTGTTGTAAATAAAAATATGCCCATATAGAGTCCTTACACAGGTTCCCTATTGGTAGGAGAGAATAACAGAGGCCAACCAGAGAATATTGAGAAGCAAAGCAGCTAGTAAGCCTGATCTTTATTGATCTGTTGCAACAGGGTGCTCCCCTTACATGCAGGAAAAGAGGAGCACCCACAAAAATGCTGTGAAAGGGCTTATAAAGACTTTTGAAATTCCCATCCTGTCGATCGAGACCACCCCCAGAAACATTATACATACATCACAGAAGGGGTGTAACCTATGACCACCCCTCAGATACATCACACCCGCTGGAGTTTCTGGGACAGCTTCAAGGGCAGCCCCACGTAGAGCGAATTACAGTAGTCAAGCCTGGAGATGACCGTCGCATGGATCACTGTGGCCAGGTCGGGGCGGGAAAGGTAAGGGACCAACTGCTTGATGCGGCGAAGGTGGAAAAATGTCGCCTTGGCTGTTGCTGTAACTTGCGCCTCCATGGAAAGGGAGGCGTCAAGGATTACACCCAAACTCTTAACGGAAGGCAATGGCACTAATTGGGCCCCTGCAAGAGAAGGGAGCTGGTCTCTCATCCCCATGCCATCCCAACCTAGCCATAGGACCTCTGTCTTCGAAGGATTTAGTTTCAATCAGCTCCCACGAAACCATCCAGCCACAGCTTCCAAGCATCTGGTCAGTGTGTTCGGGGCCGAGTCGGTGTGGGTGCAAACAATGATCTCACTCCCCTCCTATTCTGCAGCCCCTGCCCATTATTTTAACACTAGCTGCCTTCCCCTGACCTTTATTCCAGTCCTGCCACCACCCCTCAGCTCTGGGCCCGGCCACTTAGAGGAACCTACAGAGATGGCGTTGATATCCGACTCGTGCCCTGTGAAAGTCTGGCGGCAGCTGCCCTCCCGGACATCCCACAGCTTGGCCGAGGCATCGCAGGCTCCAGAGATGAAAAGATTGAAGTCTGGGGAGACGGCCAGGCTCATGCAGTCTCCAGTGTGGCCGACGAACGTTGTCTTCGGTTGTCCGGTTTCAATGTCCCAGAGCATACTGCAGTGAGGGGGCATTGAGGAGGAGAGAGGAACAGAGTGATGGGGCTGTTCTGCTCATGGGTTCACCCAGAGAAACACTCTCTCTCTCTCTCTCTCTCTCTCTCTCTCTCTCTCTCTCTCATTTGTTTATTTAAAGTACTTCTGTCCCACCTTTCCTCAAAACAGACCTCAAGGCAGCTAACAGAAATGGCAACATTACTAAAATTGCCACCTCCTCTGCTCTTGTATCTGATCTGGTTGTGGCTTTAAGGATCCTTAAAATCATAATGTTTCACTTGTGCATATGAAACAGCGAGTGGTTTATGTTGGAGATGTAAGATGCCCGTTGCTGACATTTTACATATTTTTTGGAAGTGTCCTAAAATACTTAGGAAATCAAAATTATCACTGGATGAAGCTTACCGAGAGATCCACTGACTACTCCTTTTGGGTATATCAAAAGGTGACAGGGAGAGGTTCCTTTATTTATTTTGTGCAGTTTGTATAATTATTGTTTACAGCTGGAATAAAATATCCTGGCTACCCAAAGTTTGGGATATAGCCTGCACAGTTAAACTGACTAGTATGATTCAGGTCAGAGAGGGTAAGGGAAATTATGGCTGCTTTGCTTAAAAATGGACTTTTTTCACCATGTACTGGTGTACTAAGGTACAATGAAATCTAAATCCAGATGCTTTGCTGGAAATAGTTTTGAGATTTTTGTATGCTACATGAAATGTAATAAAGGTTATTAATGGTTTCTTCCTATACTGTTTTGTTTTGTTTTGTTTTGTTTTGTTTTGTTTTGTTTTGTTTTGTTCTGTTCTGTTTGTATATTGTGAAACTATATCCACCCTTTATAATAAGTAATTTAATCACTTTGTTTCATATTTACTGTATTATGAGATTATGAAACATAATACTGTCCCAGTGCTATCTCTCTCTGTGTGTGTTTGTGTGTGTTTAATATATACAATGTTCCTGAAGGAGGATTATTCTGAAACATACTGGGGCTGAAATAATTTTTTCCTTCAAGCACTTGTCATTCCTTCATCAATCTCTCTCCTACTGTCTCTCTCTCTCTCCCCTTCCTACATGGATAGATAAGATACACTCACCATGTGGTGTCCCCAGAGCTGGTCACAATGTTGTTGTCATCTAGGAATCGACAACAGGAGAGATAACCTGCAGGGAAGAGATAACAGACTCTGAATATCATAAGTTTGTGGTGATAGAGGTTACTACAGGCACTGTCTGTACTCTCTGCTTAAAAAAAGTAATTAGTTTTTTGAAATCAACATTTTGGACCACGAAAAGCTGAACTGGGCAACCTACATAAATAAGGCCGATAAGGAAAATATTTTGCATTGTTTTGCAATTTGTACTATAAGAACATGGGACATGGATGGCGCTGTGGGTTAAACCACAGAGCCTAGGACTTGCCAATCAGAAGGTCAGCGGTTCGAATCCCAGCGACGGGGTGAGCTCCCGTTGCTCGGTCCCTGCTCCTGCCAACCTAGCAGTTCAAAAGCACCTCAAAGTGCAAGTAGATAAATAGGTACCACTGCGGTGGGAAGGTAAACGGCATTTCCGTGTGCTGCTCTGGTTCGCCAGAAGCAGCTTAGTCCTGCTGGCCACATGACCCGGAAGCTGTACGCCGGCTCCCTTGGCCAATAAAGCAAGATGAGCGCCACAACCCCAGAGTCGGCCACGACTGGACCTAATGGTCAGGGGTCCCTTTACCGTTACCTTTACTATAAGAACGATCATTTATCCCACTTTGTAGAGAGGAACAAGGATCTACACAGGGTTACCACTGGGAGTCGTATTCAGCAACCCCTTGGGCTCCTCATGTTACCCCCACACTTGTAAGCATATCTTCACAATCACAGGGCTAGAAACTTCTCCATCTCCCCAGGAATCCTGCATGAAACCCAGAAGAGCAGCTGCCAGACAGTGCAGAGAGCGGATTTGGTCAATGCTGTAACTTGAAAGAAGGCAGCATCTTGTGTCAAGCTGGGAGGTCCAGGAAGTTGAATTTGGCACTTGGTGCTGCTCCCTGTGTGTTTCCTGTGATTCTGTGGGAGGACAGAAGGTGCAACGCCCTGGCAGAAAGATCACCTGTATGGGCTGAGAGCTCCCGGCTCACTTTCACATTCCCTTCGCGGCTCTTGAGGTTGTAGATGGAGCACATGTTGTCGAGACCTCCGCAGGCCACAAAATTCCCTGATGGGGCGTAGGCACAGGTCATGACCCAGGAGGAGCGTAGAGGGATGGCATGAACCTGGGATCAGAGGACAGGGTAGAAATCCAAAGTAAGGTTGGATGGCCAATTTAGGGCTGGGTAATACTGTGGGACGCGGGTGGCGCTGTGGGTTAAACCACAGCGCCTAGGGCTTGCCGATCAGAAGGTCGGCGGTTCGAATCCCCGCGACGGGGTGAGCTCCCGTTGCCCGATCTCAGCTCCTGCCCACCTAGCAGTTCGAAAGCACGTCAAAGTGCAAGTAGATAAATAGGTACCACTCTGGCGGGAGGTAAACGGCGTTTCCGTGCACTGCACTGGTTCGCCAGAAGCGGCTTAGTCATGCTGGCCACATGACCTGGAAGCTGTACACTGGCTACCTCGGCCAGTAAAGCAAGATGAGCACCGCAACCCCAGAGTCGGCCACGACTGGACCTAATGGTCAGGGGTCCCTTTACCTTTACCTTTAATACTGTATCTGGTTTTCAACATCACGATATATAACCAGCTAAACATCGCACTATAATGATTTATCATGATGTCTGAAACAAGGATGGAGCTATGCAGAGGCCTTGGCTGGATTCATGGTTTTGCCCACATTTTGATTTTTGCATCACATACACACACACACACACACACACGATTCGCGACATTTTGACAGGTCAAAAATTATGAAACCAATATGGACGTCAGACAGGTTTTGGACGATATTTTGATATATATCGCCCAGCCCTAATGGCCATCTGACATGGGTGCTTTCATTGAGATTCCTGCATTGCAGGGGTTTGGGCTAGATAACCCCCCCCCCCCCATCCAGGTCCCTTCCAACTCCATGTTTCTATCAAGCAATATTATGCAAGCAGATGTAGCTGGAACATTGAAAGAAACACGGGCTGTAATTAAGATGCAGCAAAACAAACTCAGGAATAAGATGTTTGTGGCTCTGGGGGAAATTGGCATCTTTTCATTTCTGATCTTGCTGACTGCTAGATGGTTCGTACCTGCTGATAATATCCCTTACCTTGTTGGTTGTGTATGTGTCCCAGACAATAAGTTTCCCATCTTGTGAGGCACTGACCATGAGCCTAAGGGAGAGAACCAGGTGAACGTCAGCTTGGTTGCTTTGACCAGAAAGGACCTGAAGGCTCTCTCAAGCCACTGCCTTTCTCCCCAGGGCTACCAAACCTTCAGGGCTACCAAACTGGAACTGGGAGCCAGCAGGCTTCCTCAACCTTCGCCCTCCAGATGTTTTTGGCCTACAACTCCCATGATCCCTAGCTAGCAGGACCAGTGGTCAGGGATGATGGGAATTGTAGTCTCAAAACATCTGGATGGCCAAGGTTGAGGAAGCCTGATATAGTGGTTAAGAGTGGTGGACTCGTAATCTGGTGAACTGGGTTCGCATCTCCGCTCCTCCACATGCAGCTGCTGGGTGACCTTGGGCTGGTCATACTTCTCTGAAGTCTCTCAGCCTCACTCACCTCACAAAGTGTTTGTTGTTGGGGAGGAAGGGAAAGGAGATTGTTAGCCGCTTTGAGACTCCTTAAGGGGTGTGATAGGCGGGATATCAAGTCCAAACTCCTCCTCCTCCTCCTCCTCCTCCTCCTCCTCTTCTTCTTCTTCTTCTTCAAGGTTCAGTCCATATTCTCAAGGGCAATTTTGTGCTTTCATCTACATTGGGCACTTCCAGAAGAGGACTTAATTTTCATGGTCTATTGAGATATTGCTAACAGGTGGCTGGCAACAGGTGTTGTTGTTTTAATTATTGCGTCCCCCCAAGAACGTTATACCTGGATTAAATAGGACCGGGGGGGGGGGAGAGATATGGACTGGCGTTTTGATGTCAACGTAATTACTACACTTGAGTAATTAAGGGGTAGTGGAAGGGTGGGCTTGTCTTTCTCTGCCTACAGGGCACTCTTATAGCTTAGACTCACACAATAGCATCACAATGATGATACAACACCAACAATTTACATGACGGCCCTTGATTCCCACTTCAACCATTATAAGGCTGATTTGATTCTCCCTCACCCCTTCTTCACCAGCTGGGGGTAGGGGCACCATTTTGTGGTTTGCCTCAGGTGCCAAAATACCTTGAGCCTGAGGGAAGGAGCTTCTGGCCCAGGGCGCAACAAGGGGAAGCAGGCGCAATCCTTTTGCGTCACTTACTTGGAATCTGTGGACCAGTGACAAGCATAGATCTTAGCCAGGTGTCCACGCAGAGTCCTCCGTGTACGCATCTGAATGCGCCCAACCACTTCCAGCCCGGACACAAGCTGCAGAGAAAGGAGGAAGTTTCAGCCCCTGCCATCAAAGGTGTATGGCGGAAGGAGGGACAATGCGGGTATGAACACACACTGTCATGGCTGCATTGTATTAGTTCGTCTCTCCTTCCATGTACACAAACCACCTTAAACAGGGGACTTCTGGCGGAAGGAATGGTGGGTTGACAGTCTCTGCTCTCTGATGACAGGAGATAACAACCTGGTGATTGATGGTAATCAGACTGAATGTCTGACAACCAGGAACTCTGAGATAAAGAGTGATCGAGGGAATAAACTCAAATGCTCTGATCAAAGCTGTTTTCTGCTGGGGGGCTCAGATGGGAGCTAAAATGAGCTGGCGAGTCGAGGAACTGACATCTCACTCAAAGAACCATTCGTGGTCAGAAGATCTGCACCCTCTCTTTCTTAAAACATTTTTGGCACCAGAAAAATTGTAACTTAGATATTTCTCTGTCTGCTGGTGAAAATTTCTGATCGGGAAGCTTGTAAGAGTCTCAAAGAAGAGAGGGGAAGCTGGCTAAGGCAGAGTGAAAAGCCTGATTTCTGGTTGACAATAAAGATTAAACAGAGGAAGGAACTCTTTGTGTGAACAATCTTTATTCCTTTTTCCTCTTCTTGCCGCTGAGTAACTGAAAGTTAATCAGCATCCCTCATGTGATGGTCTGGGAATCAGATCCGAATGCTGAACCTGAGGGATCCCAGCCTGCACAGGAGTCCCCGCCTCCAGAACCAGCTGAGCTGGGGCTGGGGCATGAGCCTGAAGGGTCCTCACCTGTGCTGGGTCCTCAGGTGCAGGCATCAGCTGAGTCTGCTCTGGCTCCTGAGGGGATGGAGGACCCATTGCCTGCAGGTGCTCCACTCTCAGCCCCATCAGGGGAAGAGGAGGTTGCCTCTGGGTCCAGTAACCCTCCAGCCTCTCCTGAGCTGCGGAGGCTCTGGGCAGAGAGGCGGAGGGAACTAAGTTCCCGCAGGAGGAGTACTGTCCTCCAGGCCAGGAGAGGCGAGTCACCTGTGGATCGGGGCCGCCCTATGCCTCGGGGGAGATAAAAGCCAGCCAGCCCCAGTCCCAAGTTGCAGGAGCAACATCGTTGGTTGTCAGTTCCAGCCTGATCCCTGACCTGCTTCCCTGCCGGAGCTCCTGACCTCACCTGACACCCTGCCCTGCACCCAGCTTCAACTTCTATGGACTGCCTTCATTGTGCACCATTGATCTCGAACTGGACTTGGACATCACCTCTCGGTTAGCCCCCGGGACCAGCACACCTCACTGCACCTGAGGACTGTAGGCCACCTTTGGTTGTACAGTACAGGCTGTGTGACTCTATACTCCAATGCCTAGTCACTGCTACTCCTTATACCCTCCCCCCCATCATCTGCTGCCTGAGGCGACTTCTTCCTCTCTTCTTTACCCTAATGGATGGGCCGGCCCTGGCCACAGGTGATTACGGGAAACTCCACTCCTCTCTTCTGAGCCCTGATGGATTCTTCCCCTTAGACAAATTCTGCCCAGACACAGTGATTTAGTATCAGCCCTTCCTACCTGTGCAAGCGTAGTGTCCGCACAAGCTTTTCGGGCATCCTGCAACAAAGGAGAGATGGAGTGAAATTGCAGGCAAAAAGAGGCAGTAGGCCTGGAGATCTTCTGTATCTTTGTGGAAGCTGGCTGTCTCAGATTACCTGGCCTTGGATAATAATAATAATAATAATAATAATAATAATAATAATAATAGAAGAAGAATTTCATTTATAAAAAGACTGAGAAAAAATAGGAGAAAAAAGGGAGAGTAAAAGAATATTTAAAAAATACTGTTACATGACCATACATTTAATATACAGCCGTGTTTATTCTTATTATCCTAATACACATCAATAACCTAATATGTTATGCATAAATTCACACCAACTATCACTGCATTTATCCAAAGAAGGTCTGTGTCTACAACAGGGCTGCAATGTGTCTGGATTTCCCCAGACATTACTGGGATTTCAAAGGCGGAATTGATGTTCGGTGGGAATTTCCGGAAGGTGGCGCTTTGTCCTGGATCTTAGGCAAGTCAATTGAAAAATTGGGGAGGGGGGGGGTTGGCGTTTATATGAAAGATTCTCTCATCTGATTTATTTCTTATTTCTTATTGTAAATGGCAAGGAAGATTGGGACTAGGGTCTTCCTGATTCATAGCTTGGCCCTCACACCATAGATGGAGAACCTCTGGCCTTCTGGATCAGTGTTTCCCAACCTCTGGATGCCAGCTGTTTTCGGACTACAATTCCCATCATCCCCGACCACTGGTCTTCTTACTAGCTAGGGATGATGGCAGTTGTAGTCCAAAAAATAGATGGAGACCCAAGTTTGGGAAACACTGCTTTAGATGTTTTTTGGACTACGATTCCTACCATCCCTGACCATTGACCATGGAGGCCAAGAATGTCTGGAGGGGGCTAGGTTCTCATCCTGGCTTACGCGCCCCACCCCACATTACCTCAATCTGCTTCTTCAGCTGCTCAGCTTCTTGCTTCATCTGCTCTATTTCACCCATCTTGACAGGCTAGCTTTGGGCCTCCCACTCGGGGTCACCTGGGTCCTGCGGAAATTAAAAGAGAGGTTGAGGTGGCCACATCCCAACTCGTTCATGTCTCCTCCAGCACCTCCTGTTCATCCAGATCTCAAGAGTTGCTTGAATGCCGTTTGCCAGAGTGTGTTACTCTGCAATTTCCCCTACAAAGCAAAATGTTCTGCAAATTTTGGGCCAGCCCAAAAGCAAAGCAGTGACTTTTACCACATCGCTCTGTTGTCACAGATTGATGGGGAAAGCTCACTAGGAAAAATCCATGAGCAAGGGTGAGGTGTGTGTGTGTGTATATATATACATATAAAATAAATGTGTTATTCAACCATGTGTTTTTACAGTCTATCTTGTTCTGTTTGCCATTTGTAAAAGTTATAGTCCCTAAAAATAGAAAGCACAGTTAAATAAATCCACTTTAATAAAATATTGAATTGTCCACCCACAGTACTGAGATTCCAAACAGGCTACGAAATGTGTGGCCCCTCCTGTGGTCTCCAAAAACCACAAGTCCTGTGTCACGCCACGTCTCCACAACTTCGGCCAGTCTCTTCAGCCTTTGAGCCATAGCTGTCAACTTACAGATTTGAAAATAAGGGACCAGCAGCCTCGAAAATAAGGGATCCGCAGCCAAAATAAGGGATCAACAATTACTTTGATAAAATACATATTTTGTTGCGTGCAAATGGCTTTAGATACCTATTAGGTCCTATAAATTACCATATAGCATATATTCAACACAAAAAACAGCAACAATTTGTTGTTGACAAAGCACAGCTGGACATAGAAAGGGCCCCATTACCTTCAGTAGCTTATTTAAGGGACATCATCAATAAACGACAGCAGCGGGACATGGCCCTGCGATAAGGGACTGTCCCGCCAAATAAGGGACGCTTGACAGCTATGCTTTGAGCTGATCCTCACTATACATTAAAAGCACTTGACTTCCCCCCAAGAATCCTGGGAGCAGTAGTTTGTAAAGGGTGCTAGGAATTGGGAGCTCTGTGAAGGGGAAACCGCAGTTCCCAGGAGCCTTTGGGAGATGTCATGTGCTTTAAATTTGTGCTCAGTGTGCTTTAAAAGCATGGGGTGGAGATGTCATCTACTTCTGCTTTCCCCACTACCAGAATTTCCCCTGCTGTGGTCCATTGTTGGGTAAGTTTAACCGCTTACTACTGCCTGGTGCTTCTATGTCTTGAACAACAGCAGCGGGAGGCAATAATGTCCATGCCACAAACCCCCCCCCCCAAGAAAAACCTTCACCTGCTGATTTTTGCAGATCAAACTTCTGGTGTGAAATATACTCAGAGTCGAGTGTGGATTCCATGCTCTTTATTCAGCCCATAGTAGTGAGGAATGAAAGTTCCTCCAAAATATCTGCTTTATATACATTATTTACACAATGGGTCGCATGTGATTGGCTAATTCTGGGATTCTCCTGTAGGCCAATCAGGTTGTGGATTCACTTCCACCTGGAGCTGGATTGGGTGGCTCCTGCGGACCAATCATACTGCTGCATTGTTCTAGGACCAATCAGACTGCTGCATTCTGAATCCTATTGTTCTAGGACCAACCCTAGTGCTGAGTCCATGCAGGGCTGGCCTGAGATGTTTTGGCCCTGAGGCAGAGCACCAGATGGCCCCCTCCCCTCTCCACCAGGGAAGAAGGGATGAATGAGGATCTATGTCAGGAACAAGGAGGGGAAGAAAGATCTACATTGGGGTCTGCTGCCCCGGTGTATTCTGCAGCCTGAGGCAGATGCATCACCTCATGGGTGAGGCAAGGCCCATGACCCTTTCCCTTCCACTTCCTATTCTCCACTGTGCATGCGCCCCTTGCATGTGTTGCAGAAATGAATTGCGCTGGAGAGGAATGCTTGGAAACGGTTTGCGAGTGTGCGGCCTTGGAGTTCAGTGTCAAGTGTGGCTGATTTCTGTATTAAAAACCCATTTTCTTTTTCCTTTAAATTAGCCAAGCCCAGAAGGCTGGGGCACTCCAGACAGAACGTAAAAATTATCCTGTGAACAGCAACAACAATTATACCCCACCCATCTGGCTGGGTTTCCCCAGCCACCCTGGCAGCTCCCAGCAGAATAGTAAAAACATGAAAAAACATCAGACATTAAAAACATTAAATAAAGGGCTGCCTTCATTTCAATAAGCTCCTCTCCTCACCCATCCCACTAACCTCCTTTTTGGTATTAGTGATGCATCTAATTCCCTTCCACCCCTTTCAGCCAATTCTGGTCATGGTCTTTAACAGACATTATTTAATGGATTTCTAGCCAGCTCTTTAGGGGATATCATATCCTCCTGAGGTGGGTTACAGCAAATGAATAAAGCGCAACGTTACGATTCCAAGATTTAAAATTGCGTTTTGTTGTTGTTTAGTCGTGTCCAACTCTTCGTGACCCCATGGACCAGAGCACGCGAGGCACTCCTGTCTTCCACTGCCTCCCGCAGTTTGGTCAAACTCATGTTCGTAGCTTCGAGGACACTGTCCAACCATCTCGTCCTCTGTCGTCCCCTTCTCCTTGTGCCCTCCATCTTTCCCAACACCAGGGTCTTTTCCAGGAAGTCTTCTCTTCTCATGAGGTGGCCAAAGTCTTGGAGTCTCAGCTTCAGGACCTGTCCTTCCAGTGAGCACTCAGGGCTGATTTCCTTCAGAATGGATTAGTCTGATCTTCTTGCAGTCCATGGGACTCTCAAGAGTCTCCTCCAGCACCATAAATCAAAAGCATCAATTCTTAGGCGATCAGCCTTCTTTATGGTCCAGCTTTCACTTCCATACATCACTACTGGGAAAACCACGGGATTATCCCTTATTTAAATGTAAAATGCTATGTTCTGAAATGATTCAATACAGGACACAGTTTGTCCTGTATTCCCCCTATTTCTGCTTTGCTCCTGGACTCACTCACTCATTCTCTCTTCTTTCCTCCCCCCCCCCCAATCCCACCTCCAAGGAAGAGCAAACCAGGGCAAGGCTTTCATGTTGTCCCTTCCCCTTCCCTGCAGCTTGGTCTGGATTATGGCTGCAACCTGGGAGCACCAGGCCTCAGAGAGCAACAGGTTCTGAGTCCCTAGAAAAAAAGCAGTTTTCGGTCAGCGTAGCCCAGAGACCCCCGTTTTGAACATAATATTTGAGAGGAGGGAGGGAGCAGCTCCCCACAGACTTGCCCTCCCTCCCTCCTTAATATTTTTTATCTCCTTCCAAAATTGAACATGTGGAACAAAGCTCATCCCCTCATCAGAATATGCCCCCCTATTTATTTATTTTTGCCCTGGACTGCATTTATTGCAGTACAGTACTGCATGTGTGCGAAAGGTCATGTATTTCAGCTCCAGGTAGCAAAACACAGACAGATTTACAAATTTGTGTGTCTGTGTGTATTTGTGTGTGACAAATTTCAGAGGGGCCAGCCAGCTAGGCTGCAATAGGTTGTAATGGATTGCTTTGAAGTCATTTCAGCACCAGGTGGCGGCGACAGGGGTGCGTGGGGTGGATCACCCCCCCCACCCACTGCCATCCTGTCCTGTATTTTGCCAGAACAAAGGTGGCAAAACCCTAGTTTTCCAGGATTACTGAGGGGAAGTCGTGTGCTTCAAATGCACAGTGCATACACAGCCTTGGTCTCTCTTTGATCACATCAAGCCAGCCATCCTAATTTCTGCTGTGCTGCTACTACGCAGGAGCAACAGGTGGCAGTGCTGAGAGAGGAAATTTGGCAGCGCCCTAGGTAGCTGCTAGCACTTGTAGACGTAGCCTCACTGAGGGTGCTTCTCACACCACCCGCTCAGTTCCTGCGTGTTGACTTGGCAAACATCCCTCCGCCAGCTAGGGATGTCACCCAGTTAGAAAGAAATGCTAACTGATTCATCAGATGAGTTTTGAAGGATGAATTAATTGGTCCAATCTGCTGTTTTGGTTGTTTTTATCCTGGCCCATCTTGTGGGTTTTAGGCTCTTTCTCTATATAATTGGATTTGTACTGTTTGCTTAACGTGTACGGTACCATTGTTGCAAGCTGTCCTTTTTAGGCTGAACGGTGGAACTGAAGAGTTTTGAATGCACGTAATCGGATAGTTTTTTTAATGAAAAAGGCAGCTTTTCCTGTTTTTTAGATGGCACGTGCATACGCAATAGCGGACCACATCTTAGAAGAGGGGTTCCCTTCTCAGTGAAAGGGGGAAGCCCTCTTCCAAGATGGCACTGGCCACCTGCAATTACTGTAAGAATTTCTAGTAAAAATCATTGGCATTTTAAAATAGGGCTGTCCGAGTAATTAGGTATGTCTTTTCTGGTCGTTTTGAATGTTGTTAAATGAATGAATCCAACGGGATAAATCTATTGGAGGCTGAAGCTGTATGCACAGGATTTAAAACAACGGCAACTGTGGGAGTGAGATAAGGGGCTGGAACAGCTTAATGTGTAACTTTTCAAACTGATGCCAAAGTTTTGTGCTTGTGTTGTGCCATGAACCCCGCATTTTGTGCTGCCCTCCCAAACTGAGTTATTAATACTCAAACTGGGGGCCATAGGTCCCAGCAAAAAACCCCCCAACATTTTCTGGTTCACTCCAAACCCAGTGCCAAAACTTTGGTGTCAGTTTGAAGGGGACCCAAAATTTTGGGGTTACACATTAATGAAGCTGGTTGGAACATTAACATGGGATAACAGGGTGGCAAAGAGGCTAAAGATCAAAAGACCCTGCATGCCCTTAAGAGGCCAGGAGACTGTCATGTGAAAATGGTCTGAATGTATGGCAACAAGGGTTTAGAGGAGGCTCATTCATCACTCTTTGTTGCCGACTGACTCCTCTCTCCCCACCAGCATCACTCCATCTTCAGACTCCACTCACACCTGTTCTGTGATGGGCCACGGTGAGAGTTTCAGGTTTCAGGATGTTCTCTGGATGTTTTGCATCTCACCTGATGATCCCAGGTAAGACTGCTTGGTGGTAGGAATATATT